TAACCCTAACCCTAACCCTAACCCTAACCCTAACCCTAACCCTAACCCTAACCCTAACCCTAACCCTAACCCTAACCCTAACCCTAACCCTAACCCTAACCCTAACCCTATAGAGTCGCTCGTCGACTCTATCGACTCTCTTCTGATTGGTCCTTTACAGGAGTCTACAGAGTCGCTCGTCGACTCTGTCGACTCTGTCCTGATTAGTCGATTGTCACGTGACTTGTAACATAGTTCTTCCTTGCCGAGAGGTTTACCCTTGTTCCCGTAATCCTACGTACATATATCCTGTCGTAGCCGCCCGACCCAGTGGGTCTGTTAAGTGCATCTGACGGGTCGTAACATTGATCATCGTCTGGAATGTCGCGGGTGCGTTGGTGAGTCCGAAGGGCATCACAAGGTACTCGTAATGTCCTCGGCGTGTTCGAAACGCTGTCTTCCATTCTTCACCTGATTTCATCCGGATCAGGTTATAGGCTCCTTTTAGGTCGAGTGTGTAAACCACTATGCTCCGTGCAACAGGTCTCGTAGTTCGGAGATGAGCGGTAGTGGGTAGCAGTTCTTGATCGTAATGTCGTTAAGTTTCCGGTAGTCGACGCAGAGTCGTAGTTTGCCGTTCTTTTTTAGTACGAACAGGATTGGGTATCCCGCTGGTGATGTAGAGGGTCTGATGTATCCCTTCTGTAGATTTTCTTTGAGGTAAGCGTCGAGTGCTTCTATTTCTTTCTGGTTGAGTCCGTAGATTGCTTCTAGCTTTGGCTCCTTCCCTTCCTTAAGGGGTATCTCGTGGTCGTAGTTGCTGTGTTCCGGGAGTCCGGTCTCGAGTTCTTCGGCGAATAGCTTCTAGTATTGCCGGTATTCTTCTGGGATAGACAGAAGTCGGTCTTCCTTGCCGATGTCTATTGCTAATAACGTCCTAGCGTTTGCATCCTTTATCCGTAGGTATGCTAGAAATCTCTTCGCTTCAGGAGTCTTAAGAGGTTCGTTTAAGGCACCGTTCCGTGGTTGCTTCTCAGTGACTGAATCCTGGTCCTAATAGAGTTAGCCTGTTCTCTAATCTATCCGTGGGTTACTATCGTATAACCATGGTCTTCCAAGGATGACATCGTACTTGTCTCCTATCTCCGTAATATCGAAGTTAAGTCGCTTATTCTAGCTATAGATCTGCATTAGGAGTTGCGCTGTCTCCATAACAATGCGTCCTCCGCCGTACTAGACTTATTCTCCTTTAACGGTGCTAAGTTCGTAGCAGTCTTCGGCTGCTTTTCTTTTCCAGGTTATCTTTCTTTCATTCACCGTTCTTGGTGATATGAAGTTTCCTTAGGCTCCGCTGTCGATCATGGCGGTAGCTGTTCTTCCGTTGAGCTGTATTTGGACTTGTACATGCTCGTGTCGTTGTGTCGTGGGCGTCGTTGCGCTACATAGGGACCTTGTCTGGACTGCCTGTCGTTGTCCCTTGTCTTCGGTAGGCGAGTCTAGTTTTTTGACTGCTCGTCCGTTCCTTGTTCGTCGTTTTCTTGCTGTTTCTTCCATGCTTCGTCTTTCTTGATATAGTGGACTCGGCACTGGTCTTGGTAGCAGTGATACCATTGTATTTCTTCGTCAGAGTCCTCTCCAGAGCTGGTGTCGTCGACTGAAGCGACTTCAAAGGCGACTTCTAGTTAGGCATGTTGGCAGGCAACATCGCGAGGTGTTTCCGAGTCGTTGGGGGTGTTCTTAGTCGTTTCTGATTCGACCTGTTCTTCTAGTTCTTGGTTGATCTGGCGGATCCGTGCGGGATCTCCTTGTGCATGTTGTCGTCGTTCGATGTGTGCGTCCAGCGCACCGAGTTGTCGTTGCTATATAGGGTTTTGTAAGTCCTGTTGAATCCGCTGCAGGTTGGCTTGTCGTCCTGCGTAGAGGAGGTTTAGTCTTCGCTGATTGTCTTGTTCTAATTCCTCGTTGTCGTTTATACTGTCGAGCTGTTCGATTGTCTTGCGCTCGATTTTGCTATTGCTTCTATATCCCATAGCGAGGGTCCGTTTAGGTGCGTTAGTAGTGTCGTAACCAGATCGTTCTTAAGGTTTCTAGGGGTACCATCCTGCGTGTTCCTTACTGCTAGAGTGGATATGGCAGTTGTTATCGAAGCAGGTGGTCTAGTTGAGTTGTTTATGAGGGATCGTCTTCGTAGCGATACTTGCTTGTCGTTTCTCTAGTACCGGTTAGAAGCGTTCCTTCTTAGGTGACCTGCATTCGTATGCTAGGTGTCTAATCTTCTAGTAGTTATAGTACTGTCTATCTTTCTTCCAACTATCGTTCTTTTTATCGTTTCTCTGTATAGTACTAAGGTCTATTGGTCTACTATGGTAACCATAGGCAGTACTTTGTCGGGGGTTGTTCTAGTTGTTGCGGGGTCTATTGTCGTTTCGCTGGTTGTTGAACTGGTGCTGAGGCTGCTACTGGTACTTACGTCCTGAGTTAGGGTTTTGTCGTTTTTCGCCTCTTTCCTTTCGTCGTTCGAAAAGCCGGTTGTCGATTTTGATAGCAAGTTCGGCGTACTAGAGAAAGTCGTCAGGTCGATCAATCTTGATGATCTCGTCCTTGACTTCGTCCTTTAGTCCTTGATAGAACATGAAGATCTTGGTTTCCTCGGTAAGGTCGAGTTGAACGCTAAGTTGTCGGAAATTGGCGGAGTAGTCTTTGGCGGACTTAGTCTGCTTAAGTTATGCTAGATCTCGTTCGGCTTGTCGCTTTTCGTCGGGGTCTTGGAAGAGTGACCTGAGCGCGTCCTCGAATCCTTTAAAATTAGCGTAGATATCGCAGGTCTCGGTAATGTACTCGTCGAGGGTCTTGCATTTTAGGTACTCTTCCTAGATTAGTTTAAACTACTTGAGGGCTTTTCCTCGGAGGTAGGTAGCTGCGTATACTACTTTTTCGGTCTTGTTAGTGAAATCTCCGTGGTGAAAGTTCTGGTAATTTTTGACCTGAATTAGGAATCCTTTGAGGGTCCCGGGGGTTCCGTCGTAGGTGATAGGCGCACTAAGCTTAAGCTTTTGTCGTCCTCCGTAGACGGGCGTAGTGACGATGTTAGCGGCGGCCCGGAGGGTGGTGATTTCCCCCTGGAGTTCCTAGATCTTCCGGAGGTTGGCGTCCCCCTTGATGTCTTCTTCCAGCTTCTTGTAGGCCTGTCTAGCGTGCTGGAGTTGCTTGTTAAGGTTTTCTATTGCTTATCGGTTTTCGTTAACGATTTTCTATATGTCTTTTGTCTCGGCTTCTTGTTTCTGGATTATGCGTCGGAGCTTATCGTAGCTTTCCTTGGTGAAAGAGCTATCTCTATCGGAGTCGTACTTGAGGTCCGGCATGTCGAAGTCCTCAGTGTTGGCGGGCTCCTGCGCGAGGCTCTGAGGCTGGTTGCGCGAAGAGGATAAGGATCCTGGAGTAGGTGATTTGGCAGAAGCGCGAGAAGACATCTTGTCTATACTGTTTAGTAGTTCTCAAAAGGTGACTTACTGAACAGGAGTAATCAAAGTGTTACGGCCAGCTAACTGACAGTGGGTTTGTGTTAACAGTAAGCCAGGGATTGACAACAGTAACAGTCGTTCTGGGGTCTGGTCGATTGAGTCGTAGATCTTCAAAGGTCTTGGTGATTAGTCAAGGCCTTAACAAGAGTCGTAGAGTAGTCGTCACTTAGGTATAGCTGAAAGTACCGGTTAGGGTAATCACAAAGTTGATTGCTGAAGAACTATGGAAGTCTGACCATGGGCCGAGCTCAGGTCATACTATATACAAGTCCTGGACAGTCCCTGTGTCTTGTCGCTGATCACTGATCAGGTACCGGTGAGCGATCAGTGATCGTTGGTGAGCGCTCAGTAGCTCTGACTGAGCGCTTAGTGACCCATACTACCTGCTTAGTCTTATCTTATCATCACGTGACTTGTACTATAGTTCTTCCGTTCCCGAGTGAGTCCCTGTTGTTCCCGTGATCCTGCAGTACAAATGTCCTGTTCTAGCCGCCCGACGCCCAAGTGGGTCGTTCAGCTGTTATCCTTGTTTACGGGTCGTAACACTGCGACGTTCCGGATAGGCAATGGGCCTGTGAACAATCCTCTAATAGAACGGGCGAAGATTGCGCTTTAAAAGTGTTTTCCGGGCTGCGACGTCGATGTTACGACGACTTCGATGGTGGATCTTGACGATTAGGTGACTTTGTATAGGGTCTGGAGGGGAGACTAATCCCCAAGCTGTTGCGGATAATCTCGTTGTGACTCTGCTGAGCTAGCCACAAAGGACATCAAGTGAGGACTCTCATGGTAGGGAACATACAACGTAACGACGTTTTTAAATCAAAATCGATCCTCGTTTACAGTTCCGTATCAAACATGTCATGGAATGCAACATTTCTCACTGACAAAACATGTGTTATAAACTCCAACAAGATTTGATCATGCGACTTGCGGGCCATGTTGCAAAATAGTACGCACGCCCGAAAAAAGTGTATAACCATTATTAGCTGTGACAATGTGTCACGGCAACTCGACAGGTTTGTCATCAGATGAGTGTATCACCCTTAGGGTCACCAAAGCCTGAAGGCAGCGTTACTGCTTCGTAAGTAGTAGGTAGAGAGAATCAAAGTGATGAGTCCCCTGCTTGCAGCCGTAAGTCATGAGGTCTTAATTTTGGAAAGGCGGATTGGTGCAAGCGGCAAAGAAAAGTTAACCTTGGGGAGGGAGACAAGGGTTGTTAGTGGGCCTGGGGAACGAGTGGCATGCCGTTTGCTGGGTGCCGGGCCGCAAGATCTAGTGGGCCGATCCGCTGGGACCGACCCCGCAAAGTGGCAGGGAATTCCCGGCGAGGGACGACAAAGCTGGGAGTGAGGCTTTGATCACCAATAAAATGACCTGTGACAGTCTGGATGTTGCGCCTGGGTTCTTGGGTGGGTATCAAGGCTGGAATATGCCATGCACTGTTGTCGCTGTTGCCTCTCGTAGCCGAGGCCAATGGCCAAGCGAACTGAGAAAAGCAACCAAACAGCTCACCTGAGACATGTAGACGCTTCGCCAGCAACATCCAGACGGTTGGCATTTTCCTTTTCAAGTTAGCGGCTATCGACTGGATGTGTTGATTTAGTCCACTGTCTACTGGGTAGTTCGGATACTGAGTCGGATAGGCTGACCCAGGTTTAAGGTCGATCAGGACGGAGACGGCCTCTGACGCCGATACACTACCCGGCAAGGGGACAAGTGGTTGGCCGGTATCTCTCAACTACATGTTACGTTATTTAATTAGCAGTGAGAATGAAGTGCAGTCCCCTTAGCTCCTTCACTACCAGTTTGTCTGGTCAATTTTATGTTATCTTGCTTATTTCGTCTCGGTGAGTTTTCAGTGTACATCTCTGAGCATCGCTGCAGCAAATGTACTAGTGACGATGTACGAATGTCCCGACACGTCAGGCCTGAAGCTTTTACCAGCACACCCCACAATAATTCGTTGAGAGGTGTGGCACTGGAGCAGGTTTCATCTCATTACAGCTTGGTCTCTACTCGGCACGATAATCATGACTCCTGGAGAATCAAGGGTCCTCTGAAGAGGAAAAGAGATAACAAGAAAGAAGAAAAATCAGGTACCCAGTTTAAAAATTCAAATAAGAGAAGTGCGAGAGCTGAAATGCATGGATTGCATGGAGAAGCTAAAGGCTTCGCTGGAATCAAGACACCAAGGGGGGAATGGACAAGCAAATTTTATGATACTACAACACAAATGAACTTGCGTCAGATTGTGGGTCAGCAGGCAATTGCGTAGCACTTGGTAAGCATCTTTTACAAGTAAAGCTCGATGGCAGAATACAACGCACAATATTTGTCAAGTGGCTGTTGAATTGGCCAAATGAATCGGGAAAGCTGAAAGGCGGGCTCGTTGTCGTGCTGGAGTGTGTCTTAGTCTCGTCTTGCCCACTCCCTATCATCGAGGAAATATTAACCCACTCGTACAAGCAGCAGTTTTAGTTGCATGTGTCTACTCATAATTGTCAGTCATTCGCAATACTTGGCATTTTCCTTTCAGGCAAATGAGTAACCGATACTCGCAGTCTTAAGGTGTCGGTTAAACTCAGCTGTTCCCTTTCAACTTTACCAAAAGTTGAAAAAGAAGCGCCTCACGTCTTGCGAAAATTGTGTCCCGTCTTGTTAATTGAAAAATTAAAATGGCAATCATAATTAGAAGAAGCAAACATTTTCCTGCCAATCGATGAGGAAGCACAAAAGCGGTGAGAAATGCCGAGAGAAAACAAGTCTAGCACCATGTTGTGCAACCAGGGAATGTTGATGGACCTTGTCAGGCTCGGAGTCCCCCGGAGTGGAGAATAAAGTAAATATTCTGGCAATTCGGCGAAGTTTATCACAACTGCTTGTACTGGCTGGCTAATGAGGTACATAAGGATTTTACCACTTTCCCTATAATCTTATTTGAAGCAAAAGAAACCTTTGTGGGAGGTGATTGTAAGAGGCCATCATTTGCAAGAACCTTTCATTTCCAAGTCCAAATACCCAGTATCATTTTGGAGCAGCAGTTTACATCAATACGCCATGAGTATTTCTCCGTCACAATGTATCCCTGTGATCATTACCAGCCGCTATTAGTAGTTTAACATCGATGGAAGCAGAATTAATGCCCTTTCTTCACTGGCTCTGTAGACCCCAGCGCCTTTAAATACTGCAGCTACAGGGCTGGCTGAACATCATTCGAAATCAACCATCCCTGGGCATGTTATCATGCAGTCTCCATTTTGCCTGCAAGAAACATGAGCGAGACATGCTGTGGAACCCCTATCAATTTCGACCAACAAATCTCCGTGCCCCCCAGGGCCACGTATTCACTCTGACAAGTTAGTTACAGTCTGGACCGAGGAAGACCTTATGAGGCGCTTCGCCCTCACCTGGCGACCCATAGCTGAGAGAGAGAGAGAAGAGGAAATCCCTGTCCTCTCTTTTCTCTTCCCCCTCCATCGGTATCTGTGTTTGGCATTTAAGACATGCCTTAGTCTTTGAACTAATGTTGGTAGATTAGAAGGCCAGTTTTTCGCGTAGGAAAAACAGGGAAATAGGATTGCCCAGTCACTTACAGGCAAGCCTGATGTGAAACAAATATCTGAGATCCAACCGATGGATATTGCTGTCTTGTTCTGTGACTGACGCTGCAGGACTTCGACTAGTAGACTGGAGCCTTGATAATTTTTGATTTCTCATCGGCTGTTTAGAGCTGCAAGACATCTTGGATTGATGCGTGGTAATCTTGATTAATCAATGAAAATACGAGGCGGGGTGATTTACATGTTGCCCACTATTTAACCCACGTCGACTCAACTTTTATAAGACGATACCACTATTACCGACATGCACATGTTCAAGATCCATCCGATTAAAACCCTTTGTCACAATCCTACTTATCACCATGTCCAACTCGTCCTCATCACCACGCCCTTCTTGGCTAGATATGGTGCTTATATCAAACCAACACTCGTACCCTGACGGGGAAATCCCACACCCAGAAGACTTTAACGTAAAGAGGGCAACAAGGGTAGAACTAGAGGCTTTCTTGTCATTTTATTGGGGCCAGTCTCATTTCATCCCACCCCAATACCGGGAGCCGGTTCTTTCCCGTGACGTCCTCCACCACCTATCTATTGCAACAAAACTCTGGTTACGTCACCGACCGCACCGCCCATTGACTGAGCTTTGGGCAGAACATCCAGATCCGGCACTCGGTGGAACTTTTGTTAGAGCCATCTACCTCCGTGAGCCAGGGACGGTTGCACTCCTGACAAAAGACAATGCGTTTCGAGGCGCAAGGGCACTGAAACGGGAACTAGGATTTCGGGTTTCCCTTTTGCCACCAGACAGGCAGCATCTGGACGATATCGCGACAATGCCTCAAGCTTCTGCAGAACATCCGAAGCAGCCCATGATACACGCGACAGAATCCTCCGCCTTTTATGGTAATCATCAGGCGCATCCGTGGCCGCAAGGCCTAGAAGGTGAGTTAAGAATGGTTTCTTACAAGCACTTGAGGCTTACAAACTTTCAGAGACATATCCACATGCCGATACTACCTCCCACAACACATATTGGTAGCTTCAACAACACCAATTGGCAGAAAAAAGACAAACTAGTGTGGTTATATGTCAAAGTGCCCCTATTCTTTACCAAAATAACCCGTATAAATTACCCATCGACAACCCTGCAGCACTATGGTCCTGGAAAGCCGCATTCCGGACTCCTTGAAGGTGCTACTTCTCTACGTTTCATTTATGTATAGTCATTAGGAATCGATAATTTCAAAGATCTCACAAGTATGTTGAGTACCAATCCGTCTGACTAAGAATGACCTACCTGTGTGATATTGTCCACGTACGGGATGCAATGCTCAGCTTCTGACATTTCCATTTCGATGCTCGACTTTCGTAACACTGTATCAAGTTAGTCACAACTGGATGACGCAGACGTCACTTACTTACATCTTCAAAAGTCCCCGGGTAGTCGTTCAGTTATCATGTTGTCATTCTCTGATGATGTAACCCTGATAATGATATTCCGAGCGAAAAGCATTTACCTGCTTTTGCGACGTAGTCAATCCCAGGCACGAAACTATTTTTCAGGTATCCTACCGGTGAATAAATCCACGTGGCTTTATTTTTGTTCCTTTAAGCAATTGCTTTGTCCGGTATGCTGCGGAGAAAACAGGATACGCTGAAACTGCTAGTAAATAACATGATGCAGAGTTGCCATCAAGTATTTGTTTCGGAGTTCTAGTACAATATTGATTTTTTCCAAGTGTCTGTTCCTCGTTGATCAGGATTATCGGAGACCTTCATCTCTGTACTTGCTAATCTGTTGTGGGGAAGAGTACCATGTAAAGATCGCAGCCATCTTGGAGGCTTGGTTTAGATCAGGGTGGCCATTACAAAGACAAAAGACGGAGTGCTCAGACACTGGGGTACAAACCTTAGAAGACGGACTAAAGGTGGGCTTAAGCGGTCCCTCATGGCTTTACCTCGTTGTTGGTCATGGCCTCATCGATGGATCGTCATTCTGTTACTAAGAGCAATATCTTGGCGCGATAGGACAATCTTTTCTTCCATATTTGTAATAAGATACAAAACCGTCGAATTTCAGGTCTTAATCTCAGAAAAAAGCCCAAGGCATCAATGACAATGGTCCTCAAAGACTTAGAGCTATAATCTGGTCGCAAATCCACATTCAATGACAGTATTCTCGATCATTATTTGTGCTTAAAGAAGCACACAGTACAGCAAAGTATGGAACCTTTCCAAACAAAGATAAAACCATCTTATCCTCCATCATTACATTATGATTCCAGTCACAGCTGATCCCCGAAGTGGTCTGCAGGCCATCTCTTTCTCCATGCTGGTCCATAGAAGTAAACTACTGGGATGAAAAGGGCGAAAACGCTAATCAGTCCAGTGTAGATCATCATAGCGCCGAAGTAACCCATTTCTATGACCCAGTCAGATATTTTGAATGACAATACAAACGCCAACAAGCATCTAAATGATGCTATGTTTACCAAAGCAGGTCCTGCGAGGTGAGGGTAGCATTCTAGAACGTAAACTGCGCCAATAGTGTTGGCACCCAAGAAACCGAAAGCCATCAGACCGAGGCCAGTGAGAAACGTGGTTGGAGAGTATGTTGCCTGGTTGGATCCGGCCAGACCAAAGATAACTGAGCCTACAATGCCAGCAATAGTCGGGATAATCAAGTTGACAAGCTGGTTTTCTGGCACACGAACTCCACGTTTCTTGGCAATACGGTTTGCCATCCAATCAGCCGCACCGCCGGTCACAAAGGCGACAGCAATAGCAGCGATCAAAACTGGCACTAGGCACAGACCAAGTATCATAAAGTCCCATCTAACGCAAACATTAGCTTAGGTTTATGGACTTATAGCGGAAGTCATAACTTACGACCACGGCTGCGTCAAAAGCGCAGGCGCCACCGTGTATCCCGCTGCAAGCGCGCAGGCAATCATCACACTGTTCAGCATGGTAATAAAAAATATTTGCGGATAAAAGAACGTGCGGAGCGTGTTGACGAAAGCATTCCAGCCCTTGCGCCACTCCAAATTGCCATGGAATAAGGCGATATCATATCGAAAGGTTCTCGGTGGTTGTCTACGCCCGTCCTCTATCCGAGGAACACCGTCTTAGAGAGCTGGTGTCAGCGTACCGTATTATGCTCAGATTTGCCAGGATACTTACTCATTTCCGCGCGAGTTCTCTGCCATCTGGTTTCTGGCATGAAAAAATAGATGCCAATAAGAAAGACTGCTGCACCTATGGCCGTAATGTAGTAAATCCAGCGCCAACTGAGATCAATGATGATGTATGGCGTGGCGATGCCGAGAACAATGATAATGAGGCCTTGAGCTGCAAAGACAGACGATATCCAGGAGTTTCGTTGATGAACAAAAATCATGTCTTGGAGAATGAACGGAATTAGGCTTTCGACAGTGCCAGCGCCAACAGCCTGCACGCAACGAGCCAATAGATGTGATGTTAAAGATTTGCTGCTTCCGGCCCAGAGGCATCCGATAATAGCAAGTATACCGGTGCTTAGTACGACAGGACGACGACCGACTGAAATGGCCATTGGTACCAGAATCAGATTGGCTAAGCCGATGACCAAGACAGGAAGCGAGGCTAATAGGTAGACTTGAAATATCGGTGGGGCATTGGGAAGCCCTGATAGAATCTTTAAAGGGTCGCTGCCCGAAGGAAGACCACCACTTGATGTCAAAGCCTTCAGTATTTTTGGATCAAGGTTGGCGTATTCCAAAGCGAATACTGGCAACATGGCGCCGAGAATAAGCTCAGCTGCAGCGGCTAATGCGCCAAAACAGCACAGACAGAAACATCCCAGTATCTTCCGCGATAGGGGCAAGTTGAGCGGATCCCGTGGGTCTTGAGTTGGTGCGGGTTGAAGTATAAGTTGACCATCTTTGTAAAGAACATTGTCTTGGACCTGTGAATCTCCACGGAATGATTCCTGCAGAGTCTTCCGATGTTCAAATTTCTTGTCGATCGCGGTTGATGAACTGTTGGGGCTACCAAAACCCTCCAATTTGATTGTCCAAAAGGCATCGTCACCTTTTCTCTCGTTATCGCGCGCCCATAGTGGTTGGAATAAACTGGAGCCAGCTGAAAGTCTCGCTTCATATGTTGGAGCTGGGTATGGTAGGCCAGGAGCGGTGTCTGGTTTCTGTTCAAGTCGTCGAGATGCTCGGGAAGACCCTGGAGTCAGATCCATATTGTGCCGTCGTGCGTAAATTTAAAAAAAAAAAAAAAAAAAAAAAGGGTTACAACGTAGTCATTGACGCACCAGCAGGAGGAAGAGGCCAGCTTCACTTGAGTGGGCATAAGTTTCGGCGAATATATAAAAGATGCGGTATTGATGCTGCCATGAGCTCACAGGAGACACACGGCCCATCATGCAGCATGGTAGCAACCGAAACACGATCACGCATCATCAAACGCAATCACACAGACCCTGGCTTCAACAACATATCCCCAGAAAAGACTTACTGTCTGTCGAATATGTTTGTTTAGTTCATTTCCATCATTATTTGTTTCGTTAGAATTAGTTAGTCTGTGCTGATACATCCAAATATCTCCTCTTTCCTATCTGAACTTTCCCCTGCCATAGCGCCACATCAGACGAACAGATTGATGTGTCAGAGCGGCTAGGCTCACTTGAAACAATTGTTGAGGACCGATATCCGGATGAACGGGTTGCCTGTGGATTGGTGAACGAAAAACGTATTTCGCCATATTAGGGAGAAATGACAGTTATAATCACCCTGCTTTCGGAGTTATGGTTTCCTGCAGGGAGATAAACCATAGAACCAAAGCAGAAAATCAGTATTGATTTTCAAAAGAGCCCTTTGTTATCGCTTGAACAAAGTATTCAGGTGTTTGAGAAAGCTAGTTTGGATTGCAAGCCCGCGACAAGAACTGCTACCCAGCTGCAACAATAGATGAATGACAATTATAACTACATTTCGGACGTCTCATTCATTTTTCACTATCCGACGAACATGTTGTCAATCTAGTCTCAAATTGTGTCTAGCAGCCTTTGTATGTTGTGTGCGAGACGTTTCCCGTCGTGAGGTTTAATTTAGTACGCAAGCCTAACCAATATTAGTTTTATTCTTGAGCACTCCGGATTAGGTAGGATTGGGTTGAACAACTATCAATGCTGGTATCTTTGCTATTCCAGTGTCAGAACAGCCTGAATGCTCTGCTCACTTCCAAATTCTAGATGACTCGCCAGACTTCGCGCGCTGCAAGACGAAGGTAGCTTTCAGGGTGCGTTGATGCTGGTTGATGCAGACGATCCACCATTCCAGTTGCGCCATTAGGGGTCTATTGGCCAATCCTCAGATGGGATGAGAACTTTCTTCAACCTTAACTTCCTCAATAGGCCGGCCCTCTTTTGTCAACGATCTTCTTGCGCTTGCCTATCCCATAGATTGCAACATGGTAACAGGTACATGGCTCGCGGGATACGTGTCAATCAGACAGAGATGCTGTATCTTCTCTCGAACAATGAACATAGCGTTATTAAGTGTTTGGGGGTATCTTGTCCTTCAATTGATTGACTTATTCCTACTACCATGCTGCAGATTCGCATCCTTATCTGTCACCTGCCTTCCAAATGCTTGCATTCATTTTGCCGCTTCCTGCCATCGAGCTTGGCTTTATGATATGATTCAAAGACTAAAGATTCCTTCAGCTCATCTCAAGAGCATTTTGCCCTCTAAACTGTATCTCTTAGCGCATCGAGCACTGTTCATCTTTCGTGGCATGTGGTTTCAAAAAGAAGGCAGTGCCGCTAGATCTGTGAAGCGCCGGTTCTTGAACAGCGCAACAAATACTTAGATGTTATTTTAAGCTTGGAAATTCTGTATTAGCTACTGAAAAATTTTGTTGTTTTTCGTTTGCTTGAGGTTGGACACATTCCATCTCATGAATGTGAAAGAGCTATGGACATCATCGATTCCACAGCGCCGATCTCCACGTGAATTTACGTGGCTGTCCTTCAGTGACTTATCTGTAACTAATATAGTTTTACATCACCATTTGTCATCTATTGAGTTTGTCCAAGCTGGTTTCCGAGATTCAAGCTTGGAACCGCAGGTTCGGACGACTCCTGCCTCAGACAAGGGTGAATTGTGTCGATCAGGTTCCTGCGTTCACTACTATCATACAATTGATTACTAAGATTCATGTTAAAGTAATATCTACGGATTCTGGAAGTACCAGAGGTACCTTTGAATTTGTTTTCGAATTACACTACAATCAATGTTGTAGTAGAAATCGCGCAGGTGTTGCTTATGTAGCAGCGTGAAGTGCGGGGGGAGCTGCGGCTTCCCATAAGGTACTTGATGGGACAAGAGATGTTGATCATACCCACTGCGAGGCCACATCATAAAGTAACTTTACTTCTTGGCTTGTCTGGGCTCATCAGGAATGAGGAACCAGCGTTGCGGAATAGTTAACTTTACTGCAGCGATTTTCTCTTTCAATCAAGATTCTTCAGACAACTTGATATCAGGCCACCTCGAATGTAAGTAAATCCCAAATCCTTCACTATCGACTGCTAAGTGCCTCTAGATACAACGCTGGAAGAGGAGGGATTCAGTCATACTTTCTCCCGCTAATCAAAACCTAAAATCTTGAATACCTTTGTAGTCGGTATCATGACTTTTAATGGAGATTGATACTATCCATGCAATGTAATGGGTGCTGCTGTAAATAGCTACTTAGAGAGGGAGATAGCTCAATTTCATCACTTATTTCTGTTATGAAACGTGAAAAGCGGATGTGACTTTGGGAACAATAAACCTGTGGTCGTTCAGCATTCGATTGGATATATATAGTTCGCGCTAGCCTTATATCCAGTCTGATGAAAACTTTACTTTTTAGCACTTTGCTCTAATCGCTGGAATGCCTTTCCAATCAGTCCCTTCATGACTTCTAGTGCCTTGTTGTCAAAAAACTCAAGTACGCTTTCAATCTTCTTCCCAGTTCCATCCATTACGATAACGAAGATGTACTCGCGCTTGAGAAGCCATTCTTCGTCATCATCATCCCGCTGGAGGTGCGAATGGAAGCTTCCTCCGCCTTCTGCCCATACAGTGACTTGGTTTTCCGCTTCATTAGGCCATGTTTTCTTTATCTCCGTGGTGAAGTCCGAGAGAACAGCTCCCAGATTCGTCACCGAAGAGACGAAGTAATCACGGCCGACAGGTGACTCGAGCTTCGCAGAACCAGGAGCAAAATGTTGCTCATAATTTTCGGCGAGAACATCAAAAAGTTGTACCGAGTCAAAGTTTGACATCGCTTGAAAGTAAGTTGCCGCAGTGGCGAGAAGGGTAGATGAAGGCGCCATAGCAGTGGTGAGGATACTTCGTAACGTCGCACACCCACTTCTCGCACACCCCCACATTTCGCACACCCATAAATTGGGTCATCATGAGGTATTCATCAACTTCATAACTATAAGTCTGATTCGTCTCCTGCAACTGTGATACTATCGCCAGTTTTAATAGGTAATTCAGGCTCGCTAGATTCATCTGAGCTATCCTCAATTTCGCCAGCCTCAATTTGGGCTTTGTGAATTGCCTCAATGTTGGCAAACTTCGAATTTGGGCTCATTTGGACCTTACGCCGCTTCCGTACCATTCCAGCCTCAACTTCTGCTTCCAACATTGCAATCTTCTTCTCTGCTGTAGCCAATTGATAGTCCTTTTCATCAAATCCCTTTTGAACCTTCCGAAACAACAGTCGCTGCGTTTGCTGATCTTTATCCAACTTGCTGAATAAGCTAAGTTGATCATATAGATCAACTGTCTTCTTGGGCGTTGACCAGGCTACTATGGATGTAGCAGATGCCCAGTTTTCGTCTTTTCCACCATCAGAGGCCCTCATAGGCGTAGAATAGCCTGGCTTTGAGGGCTTGGAAGCATTCTCAAGCAGTAGAGGGCTCATGAGCGGTCGAGCTATCGAAATGGGCCATAGTCCTGTTGCTTTCCAGCCGCTTCTGATATTCTTGCTTGAAAATGCCATCTGGCGTGCTTTTCCATAGCAGGTAAGAAAGTTCCGTTTGCCTACAACTGTAGAATCGTTGTGTTGAATGAGGTATCCAAGCTCTTTTCGATAGGTCGCCTTGAGAGGCCCAAAGACTGCTTGGTCTAGAGGTTGGAGAACGTGGGATGTATGTGGCGGTAGGAAAAGGAGATATATCTTGTGTTTATAACAGAGATACATAAATTCTGTTGTTTCATGACTGCCATGACCGTCTAGGATCAATAGTCTCTGCTCAGAGGGATGATCAGGCTTAGTCAGAGGGATAAAGATGTTCTCAAGCCATTCCACAGCTGTAGAGTCTGAAGTCCAGCCATTCTCAGTTGCTGTGAACTTCCAACCACTGTAAATATCACGTTTATGGATATCAAGAGGAAACCATTGTTGTTGAACCGATTTCCCTCGATAAATAACAAGTGGAGGAAGCGCCTGACCAGTTGCAGAGACACACTCAAGCATAGTTGTCCAAGCCCGAGACCCAGGCTGTTTTTTTCGCATTGATGAGCTTTCTGATGATCCCAGTACTAAGCCATTTGATCCTCTGCCTTCTAGGATACCAGTTTCATCCATGTTATAGCGATGATGTGGTTTGATCGCCTTGATCTCTGGAAGGGCGAGTTGTTGAAACCATTGCCTGATTACATTAGTTGAGGCCCCATTGACACGCTTAGAATCGATGGCTCTAGCTCTATGAACCTTGATTGATGGATTTCTCTTAATAAAGAACTGAATCCAGTTTCTCCCAAGTGGCTGGGTAGTGCCTCTGATGTCTAGGATTCGCTGGGCAAATTCCTTGAGTTGTTGATGTGTTGGCGGCAGCCCTAACGCCGCCTGGATACGCACCCATTCAGCTAAGTGACTTTCCTGTGCTGGAGATAGCTTCTGGAAGCTAGAGAAAGCTACATTTCTTGCCTGTGAACCCTTTAATCGAGACTGGAGGGTTGATGGTGGAATTCCAGCATCATGAGCTGCCTTTCGGACACTCTGCCCACTTGCAACTGCATTGAGAGCTTGATTGACTTCTGTTTCCGTATACTGGCCCATTAAGCGTATAAGAGTAACTATTCAAAGAATTATAATAATCGCTGTAAAAGTGGTGAAGATATTAAAGAATGTTGAAGAGGGTAAAATTCTACATGAGCGATTTATGGGTGTGCGAAATGTGGGGGTGTGCGAGAAGTGGGTGTGCGACGTTATAGCAAAGGTTTCAGAGTGAGTTTTTGTGTGAACGGGTCTGCAGCGTCGTTCTGCAACAAAACTTGAGCTACAGCGTGCTCTATATTATAGTCGGAATGGTGTAGCGCCAAAGAAAGTTCCTGCTGTTAGTGCTGAACGGTAGTAATGAGCCAAGAGCGCGGGGTAAGAGCAAAGCATCGTTAGCTAAAAGCTTCCGAGTGATTTTGTCAGCAAATATTACTAAAAGCCTGTTTGGGTCTCCTTGAGATACTTTCAAGGCGTGGTAGCGTATGTCGTCCAGATATACCCTTTCATTTCAAGCGCTTGTCCAGCGCCGATCAGGTAACAAGTGGCGTGGGGTAAGGATGGACCTGGTCGCCTAACTGGTTTCTTAAAAAGATTTACCTAGGATACCACGCTGTTCCACATCTATCAGACCAAGACTTCGCAATAAGCATATCTAACGTGTTGAGATACAAAGGAGCTTTTCGGGTATAAGCCGCTCTATGACGGAATCTACATGGTAACTTCAACTGGAATTGACTTGTCATTAGTGAACACTTTTCCCAATTCAAATATATCTCATGGCTTTTTATGACGCCGGCCAGTAATTGCCTTGTTAGATGTGCACTTCCGCCATGCGATCTTGATGTTTATGCTTCAGTTCGAGGCTACCAAATATCAAATCCTTAACAAAAAGAAAACAGAGAATAAAAAGAACATAACGTTGGGCAGTAATCAATCGTATATTTTAAGCGGCATATAACATCAGATAAGACATTCTCGTCGAAGCCCATCTTTTTCTTTAGCAAAACAGGTGTCGACCATGAGCCAGCCATCTCAGAGCAACAGTCTACAAGACACTGAACAACTAGGATGTGACTTCTAGCTACCATAAGACAGATTCAGACGGTTAGGTTTCTGAAGATACAGGACAACACTATCCGTGGAATGGAAGACTTGATATCAAGACATGAGGTGGCAGAAGGATGCAACAACAACAGAAATCGCATATGGTGATGCTTGAGCAAAATGTACCCATAGGTGGAACTCTGCCGGGTCCTTGATGTCGGACGAGCGTAGATGGATCTGTGAGCAGACGGGGGGGGGGATGGACTAAAAGCCATGCTTCGGCTGCATTAGGGTGGCTGAGAAATTCTCCAGAGGTTGCTGACCAAATTCCGATGCAAATACAGCCCACAAATTGGTAATTTGAACAGAGCTTCTCGGTTCTAAGCTGCTTTGCTTCCGATCCAGGAAGCCAGGGAGCCCTCTTGGCCTTCAGGCAATTAGTCAGTACTGTCAATTGCTTCATAATTCCATCCGACACCAGCGGTCAATAATGCCAATATCGTTGTTGCTGTGTTATGCGCTGAACAACATAATTACTATTTAAGACTTCTTGGTCTTCCACGTTTTTCGCCTTTTCGCCAGATATCACAGTCACCTACAAACTTCCTGACTATATCACTTCAAATTCTTAAAGTCCCTCATACTTAGATATTTAGCCCAAATATGTCTTCCATCAAAAACGTCGCTCTTGCTGGTGCAACTGGTAGCCTTGGCTCTCTCGTTGTTAAGCACGTCATTGCTTCTGGCCTATTCAACGTCACTATCCTGAAGCGCGCAGGATCCACTACCACTTACCCTGACTCGGCTGATGTCAAGTTTGTGGAAGTCGACTACGATTCTCAAGAGTCCCTTCAAGCCGCTCTTACCGGCCAAGATGCTGTTATTTCGACACTTCCTGACCGAGCTATCGAAAGCCAGATTCCTCTCATCGACGCGGCGGTCACTACTGGCGTGAAGCGATTTCTTCCCTCCATGTTTGGTTGCGATCTAACCAACCCAAACGCTCGCAAGATCCCCGTCTTCGTCCCAAAGGCAAAAATCGAGGACTATCTCAAATCTAAAGCGAAGGAGTCTGGCTTGACTTACACGTTCATCTACACGGGCGCATTTTTGGATTGGGGTATCCAGAAAAAGTTTTTAGTCGATCTTTCCAGCTCCACACCCAGGGTTATCGATGGAGGAGACTTGACTTTCAGCACCACATCTCTTTCAACAATCGCTGACGCTATTGTTGGGGTTCTATCGCATCCTGCAGAGACAGAGAATCGTGCTTTACGGGTTCATGACTTGGTTACTACTCAAAACAAAATTCTGGCCCTTGCCCGCGAAGCTCATCCGACAAAGAAATGGGATCCCGTTTCAGTTTCTCTGGATCAGCTCACTGCGGCAGCTGAAGCAAATATCGCCCAGGGAATTTTTGACCATGAGACCGTGGTAGCCTTCCTGTACCGGGGCCTTCTAGACCCCGCGTATGAGACTACCTTTAAGACGACAGACAACAAGCTTTTGGGAATAAAGTCAAAGGGAGAGGATTTCATCGTTAAAACTGTCAAGGATCTCTTGAATTAGAGTGCAGACTCCATTTGCTTAAAGTAGACCTAGCTATACAATAGATAAGCGATATTAGGAGTAGCTTTAGCAAATAAAGCGACAGTTCAAACTTGACTGAAACAACTAGCGAAGATTGATCATGATTCATTCATTTCGTGTTTAATAAATCCTCCGCAAAAGCAGCACATCTCAAATCAGGTCGTAATAGCCAAAAATCACGGAGACTAATTTTGCCGGTTGAAACAATTGACTATTTCTAAGAAGTTTTCGGGGCCACTAAGAAAGAATTATGGTCCTTGGCCTCTTGGTGCTTAGATTACATGCAATGTGTCAGTTGCTATTGCTCTGGGACGACAACCTTGCAAAAATATCTGCGAGCAAGCACATTCGTGTTCATTGATTCAATGAGGCTGCAGGTTTTGCATTTGGGGTATATCGTGATGCAAACTTTCAACTTTGTATCAAAATTCTGCACATCTTCAATTATCTTCGCCAGCCACTCGTCGTTGGCCTACCAGCTTAGTATCAAGAACTGTTGACTCGACCCTCTAACTAGCGCGAAATTAAGTCACTGTTTGCCATCACGGTCAGCATCAATAAGCTATATGTAATGAATAATGGGGCAAGACCGCTTTTTCACACCCAAGATGGTTTCCAATCTATGATTATTTCAAACCGGTTGCAATATCCTCCCGTGGAGCTTTGCGTGCTTGATTGCTTTCGCCGCGGAGATGTTTGCTGAAAGGCAGATTTGTCATGTACCACCGCGGTGTACGGATAGACATGAACATGGATCTTGTAATGGTGGAACTGCCCACTGAAGCCCCGCTGACACATCCTTGTCCGACCAAGTTTAAAGTTTGAGGCTTTACAAAAGGTTAAAAGCCTTTGAACGATTGGTCAATTTACGATGCTGCCTCCAGATTGCGTCTAGATGCCACGAGGCCAAAGCGGAGCCACAAGACGTCGGCAGAAAAGGCTTGGAGTGCATGCGTGACAATCGTGGAGGTAATTTTTATTACATCTCTGTGCGGCTCACCCTCACTGGAATGATAGACAGATTCGGATGTATATGACCTCTGCTGTTGTTACTAATAGCCGGAACTCCAATATGGTATTCTTTAGCTTCCCAAAATGCCAGGATATTGAAGCTATCATCCGGGTTGACTTACTAATAGGGACACTCTGTTTGCTGGTGGCTCTTCCCTAAATCAACAGCGATTGGTAATGAGACCACCACGGCACAAGCGATTAGCGGCTTCAACTTTGTACCTTACTCTAACCTTCGAGTTTGGTGTTGCGCACGAACCTTTAGTTAACATTGCGTTGCTTGTTCGATCAACTTCCGGCATTGTAATCACATTGACAGACTGTCGAAGATTTTTGAAAGATCCTTACACGTGTAATTGACGGAGCTTTGTAATCATTTGCTTCTGAAATGTACTTCTAAAGCTTTGAGCTGCAATAGTTTATGTTCGGCGTAGGAGCCTCTCAACTCTCTCGTCAAGGTGTATTACCTCCTGGCATATCTCTACATCACCTTCCATATTCTGCTTAGCTGCACATAATACCAATCTATAGAGTCTACAAAAAAATGGCTCCCGAACAGAACAAGTCTCTGATTTACAAGGCGGTGCCTGACACCTTTCCCGAGGCCGGTACGCATCTCACCATCGAGGAACGCCCTATCGACATTGATACCGCTGAACTCCATGGTGGCTCCCGAACAGAACAAGTCTCTGATTTACAAGGCGGTGCCTGACACCTTTCCCGAGGCCGGTACGCATCTCACCATCGAGGAACGCCCTATCGACATTGATACCGCTGAACTCCATGGCGGCATCCTCGTCAAGGTCCTCTACACCTCCTTAGATCCCTATCTGCGCATTCTGATGCGCGATCCCAAGATCAAATCCTACAGTCCACCCTTAAATCTTGACGAACCCATCCAATCAGCCATCGTTGGCAAGGTTGTGCGCTCAAATACACCACAATACCAAATTGGTGATACTATCGCCACATTCTACGGGGAGAATGCCGAATACACTATCATTCCTGAAAGTTCGTTTTCCGCCACCGGCCTCCGCAAGGTCGAAAACACTCAAGGCCTTCCTCTCTCCTATTACGTCGGTTACCTAGGTATGCCTGGCGCTACTTCGGTCCAAGGCTTTTACGAGGTCGGTCAGCCCAAGAAGGGTGAGACCATTTTCATCTCCGCGGCTGCTGGTGCTGTCGGCCAAGTAGTCGGCCAGCTGGCCAAGGCGGAGGGTTTGACCGTTATAGGCTCTGCAGGGTCTCAAGAAAAGGTTGACTTTATCAAGTCCTTGGGCTTTGATGTGGCATTCAACTACAAAGAGGAGAAGCCCCTCGACGCACTTCGTCGCCTCGTGCCCCAAGGGATCGATATTTATTGGGACAATGTTGGCGGGGAGGCACTTGAAGCTGCCCTTGAAATGATGAATGACCAAGGTCGCATCGTTGCCTGCGGGTCCATCAGCGGATACAACTCCAAGCCCGAGGACAGATACGGCGTGCGGAATACATTCTACCTTGTGACCAAGCGCTTGCGTATTCAAGGCTTCATAGTCGATCTGTCACCTCCTAAGTACAATGCTGCGATTGACAAGCTTGCGCCATTGTTCGCAGAGGGCAAGATTCAGGTCAAGGAGGATGTCTATGATGGTATCGAGAGAGGTCCCGAAAGTCTGATTGGAATCTTCAAGGGCCAAACCTTCGGCAAGACTATTCTGAAGGTTGCAGATGTTTAAGTATCACAACAGAGATGTAGACATTCCTTTAGGATAATCACTCTTTGGCGTTGGTTATCTGAAAGCTGACTCTCGAGTTTGTGGTCGTTGTGCTTCAATCTGAAGCCAAAGCCCTATTTCTTTTCGTCTCAGAAAATGAGATGAAAGTAGAATTAAAATTGTAATAAAAAAACAAATTAGGGTTTACCGTCGCGAGTTTGAGTTCGCGATTTGCATTCAATGGCGGTTGTACAAAACCATTAATTTCTATGTTGTATCAATGCCAAGGCACTACCCCACGCAAGAACAGCCAGGTGATGACATTGGAAATTCACACGACCACAGACTGTCTACGCTCGCTTGTTACTGTATTAATCATAATTTTATTACTTCTCTTCTGATTGACTGCAATATTATATTTGCCTCAGCGCCAACTTGCCCAAACCAACATTCCGTTTGTCACACAGTGAGGTGGATGACTGGCCGGCCAACCCAATAAATTGAACCGCTTGTGCAAGCCGGATCTATTATGCTCTAGAGAAGCATACTTTCATTTCATGATGCCAAGATTGTATGTGATTATTCGCCAGTCTATGCAACAGGTTCGTATCCCGATCGAGAGTTATGGGCGGCGCGGTTGGAGAACAGCCAGTAGATGATCATGCCGATGATGGGGAAGAGGAAGACGACTAGACACCAAAGCACCTTGTGACTAACAGTGCGGTCCGATTTCAAAACCTCGACTGGAACAAGATGGTTAGTGGGGGTTTATTTTGAAAGCAAGGGTTGCGGAAGCAGACGTACTGAAGACGATAATGTCCAAGACGAGCACGACGAAGCCGATTATACCACCGCCAGTTCCATATTGCCATGTGTTGCCGTGGCCAGTTGCAGATAGCGTGGGGTCGGAAACAGGAGCTGCTGCGGCCAGTAGAGCAAAGCAAAGCTGGAAAAAGAGGTTCGAGTAGAATGTATGGAGCATCTTTGTGGCGTTTGTGGTGATGGTGCGTTAGATTCCTGTGTAGTGGAGGATGTCTACGAGCTTTGATACGACGAAGTAGTGTATTATTGTGAGTGGTGTGGGGAGGACGAGAGCGTGTGGTTAAGAGGTAGGCGGTGATGATTGCGCAGTATGGACTCTTTAATACCAGTGAGCACTGAGGTGTTGATGACGTCATGTGTATGCATCGTTTGTTGTCGTCTGACCAGCACGCGCCGTGCGCTAATCCCAGGAGGGTATTCTGTGCAACAGCATGGCGGGCTACAATTGGTTGAGGGTTGTCCTGCTGATAGGCTCCAACTACCGACTAGAAAGCCACAGTCTGCTCAAGCCATTTTTGGTTTCTGCAGGTGTTTGAGTGACGTACTCAAGTATATCTCAGGTAAGCATGTTCAAAACTAAGGTGCACGGAGCTTCACTTGGGTTCAAATCAAATTCAACTGTACAAGTCAAACGAAATCCTGATGGAAATAATAATTCCAATGTATATTGTGAAGATAATTATTATAAAGTAATTAAAGATAGTCATTATGTTAATGTCTCTCTGGAGACGAGTGATTAGTGAGTGATACCAGCCCTGTTCTTTGTCCAATTTCCAAGTTTATCCCGTAAGTTTATCCCGTATTAAAATCCCGTCATGTTGACCATTAGTTGTTGCCTTTTGAAACCCCTTAAATTTCAAAAGGTTTTGTAGCATGAAAATTGCTGCGGATCTATTTGGCGTAAAGGTTGATCGAGCTGTTCAAAATGGTTTGAAGTGAGCTCGAGAGGCCCTCCAGGGTTTGTCGAAGAGAAGGGTCGATGCGCTGGAGGAGCACCGAGTTGCTACCGGTGAGGAGGTTGCTGTTCAGTAGAGTCTGCGTCAGGAAGCTGCGGATTCCGTCCAAAGCAGTGCCGACGTTGCCGTTGCCCAGACCCAAAACTCCTCCCAGAATTGTTTGCACACGGTTGAAGATAGAAACAGAGTTGCCAGCGCCACCAGAGATGGCAGTGAAATCAGGCTTCCTAGCAGCAAACTGGTCCAGAACCTGCTGCAGATTTCCTTGGAAGCTGGTGAGCTGAGAAATAATCTGTTGCGACTGGTCGAGTGAGAGGCCTTGGCCTGTTGCATTGAAGTCTTGTAGCTGAGATAAGAGGCTGCCAAAGGTGGTTTGAAGTCCACCGCCTCCGCTCAGGCGAGCAAAAAGAGGCCTGAGGACATCGTTGAGAAGCTTATTGAAGACTTGGTCAAGCCCCAAGGATGCCAAAAGACCACTGAGGCCAGTTGTCCTGGATGGGAAGTTTGCACCCTCAAGGCCGGTGACACCAAGCCTCACCTGCACTACCTCATTATTGATATCGACAAGTTTGGCCAAAAATGAGTCCGGTCCGGCGTTAGTGGTTGTGACTTGGCGATCTTCTACTGCTGGAGCTGCTGGGGCGTCAACTACAGGGAGGGCGAGCGCAGTGACCGTGCTCACTGAAGCAAGAATAGCGACGATGTTGGAAGTACGCATTTTGAAAGAAAGATCAAAATATTGTAGATTATGAGGTGAAAGTGAAGCAGGAGGCTTGCAAAGAAAGTCCGGGATAAAAAGTGGAAGGGCTGGTTTGAAGATTGCCTCGCTTTGAAGATGAAAGAGCTTGAAGACTGCTTGGGGAATCTAATTCCTGGAGGGAAAACAGGTCTGTATTTATCCTTTCCTCGCCACGCTGTTCACTCCTTGCCATCATCACCAACACCACTGAACAGTTGCCATAATTTTCTTCCATGTCTCAGCCGCCACGAATCTGGATCAGCGTTAGGTGTCTGGACCCCAGTATACCCGGGATCATGGTTACTGTTTCTGAAGACCTAGGGGTCTGGCTCTTTACGCAAGAGGCGGCATAATTGGGCTGAAAACTGTTTTCGGCTGAGAATAAATGTGCAATAAACTGCATGCATCGACAGACAAAGGGTATGCGACGTGTGGGCCCGAGACTACTATAGAAATACTAGCGCGGAATAAGAGCCTGGAGCTGCCTAGATGGAAATTTTCAGAGTGGAGGTCAGTATTCCCGTTGTTCGCTTGTTCATGATGTCTCAGTCATGCCGTTTTCATAATTGGGCCACTAATCTGGACCCTTGGACTGTAGATGCTACCCAGCACCAGTAAAGACTTGGAGATTCTTGCCTTGGCGTCATCCTCTTCGGAGAGTCAGACAGTTAACGTTAGCCGTAATGAAGGTTCACTGGCATTGGATTCATTCTAGTTTGGGCAATGTATACAAGGCGAGCTTTGACATCTTCAACTTTCCGGAGCAAAGGCTGCTGCTTGGGGGCGCTAACGGCCTAGCTATGTCACGCTTTCCTCATGACGTTCTATTGCCTTCGTCCCCCAAAGGGATAGTTTGTGGACATTGTTAAACAATCTTTGTTGATCCTCCAGTGAGAGGGATTGCATGCGGTCGAGGCAAAGGATTTTCTGACCCTTTTGTAATCATTCAACAATAGCTTGACTTTCATTTGGTGATTTCTTGATGGTAACACAGTATGTGATATTTAGAAGACTGATGTGACATCCTCAATGTAAGACCAAATTGATTAATCCTGACGTCAATGCAATCGCGCAGGCGCATCGGCAATGGGATGCATAGAGGCCATAGTTAGCAAGCTGGCACAACAAGCAATTGTCAGAATTTGCGCCCTGCATCTGTGTATTCTTGCTTCAAGAACTACCTCGCTGCAAGTTCAGTTGTTTTTAATGTCATTGGGGCATAATTTCTTGAAGATCTCCTGCCCAAGTACGTCAACAGTTGTTTCGTTCTTCTGTCTGTCAACATGCATAAAACCACTTTAACTGAAAATACTCCCCCTGGATGAGATGAGAGAGGTCTACAGAGAGAGCCCGCGACAGTTTTCTGGCTTTCCATCACTAGGAAAATGCATTGACAAGACTAAGAACAGAAATGAAGAGGCTTGAATAATTTTGCGTTTGATTTCGTTCCTTTCCGTATGCGAGTTGATATTTGACTTGTGAACTCCCTTTGGTGGTCATCACTCTATAACGCGTGCATCATAGTGTCAGAACTTGGAATTCACCCCCAACTTTGTCTTGACGTATGCAAAAAACGCAGATTATGACATGCAATTTTTGCTAGCAGCTTACCCTCTGATTCATCATAAGAATTCCGCTTGGTTAGCTGTCTCGATGTTATCTTGGCCAAGTACGGCCATCAGCGGCAGCCCCACGAAGAAGAACAACCTCTTGGGGCGTCTATTATCGTGGATTTATGACCGAAATGGAAGTCTTGTACAGCGGCTCTGTAGGACACCTGGAAAAATACTTCGGGAGTCCGTTAATGGAATGAAACTACAGTCAACTACGTAGCACCACTAATAAATATCTTGATGGCTACGAGCGTTATGCATCTTGTCGATGAAGGTTCACTTGACCTCAACAGCGATTCGCGAAATCTTTTTTCCACGCTTCGGGCCTTGCAAATCTTTAGAGGCTTTGATGAAGATAGAAAGCTGATGTTGATAATCATGATACCAATCATAGTCAGGTAACCACAGTTCTTAGTTTTTAACAGGCTGAGCTATTTCCAGACAAGTAATCAAAGATGTTCCTCACACATACTACGGGCGTTTGCTACGACCTTGCCATGACAAGCAATCGAAAGAGAAATTTTGACGGCTTCACGATATATCTTAGCTTCAAACCAGGAGAATAGTGACACTCCTGCTCAGATTTGGACTGGGCTGGTGAAGTCGATGAGGAGATCACTGGCAGGACACTTACCCTGTAGTGTAGACAAATATACTTGTTGGCATGAAATATACATTTTCCCGGCCTGAAAATCTATTCCACGCCACAGACCGTAATGCTGATGACGTATCGTAGTGAAGATGCAAGCTTTGGTACCGGTCCCCGATCCATTCCAGAAGTTCATGCCTCAAAAGCAACACGAAAATGTCCTTGGTAAATGAAAGAAAGTCAGCATGATGTGGAGCGGCTTATGTCGCGGACAATGTTGGATGGACAGGTGGACAGGCATTGCGACTGTCTTACGTGCACAAGTCGTTCCATACGTCGGTCCTGCTGTTGCCATGCTGTATGATGGTATGATGAGTTGGAAAGTAGCAGCGTATGAAGAACCTATTATCATTCATGAATTTGGCATTAGGGGCCAAATGGGAAGATGAATACTCACAAGCTGTCAGGCTTCATAATCTCATACTTCAAAGACACGAAGGTCAGTCTCTATACAGATTTAGTACAATTTTGAGGATATTCCAAAACAATCATGCCTTGTCATCATTTACCTAGAGAGTCAGCGCAGTAGTCCATGGTCATTATGAATTTACAAGAGTCATGGTGCACACGCAAAAATGCATCATATTGTCTAATTATATAGGGGCCGGCGTGCTTGATTAAGGGACAATATCCAGTGATTTTCGAAAAAAAAAAAAGCGAACTCTCCTAAATCACGATTTACTAGGAAGAAACTACTGAATTTCGATCTGCAATCAGAAAGTCAGTTACAGCGGAAGTGAAATCATTGTTGAGTCTGACGCAACCACAGACGTGAGTCCTTTTAACCGGAGATATTTCGCCCCAGTGTAGATAGTCTGCGAACCCGCGATTGGACAAGCAACCGGCGTGACTCATACTCCACCTGATGTTTCCTTGCTCGGAACAATCTCTCAGGCATAATTGTAAGCGGAAGTTACAAGTAGCTCCGGAGTGTCAGGATCAGCTAGAAATGCCGATACCACCACTGCAGGTATCTGTAAGCGTGACGTGTACTTGGTATTGCTAGGGCAACTTCATAGCAGGGAAGTTACGGATTGGTGCCTGCGGCCATTTATGAAAAAATGCATACCAGCCAGTAAAAATGACTCCAAAGCCGAATCCGTGTCGCTTTGGGAAGTATTTTGAGTTCACTCGATTAGACAACATATGCGCAGCCGTCAAATGTGGGCGTAAAAGAACGAGGGTGCGTACGACACTATTGCAGACTTCTCTGGAGCACCCGTGGTTTCAGTCAATGATCCCTCAGCAGCTACTCCTTGATAGCAAGCCAGCCAGTATGGACCTATCCACACAAACCAATGGGCAACCAATACAACGTAACCAGTCAGGTTCCAGAGAGTTGACGCAAGTGGCCCGCTTGTCATTACGAGATGTCCTGGATTAGTTCGCGACGTAAGGAGTCATAGCTATAGATTAAAAATGCTAGCCTGCCTAGACGTTTCTACCTTATTTCTTGGTACGCTCCTAAGCGAAGACTTTCTTTTCCAACATCATATTATCTACTTCGTATGTCGCTTTGAAACGATCTTCAACCAAAAACAACATGATGTCCCCCAAAAAAATTCTCGTTTTGGGCAGCGGTTCGGTTGCGAAGCCATGTGTTGACTATCTGCTCCGTGATCTGAATAATCACCTTACAATCGGTATGTTCCTTACTGTGTTAGCTTTTCTTGATGCAGCGCTGTGAGTGTGTTCATTTGCTGACGCAGACTTTCAGCTTGCCGTACGCTCGTTAGCGCAAAAGTCTTGTCCCGTAATCAACCTCGGACAACACCGATCAGCCTCGATGTCACCTCAAGCGATCTTGATCGTGTGATAGCAGACCATGAAGTTGTCGTATCACTTGTTCCGTTCATATATCACCCCACAGTCGTGCGATCTGCCATCAAGGGTAAGACAAATGTTGTTACAGCAAGCTATGTCTCTCCAGAGATCAGAGCCCTTGAGAATTTTGCCGTAGAAGCTGGCATCACCATTGTGAACGAGGTTGGAGTCGACCCGGGCGTGGACCACCTGTATGCAGTGAAAACCATTGGAGAAGTCCACGAGAAAGGCGGCAAGGTAGGAGAAAAAGAGTCAGTTGCCATATTGGATTATATAAAATTGATGACTTCGATACAGATCAAAGAGTTCTACTCGTATTGTGGTGGGCTTCCAGCCCTAGAGGCAGCCAACAATCCCTTGCGATTCAAGGTAAGAGAGGAACCCAACCATTGGAGAATCAATTACAACACTGATAGTTTTGACAGTTCAGCTGGTCTCCTCGTGGTGCTCTACTCTCACAGTGCAACTCTGCAACCTTCTTGCAGGAAGGCCGCGAAGTCACAATATCAAGCAAGAACTTAATGGCATCAGCTCAACCTTACTACGTCATGGATGGATACTCATTCGTGGCATATCCCAATCGGAACTCTCTACCTTTTCGTGAATTTTACAACATTCCAGAGGCGCAGACTATCATCCGGGGTTCTCTTCGATACAAGGGAAATCCTGAGTTGGTCAAAGCCTTATTCAGTCTTGGTTGGCTCAATCCAGAAGAAAGATCTTGGTTGGGATCAGAAAGTACATGGGCCCAGCTCCAGCAGAGAACAACTGGCGCTGTCAGTGCGTCTGAAGTTGACCTCATCTCAAGAGTAGATGAGCTCTGCTCATTTAGTGATTTGGAAGAACGAAGCGCTGTGCTGGAGGGTTTGCGGTGGATTGGTCTTTTCTCCGAAGAGAATGCACCAGTCAAAAATAACCTTCTTGACACACTTTCAAGTCGCTTGGAATCACTTTGCAGCTTTCGCCCTGGCGAACGGGACCTAGTGATGCTCCAACACAAGTTTGTGGTGGAGTGGCAGGACGGCAAAATTGTACGTTGCCGATGTAACACCTCAATGATGACTTTCACGGGAAAGGCTAACGTCATTTAGGATCCCATCACTTCGACTATGGAACTTCTTGGAGATCCCGAAGGTGACCACGCAATGTCGAAATCTGTTGGGATAACTTGTGGTATTGCCACCCAGCTGTTGTTAGACGGTCATCCAGCCATTGCCAAGCCCGGTATAGTCGCGCCATACACGAAGGAACTCTGTGATGCTCTTCGAGCAAAGGTGGAAGCAGAGAACATCACATTGATCGAGAAGGTTCTCTAAGCCTGTCTACTAACGTTAAGCTCGTGGCGGGTGAGAAGAGACTTCAAAGCCCGAAGCAACTGGTCTGTGCTACAAAACCAAGCACCATTTTCAGTTCAACAATTCAATATTTGTAGAAGCTACTTTCTATTTCGACTTTTTGTCTAAGATAGACTACGAAGAAGACGTGTTTGGACTATCTTTATTTTTCAATTATTCGGGTTGTGTTCATGATGGCTAAATGTACACCGCGCTATTCTGGAAAACTAATCATTAACACTATTATGCAAGGGCTTTTCTCAATGTATCCATAAACTTCCACACGTCATGGAATGTGCAGTAAAGAGGCACTGGAGCAACTCGGATAACTCCAGGCTTTCTCTTGTCGCATACAACACCAGCATCCACAAACGCTTCTGTCACACGATCCAACAAACCATCCTTCAACAACACACTGAGTTGAGCACCTCGCTCTTGCGGGTTTCTTGGTGTAATGACCCGGAAAGAAGGCTCACTGTCAGTGTCATCTGCAAGGATTCCATCAAGAAGGTGCTCGGCATACGCCGTCAGAACAAGAGACTTTGTCCTCAAATCAGACATTGACGTCTTCTCGAACACCGACAGTGCTCCAGACAAGGCGGCAAGATCGAGAGCGGAAGGGTTGGACACCTGGAAACCGCCTGCACCAACGGTAGGCAGGAAGTTGTTGTCCATGTTGAACCTCACCGACTTGTCTCCTCCGTACCATCCCGTCAGTCTGTGGCGGAACTTGGGCTTGCCCTCGCTCATTTCAACCTTCCCATGCCTCTCGTGGACAAACGCGCCTCCCATGGCACCGGGTCCAGCGTTTTGATATTTGTAGGTACACCAAGCCGCAAAGTCCACGTTCCAATCGTGCAGCTTCAATTCGACGTTTCCAGCAGCATGTGCCAAATCCCAACCAACCACCAGTCCCTTGGACTGGGCGTATTCGGTGATGCGAGGAATGTCAAACAGTTGACCGCTGTAGTACTGAATACCTGGCAACAGAAGTAAGGCCGTCTCTTCAGCATGCTCATCGATCGTCCTCAGAATCAAGTCCGTTGAGATATAAAAGTTCTCGTCGGGTTGAATCTGCACCATGGACTTGGCGGGATCCAGTCCGTGCCACTGAATCTGAGACTCAATTGCATACTAAACACTGTCAATACACGCGACTTCAGTTGATGTTTGAAAAGAAGACCTACGTGGTCACTGGGGAATGGTCTCCACTCCAGGATGATTTTGTGTTTCTTTTCTGTTGGGCGGTAGAAGCTTGCCATCAGGAAATGCAGGTTGGCTGTCAAAGTGTTCATCATAACAACCTCTTCGGGCAGTGCTCCAACTATAGGCGCACTCTTCTTTGCGACATTCTCAGCCATGTCCTGCCAGCACACCAAAGGTGAGTTGCCGAGACCGCTGAAGTGGCCATTGACGCCGATCGAAGCCCATGTCTCCAATTGAGCATTGATGTATTCCTTTACAGCCTTGGGCGGGACACCCAGGGAGTTTCCACAGAAGTAAACAGACGGTGTCTCGTCATCTTCAGATGAGTGGCTACCGTTTGTACCATTAACACCGTTTGCATGGCCGTTCAAAGCTTGCTTGTCTGCACAGGTCGTAAGCACATATGCTACAAATGAATAGGCTGTGTATGCAGGACTTACTGGGGAGTCTTCCGTCTAACGCCTTCTTCTTGAGAGAACCTTTAGTCGGGATGATGAACTCATCGCGCAAGTGCCTTAAGCTATCCTGAGCATCGAGTTGTTGAGCAAACTCAACAGTGTTTGAATTTGCGGGGAACTTGGCCGGGCGTCCGGATCGGATTTGTTCTGCAAAGGCGGCGAACTCCATGGTGAATCGTACGATGAAGTATCTTTAAACTAAGTTGATGAATCGATAATTCCGAAATATGGCACAAGCTGCTTTCTAATCTGGGCATTTTCTGCGTCTTTGTACCCGGCGCCTCCTCAATGCCTCGACGATAACACATCGTCATTCCGCAGATTCGACGCACGGCCCCACACACTTCCGCCATCCGCTTCCGTCGCTCCTCTAGCGCTTCCGCATGTAACCGACGGGTTTCGGTTTGGTCCACTTACACAGTGGGATGACGAGCTTCCTTAGTATTTCCGCAACAAATGACAGGTGATAAGGAAAGAACAGGTTTGCGGAAGAGTTTAAGAAATACTTCATGTCGTAGTTCCCTAACTCGCATTGACCATTGTCCTTTTCTCACTATACAACAAACTTGGTTCAAATTGTGTCTTGGTCCCTTAGGCACAATCCTTTCTTCCACACCTACTCAACTCGTGTTTGTTAGAAGTTGCCGTTTGCTTTTTTTCAGTTTTGAGTCATGTCTCCTCACGCCCTTCCAGTAGCTTCAGAGCGGACACAAAATGATGCAGTCTCATTTGAGACGTATGCGATTTCTCAGAACGGGTTTCTTCCCGCAGACGCGCCTCTGAAAGTTCTTCCAGACAGCTACTACGCACCATGGGAGAAGATCATTCAACACCTCCCCCAGCTTATCAAGTCTGGGAAGCTGAGGAGAGAGGTGGATGCACTTCCAGTCTTGACCACCGACAAACTGCAGAACGAGGCGGAGTGGAGGCGAGCATATGTGATTTTGATCTTCTTGACGCATGCTTACGTCTGGGGTGGGGAGAAAGCAGAAGAGGTGAGCAAAATGGACTTCATATTTTTCCGTTCTTTACTTACCTGTTACATAGGTTCTTCCACCGGCAGTGTCGGTTCCCCTCTTGAAGGTTTCCAAACATCTAGAAGTTCCACCTGTCGCTACATATGCTGGCCTCAACCTGTGGAACTTCTTATCAACTACGGACGACTTTGCGGATCTCGAGTCTTTGGAATCTCTTCACACTTTCACTGGAACAAAGGATGAGGCTTGGTTTTACTTGGTCTCCGTGGCTATGGAGGCGCAAGGTGCCCGTATCATGACCGACATGTTGAATGCGCTGGAATCGATCAAGACGAGAGACTATGACACCATCACAAAGGCGTTGGAGGGGCTATCTGCCAACATTCGGAAAATTGGCGCGCTTTTGGAACGCATGTACGAAAACTGCGACCCAATGGTGTTCTTCTACGAGATCCGCCCTTTCCTGGCCGGTAGCAAAAACATGGCGGCAGCTGGTCTACCGAATGGCGTATTCTACGACGAGGGAAATGGCCGCGGTAGCTGGCAACAACTTAGAGGAGGCAGCAACGGTCAGAGCTCTCTTATTCAGTTCCTTGACATCGTTCTGGGAGTTGAACACACATCAGAGGGAAACAGCAATCCGCACGCCAGCAAATCTTCACCCAAACATAAAGCAACACCAGCCTTCCACGAAGAAGTGCGTAGCTACATGCCTGGTCCTCACAAGCGCTTTTTGGAGCATGTGTCACGCATGGGAAGCATCCGAGAGTTTGCCAAGCTACCAGTTTCTACCCCGGAGCAGGAGAAGTTCCGCGACGCATACCAAGCGGCAACAAGAACCATGACTGAGTTCCGAAACAAGCACCTGCAAATTGTTACCAGATACATTGTTCTTCCATCAAAGAAAGCATACAATGGCTCCAAGGTTGATTTGGCTAGCACATCGGCTGTTAAAGACGAACAGCTTACTGGCACGGGAGGCACAGCACTAATGCCATTCCTGAAGCAGACGCGAGACGAGACGTTGCAAGCAGGGCAATTCAACAAGGAGCGAAGACCATGATTATTTTGACGAAGCTTTTCATGATATATCCATAGAGTTGTTGACGACATCAGCGTGGCGGTTGTAATTGATAGATACCAGACTACTGCAAGGGGAATAAAAGAAGTCAATTCCGCGTGTAACCTCATCGCTCCATTCACGTCTTTACTGATCCACAAATGGGGAAAGTAAGATCCGAGGGGCTGTGCAGCCATGTTCTTGGTGTGCGGAAGCAACTTCGGATCTCGGATGTGTCTCTGCTAGCCGGGTGCCAAGCGATGATGTGGATGTGGCTGGGATCGGAACTCTTCAACGTGCATGGGACCCTCAATCCTCCGAATCATGACCATGTCAGACCCGAACCCAACCTCCGCGGACCCAGGCGAGAATATATCGCTCACCTTCCACTTCGCGAACGACAAGACGAGGAAAAATGGCCAATCAAAATTCAAATGACACATTTGAGTTGTATGATTTACGAGTCGAAGTCGTTTGTCCCCCAGGAGAACGAATCTTGTGCGGTGCTCAGCCGGGTGACCACTTCATCCTAGAGGGTGAAATGTTGCGCTTGCCAACGGGCCAAGGCTTCTCGATTTATAGTCTTGGTTAGTACTTGTACTAATACAACTATACAACGGAGTTGAATTTAACAAACTTCAGCCTCCGTTCTGCCGCTTCTTGCCGCAAAGCAATGGGTCACACATCAGCATGACTGGATGACGTCAGACTCTCTGATCGCATGCCCAGATCCTAATTGCAAATCACAGCTTAAGATCATACGCACCGGGATCAGGACATTCAGTCACGCAGACACAACAGTTGTGCCGCTAGAAGGCAACCATTAAGCCCCTATGTAGTGGCTGCAGTTCATTATATAACCATTACCTCATAATCATTAAATAAATACCCAAATGCCAGCGCCAGAGTTATACCCAAACATTGCTCATTTACAACGGGATAAGTAGTGAGCCTTGCAATTTACTGGCCGCTGCGGTACTCTGCCCCACAATCTCCTAGGCTGCTCAACAGGCGCCTTGTTTTGCATCGATTAGACCCTAGTGCCACAACATTGATTCTGTCTAGATCCCACTCATCAAGTTCAAATGTAAATGTTGTCAAATTATCGTCAACGTGACTTGACACACCCAGTCGAGTCCCGACGATAACTGCACCGACGGATGGTTGCTGAAGAACCCAGCGTGTTGCTACGTTCGCGAGACTGACATTGTGCTCTTGCCCAACTGTTGAGAGGACAGTAAGCAGATCTTGAAAATCTTGCCATGTCCCCCAATTCATCATTATATCGTGGTACTTTTGCGAGGGATCAAGTAAGCTTCCTATCAGGTTCAGTAATAGTGGAACAAACTCACCTTCCTCTGCGATGGCGTCAAGTGTGCCGACTCGTCGTAGATATCAGGTGCAGGTTTGCCAAGCCATTGACTGGATAAAAAGCCGCCGCACTTGCAGCATTCAGCGTTAATCTCTAGCTCACTGAAACCAATGTGTTGTCTGTGTACTTACGAAGGAGCCATAGGTCAATAGCTTCAGGTCATATTTGGCACATACGTTGACCATGAGGTGAAGTGGGCGAGAATCAAGCAACGAAAACTATGGCAGCAATGAGTGGCATGTACCAACAGTGACGCAGTCGTACTTTTGTTCGCATACCTGAACTTGGTTGGAGACAATTCCGACAGAACCGGTCTTGGCTATCAAATACTCGCAGGCCTCAATGGTATGCTCTGAATCGAAATTACAGAGACCAATTGTTGACACCAGGTTTGGATGAATTGCAGTTAAGCGAACCAACTCGACTAGTATGTTGAGGTATTCTTTCGAGGAGTACTATGATCAATAATTCAGTAGAGTACAAGACAGTCATCAGCATTCACAACCCGATTAGCTTGATACTCACGTCATGCCAATGAAATTGAAGCAGCTCAATTCTGCCACCAAGACGTCGATATCTCTCCTTGACCTTTTCAAGTACAAAATCTGGCGTTATAGGCTTCGTCGGGGGCTTAAATATACACCACTTTGTGGCTGCAAGAACCTGCGACCTAACACTGGGAGACAGTCTGTTTCTGAAAGACCCGTACACCAACTCTGCGTCACCCTAAATGAATCTTGTCAGAGAACTATAAACGCAATTGAGAACAACAGCACTGACGTAATGATCAGCCATATCTGCGGCGGTGAATCCCGCCTGAACGGCGCGTATCAATTCTTCTTCCTGCCTCTTGGCAGTACCGCTACCCCATGCTGGGGAAGACAATTGCCATAGACCATTGAAGAGCCTGGGGAATTGATATGGCCCCAAATCGAATGTCTCGAAATCTGGTTTGGTAATTATGTTCAATGACATTAACGTCTTGGCCCGACATCTCAGTGCAGTCTGTGATGTGGATTCCGGGAACAGAGTAGCGAAAGCATCTCGTACTTGACGCTCCCCACGGTTGAAAGGATACTCCACATTAGTAGAATCCCAATGATCATGAACTTGCTTGTAATGTTCCAGTCCTAGAACCAGGTTGTGAAGTTGGTTTTCGAGATTCGGCTGTGGGCCTGCGCTGGTCTCTTTCAAAGCCTGGATAGCTTGTACAATGTCGCCGTCGATGACGCGCAACGAGGCTTGGAGAACATCGGTTGATTTTGGATTTTCATCCTTCACTAATGCCATAACTTGAAGGATTTGAGCCAGACTTCACAGATCATTAACAATTCCTAGATCACTAGCGCGTATCTAGACACATACTTTTGCAGCGATTGCTGCGCCAACTTGGCAGAAATCAAACAACGATTCCAGGCCAGATAATCGAGGCAGGGTTGTGAAAGCCCACCATCGTTACCTAGAAGAGCATGAATGTTTGGAAATTGAACAGGATTTTCAATTAGACGAGTTTGCACATGTTTCACAAAGGTGGTTTGCATCGACGGTCCTTGAGAGATCAGCAAGCGTAGTGACGACCGAAGCAGAGCGGGAGACACTCAGAGACACCCGTCAGTAGGTTTCTTTCGGACTGAGACCGAGTCAGAAAATAACCAGGCATACAGTTTGAGATTAGGACATCGTCCATCATGTTACTGCAACCCGGTAAATCAGTTTCCGTTGGTAAAGATCTCAAACCTCCCGAAACAAATGGAACAAGCGACCTGGATCTCGGATGTACTCACACATGACCGGCCATGATGAGCCGTCTTCCGCCTCCGGGCGGCTTCGGCTACGATCACGTAAAAGAAAAGACGCAACGGTCTGCGGATACGAGTCACGGGAGCCACACACCATGCGGCCCCAAAATATCGATCGTTGGTGGCTTGAATGGAAACTCGGGTGTAGGAGGAGGACGGAGAAAGGCTACTGTCTGAGGGGGTGGGTGTCTCAACCAGGGGGTCCTGTCGAGGACATTATGCTTTCACAGTGCAACCGGCCATGTGCTTACTATCGGAAACACTGTAAATACGCTCGTCATCAGGTTCCATTGTGGAAGCCGTTCGGTTACCCGACTAAGATTAGCGTCGCACTGGTTACGGCACGGAAAACTTTGCTCCCTCGGCATTTGGCTTTGTCGCTCCGCGTCCGATCTTCCCTCTTCCGCGATTCGACTCTGCACCAAGGTGATATCGGTGGTAGCAGCAGCAGTATGGACGATGTCTCGTCGCGGCACTCGTCGCCACACACGTATATTCGCACTAGAGTTGCCAATGCTTGCGATAGTTGCAAGGCAAGAAAAGGTATTACTCCCTACTTTGATCATGAAAAAAAAAGACTCTTGGGTATTTTGTTCGAGTATTCTAGCTACAACAAGCGAGTACAAGCAAGACATACGATACACTAATGCATTTGTTGCCGTCCCTGAGCCAGAATTCGTATACACCTATGTAACTATTTGTATCTAACTCCGGATGTAGTCAAATGCGATGGAAAGTTGCCGTGTAGCTACTGCTTGCGTCGTCAGCGTCCGTCCACTTGCCGGTACTCTCCCCAGCAAAGACGACGAGCGCCGGCCCCGACGCCGAGAACACCGCCTCCGTCTGTGCAGACTGTCCCCGATGTACAGACCGATGCCCGGACAGAGTCTACTCACGATCCATTGGCCGAGGAGGAGACAGAGGTGCCACGAGAAGCACGACTCTTATGTGATGCCCAGGGCAAACTGAGTATGTTACCCCTACCCAGTACTCTGTTCTGATAAAACTGACGAGACTTGCAAAGTCTTTATTGGAGACTGTGCACCCTTGTCATTCTTTCAGACAGTCCGCCAGCTCGTCAATACCCGCGTGGATCCTCATGTCTTCGCCCATCAGACTGAAAACCCCCCCTTCCGGCCGCCCGCTCATTACTCCGGCAGTGGTGAACCCGACCTTCATCCAAGAACTATCCCTCAGGCCGTTGCTACGTACCATGCAGTTGTGAGATAACTTGAGAACCCCTTGACTTGAGACATCATTGACAACAACATCACCTCTGCTGTAGACCAGTGGCCTCGTTGATCTTTTTGATCACACTCGCCTCGCGGACACCATCTGCTCATGGGCTCAGCAGAGTCACCGACCACAAGATGTTGCATCCGCAGCGTTCTATCTTGTCCTCGCAATAGGATATCAATCTGCGGAAGAGGATCTCGCATCAGGATACTTTGAGTATGCGCGCAGCAACGCCCTAACAAATCTCAGTGGCAACATCAATGTTCCTACCATTCAAACGTTTATCCTTGTCACTCTTTATATGTTGGGATCTTGTCAAATGAACGGAGCTTTTCTTTTTTTCGGTAAGTTCATCTTCTTCAAAGACTGGTTGTAAACAAACATGGACTGATGAATCCATGCACAAATAGGCATCGCAGTAAGAGCCGCATATTCTATTGGGATCCACCGCACAGAGATAAACTCCCGTTTTGGACCCGAGATCCAGAGACAACGGTATTGACAAGCCATTAAAAAACCGAGTGTGTCAGTATTTGCTAATCGAAATCTCTGATAGAGATCGGCTATGGAAAAGTTTGCGCATCTTGGATCTATTTCTGAGTACATCTATGGGTCGGCCACCTGCGACTTCAGATATCGACTGCAGTGTGCCTTACCGTGCCATGGAGGATGCCAACGGCCAAGAAACCTTCGATATCCTCGATGCCTCGGCTCAAATTTTCCTCATCACTGAAGGCATAGTAGTTGAGGTGTATTCGAGAAAGAAGGTCTCTTATCAGTTGACTGAAGGTATTTCTAGACAGCTGCGGGACTGGTCCCTTCGCTGGCTCCAGAGATTAAAGGATGTTGTGTCCAACTCCCAGAACGAGGAGGACCCAAGCAAAGTCACTGGAGCTTGTCAGGTTCTTTGTTCATACTACTATGGTGAGCTTCTCGACCACGACCTCTTAATATTTGAACACCCCATTAATCACCCTTAACAGCCGTCATTCTAGTGTCACGTCCCTTCCTCATGTATGAACTACATAAACGATTGACAGAGGGATCGTCCGGAAGCTCAGCTGGCAGAAACGGTCTAGTTTCCGGCAAATCTAAGCTTGCCGATGCATGCATCGATGCAGCAAGTTTTATGGTCGACATACTGGTCGGCTTAACGGAGAAAGGTTACCTCGACGGGCAAATGCCGTTAATTGTGTAAGCAATGAGGATTGAAGTGAGATATTTTGAAGTAGGCTAATAGTATCAGGTCTTGGCTCTTTGCTTCTTCCCTCATATTGGGAGTCGGTTTACTAGGATCTTTCGGTCGCATTCTTGAAAAGTATACCCGCAACTCCATCATGGTACTCGAACATTTTGCCAAAAGAGATGCGCATGCTTCTCAGTACTCTCTCATTGCCAAATCCCTTTTAAACGCAGCTCTTGACTATCTGGAGAAGAAAGAGCTTCAGGAGCGGCTTCAGAGGACGGAAAGCTCCTCGCAACTGTTTGGGCTCGTGCCACGAGACAGCGCCGAAGCTGAGCAAGTCCCCCATTCTTCCTCGCATGACCACCCATCGACCATGAGCACCGACCGCCAATCAACGGGCAAAGCGTCTAATTCTATTTCGGGCTTCCTGGGCCTGGGCTCTCCGCCCTTCGCTGACATGGATGCATCATTTTTAACTTTGTCAAGCTCACTTCCCCGGACACCGGACCTATCCATTCTTGATGGGAGAAACGACGGAGATCACGGGTTCGGTGATCTTAATTTATTCCAACTCCTCGATGGCGATGGCCACATCGATCTTGGCCCTTATATATAAGATCAAGATTCACTGCATTGTGTCAATCATACTTCAGGGAAAAGTTGAAGCAGATCCGTCGCCGCACCCTTTCGGACAATAACCCCCTACTACTGTTACCGGGAATGGGAAGGGAACACTATTAGTGTTTCGGTCGTGACGACATCTATATACTTTTGTTTTAGATGTTTACTGTGGCTTCATTGCTACCCAGTTAAAATATCGAAAAAGTCGAAAAATAAGATCAAAGAAGGTCTGACTGCTCAATTTGGTCAGGAAAACTGCGGAATACATTTCGCGTTGATTACATAATTTTCGTATTGACGATCGCAGGCAAGGTTTTGAAAAAGTTTAGGCGGATGGGATACCCTGGCGAAGCACAGCAGCCAAACTACTATTGATCAAACGCGGCAAGGGTAGTTTAGTGAAGCCTAGCAAAGCTGGCCGCTCTGTTTGGTATGACGATTAGGATGGTTGAGGTGGTTAAGATGGTTGACTCGAATGTGTTATGCATAAGTTTCGTGGCATTTCCCTGTAGGAAATGTATATTATGCGTTTTGTAGCAGAAAACTCTACATGATGGCCAGTATCTGTTCTGGCCGTAAAAGGAATGCTGCTCGAGGTGCAGGGCATTTTCTGGCTGTTCACCGCTACAAAGTCTAGCCGATTTATGGGCCAGTTGTAAGTCATACACTTTACGCATAATACCCTATGTTCCTCACTTAGGAATGTCTCGCCTAGCCACGGAGCTGAAGGGGGGTGGACCTGGACACCGAACAAGTCTTATCCCAATCCACTGAGCCACTGAGCCCTCCCTCGCCCAAAGATCTCGCACCTTGCCGTTGCGAACTAAAGTCTTCTGGCGTACCCCTCGAGTATATCACAGCGTCATTGCGTCGTACAGGCGACTGCAGTACTAGTGAAACAGGAGCAATTCCGTCCATGCCGTCAGGCTAGCAAGGTAGGGCACGGTTTGAACTTAAACTTCCCAGCCCCCTTTGACAACGTCTCATACTATGGACTGACCGCGCGCACTGCCTTACTCTCCTTTGTCCACAGTAGTTTGAAGTGGGAGGAATAAAGAACAAAAAGAGAATATTCACTGCAGGGACTATCACCTGTCAGCCGATCCCTGGCCGACCCTGATTTGCCCTACTGTATATACCCGTCCCCGCTGTCGGCAGATGCGGATTGCTCCAGGCTTCTGGTATCAATCCCCCCATCTGCCGTTAAATCATCCCACGCCATGTCGGCATCTCCATCGGAGAAGTCTTCGTCCAAATCGTCGCGGCCCCTAGCCTGTGTACTCTGCCAGCGCCGTAAGGTCAAATGCGACCGAAAGTATCCATGTTCGAACTGCATCAAGGTATGTGATCCTCTGCCACGATACCCAACGCCACAGCCTGATTCATCGTCATTTGAACCGAGACATCCTATGATCCCTTTACGCGACCTGACCAGTGACTGTCTCAAATTTCCACTCCATTTTTTTCTCAGCTCGTCAAGAATCTGTTGTTCCTAAGCTTACCAGCCAAACTACCAGTCCAAAGCAACATGCAGCCCCAGTATCCCAGCACCGGTACGGAAGAGGAGGCGACCAAATGCAGAGTTGCAAGCAAGGCTTGCGCGGTGCGAAGAGCTTTTGGCTAAATACGCTGCTGCAAGCAAAGAGCCGCTAGACCACACAAGCACGGTGCCACCGACGCAGTCGGCCAATATCCCTCATTACGAAAACCATCAAATGAATTGGAAGCCAGCTGGGAAGCTCGTCGTTGAGGATGGCTCTGTTCGATTCATGGACAACTTTCTTTGGGCCACAGTATACGAAGAGGCAAGTATGCCCAGATGGACCCCAGGTGCAATCCTGCTAACGAAATGGGTACAGCTGCGCCAAATGAGAGAATTGGTGGACGACGAGGACGACAAACCCGAGCCCGAATCATCCCACGATTGGGATCCCGGAGCTTCCATGCCCGATTACAGCGAATATCTACTTGTGGGCGGCGACTCTCAACCCCAACTTCACCCAGAAGAAATATATCCCAACGCGAGCCAAATATTCCGGCTCTGGCAGACATTCTTGGACAGAGTAAATTCTCTGACAAAAATCGTCCATGCCCCATCGCTGCAGCCCTTTGTGGTTGAAGCTGCCAGTGGCCCAGGAGTACTTCCAAGCAACGTTGAGGCTCTCTTGTTTGCTGTCTATAGTATGTCTGTCGTGACTCTAACAGAGGAGGAGTGTATGGCGATGCTCGGTTCTACTTGCAATGCTGCTTTCCGACGGTTTTCGAGCGGCGTGAGAAAGAACTTGCTACGTGCCGAGTTCCTCAAATCGCACGATCTCACAACGCTTCAAGCGTTGGTTCTTCATATTGTAACGTCTCTCCCTTTTGCTCGATATTAGATGATGTTTGCTAACTCTGCGAAGATGTCGATTCAGGGTCGGTGTAACATTCACGGTGCCTGGATTCTAAACGGCATTTGTGTCAGGATCGCCCAGAAAATGGGCCTTCACAGAGATGGGGAGCTTCTTGGGTTACCACCCTTTGAGACCGAGATGAGGCGCCGGATTTGGTGGCAGATTTTTATGCTTGACTCCAAGTTCTCAATGATCTCGGGGTTGAGCCAGTCGCTTCTTCCTCGACCTAGTGACTGTCAACTTCCAAAAAACTTGAATGATGCTGATTTACACATGGGAGCAACTGAAAGATACCAGGATCGCGAAGGGCCGACGGAGATGGTCATACCGTTACTGGTCTATCAAATTGGATATTGCCTGCGGCAGCAACCTGATATCGAAGCTTTGATGCTGTATAACGAGCTCAGCACTCTCAGTTCAGGGAGAAAGAGCAAAGTTCAATCTGCCCAGATCAGCTCTTTCGTCAAAATGCTTGAAGATCGACTCAACAACGTCATTGAAAAGAATTCCGACCCATCAGCAGGGCCAGTGCATGAATTTGCGGCTCTATTGAAGGCTTTGGTACTTCAAAAAGTCAAGGAGACCACTTGCCCACCGCAAGAACAGCCAGAATGGGGTACCGAAATCCAAACTCCAAAGGACAACTTGTTCAAATGGTCAATCATGACGACAGAGCAGAACATAAACGCATATAAATCGAACAAACATCCTGGATTTCATTGGTTTATAAAGCTACTTTTCCAGTATGACGTTGTCATTTTGATGGTTGGCCAACTCAGCCAACGCACGACTGGGGCTTTAGTTGAACGGGCTTGGCAGCAGGTACCAGCAATTTACGAGTATCATCCGGAATTCCTAAACCCATCCCAGGAGTATAATATAGCTCTTGCCAAATTTGTATTAAAGGCTTGGAAGGTTAGGGAGGATCACATTTGCTCTCAGCATGGCGTTCAACCCGACGAGCCAGCTTATATCACGAAGATTCGTGAGATAATGGCGCCCTATTTCACCAGGTCTAGGGCGACAACTGAGCCTCTTGCCCATCAATCGGAACAACCTTTGGTGGCAGCGAGCCATGAGGGTCATCCACCAATGGATAATCTGTTTTCCAGGTATCTGGAAGCAAGTTCCTCCTGGGATCCTTTGGCAATGCCCGACCAAGAGATCATTCAAAGACAATTGTCTTCATTTGAGGGTCTTGATATGAGGACCCCAACTGGTTGGTAGCATGTAAAACGGGTTAGCTAGTTTGATTCATAAAAACCTGCTGTTGAGTTGAATGCTCTGTAAAACATTGTCGCGGTGCTGATTCGTAGTGAGAGACAAATCCATCACACATGGGACCTGACAACAGCCAGCGCTTGCCAAATGGCAAAGAACGGGACGATGTACTCTGCAAATATGGCGGACGGGACCGTTATAACCACGAGTATGAACGGCATTTGTCCCCCTTACACAGCTGAGATTTCGGTGAAAATGTGCGGCTCGGTTAGGTTTCTATCGCCGAACGGTGCTCGGGTCCATTCGCCAGCCCGACTAACGGTGCTCGGTGGACCACAACGGCGAACTTGCGGTCTTAGCGTCGGCACTTGATACAGTACAAGCCTGGCCATGGCTCCTTCAAACAAATGGACAATTGTTCAGGGCACTGCATTATTCTTGCGCACGTTACTACTTCCGTGAAATTCATGTTGAAGAATATCCTCCTGCATCGCTTATCAACATAAAACCTTGCAACACTATGCATTCCAACAGGACCTGAACAGAAGAAAAGTACGAAAAGCTCAAGAATTGGCTTTTCGATTTGTAAACTAAAAGCTAGAGTAAGAAATGTTCAATACTTGGGTAATAATGCTATTACTATCAAAGTTCTCCTGTGAACTAGATGCAAGCCTCTTGTAGTACGTCTTGTGCTTCTTCATAAGCCGGCCCTCCGTCCCCTTGGAAATCCACCGCTGACAAGGCTCCTACGCCCTGTCTCATCATATCTAAATTAGGCTGAGAAATGTGAGATAGTTAATTTGAATACAATGTATTACGTGTAAAAGCGCAGGGCTAAAAGATGGTGAAATTTACACGTAGGAAAAGCCGAGACCTAATAATTATCAGTTCTTAAAACAACCAAGTATGGCGTGGATCATCTAACTAATGACAAGGCGTGGAACAGCAAGGACATCAGTGGTATCAGTAGAAGGTCCTTGGGCGTGACCAGGAAACCTTTTTTCCACAGATTGTAGGTCTTACTCTGTTGACGTGTTAATTACATTAGCTCATGAGACTATGCCTAGAGTTGCTGTGTAATAGAGGCCTTCGTCAGAATAATAGTAAAACAGTATAATGAGATCAGCCTGCAGGTGAATTGTTACCATGCTGATCAACATCACCACGGCAAGGTCTAGTGTCTCTGACCTCGGCAGGCATCATGCCCGCTCTTTTCATCACTCTAAGAGTGGAAGAGAAGACGATGGACTCAACTTGTCAGCTGCTTCCGTTCCCCTTGAGTCGCAAGATGGTGAGCGCCGAACGATACGTGTTTCCCTAAGCAGTTCAACTGATTATGTGTGTTTAAACCATACAGGCCTGCTGTGGTATACTTATACAGAGGGCTGGAATATGGCAAACGAAATGACGATTTGGCTGCCCTCGTGTCATTTCGTCGAAGTCACAAGAATCCTTGGCAGGTTCCTAAGTTGCAGCCCAATCTATGTCGGTAGAAAGACTGTAATTTACGAGAAAATATATGTGCTGACGCCAGGTATGCACGAACACGTCACTGTAGGTAATATATTCAGAATCATACAACTTCATGATGTCCTACTTGAGCCTACACAAAAGCGGGCAGTTGTGTCAACCGTCCACAATGTGAACAGCTAGATTACATTGCGTGGTGTATTGTACGCACAGGAACAAGCTGAAAAGTGCCAAACGAACAATGTTTTGCATCATTAACCAGCATGACAGAAAGTACACAAGAGGTCTGAAAGTGCAATTCTATCTCCTCAGCAGCGACCCGTCCTCTCTCAATAGTTTCCTAATATTCTTCGCCGTCATCTCACTGAGAGGATGAGCTGCCGCGTTCTGCGACACGTCGGTCTTCACGCTGAAATCACCAATCTTCTCTGTCGCCGCCGGCGGTCCCTTAAGAACAGGCAAATGCGTATGCGGATCGTAAGTGGCGCCCTTGGGCACAACCTTCAGCTGGACCGTTCCCGGTCCTTCCCTGAAAGTACTCACAGACGGCCCCATCGTAATCAAATTCATCCCAAATCCCATCGGTTTTGTCCCAGTCGCGATGTCTACGCCTTTGATAACATGCTCTTGGATTCTGAGCGCAGCCTCTGGCTGGTTAAAAGCAGAAACGTGGCCTGCGAAGTATAGTCGCGTAAACGAGAAACCGTCGGCTTGCTTCACCACACCCGGGATCTGTCCGTCGCTATTGGCTGTCAAGTTCACGAAGCCAGCCTTGGCCCAATTTGCAGCACCCACGTTCGCGGCTACGATCTCGGCGCCGATGAAGTTGCTGTCGTAGTCGGCGTCACCAGTGAAGAGAGCGACAGTGACCCCTTGCTGGAGCAAATTTGACATGGAACGTGTGACGAGCTCGCCTGTGCGACTGTCGTCGCCGGTTGAGGCGAACGCTATAGACGTCTGCACTGACGCTGGCGTAAAGTTGTTTGACGCACCTATGGCAGCCTGGATGTCGGCTCTGTTAAGGTATGCGACGAAGTCTGGTGACGGATACGGTTCCGGGGACAACAAGCGGATGTCATTTTCAGTGCGTCGCGCGTTAATGTCCCAAAACTGTTCAACATTTTTGATGCAAAAGTCGTCGGCGTCGGCGCAGACTTTGTCAGATGGGTTGGAGTTGCAGGCCGTTTGCCGCTCCTGGCAGCCGCCGGTGCCAAACGTGTTAGTGAAGAGCTGTTGCTTGAGAGTCTCGTTGAAAGGGTCCACGTCGTATGGGTTGCCAGGGGTCACCGAATAGTTGAAATATGCGGCAAACTGCACACGGGTATCCATGAATCCATCTTCAATGGAAACAGATTTGAGGGGAATTTGCACAGTCCCAGGTGCGTTCACTTGGTTTTGCTTGGTGATGTAGTCAGCAAAAATAGGAGCATAGTGGCCGCCGTACGACTGGCCGGTTATGTGTACACCATTCGCCGTATACTGCGGGAAGGCGCCCATAATTCCCTGCATCACTTGGTAGAAAACCTTGCCGGCTTCAGAAGTGGAATTCGGTGTTAGGGAGATGTCCATTGACGAGTAGGTCCCACACCTGGGATCTGCCGATGTGCATTGCTGGGGGATAATTTCCGCGGTTTTGGGGTTTATGGTGCCGTTTACCAAGGTGGTGTGCGAGAAACCCACGGTCGCTGGCTGGTCAACGAAGAGCAAGTTGCTAATAGTTGACCAAGAGGTCGGATTATCCAACACTTTCCCACTAGCATCGATAGAACAAGGACCTATTTCGGAGAATAGTCCATTCATGGAGGAAGCACCCGGTCCTCCATCTAGCCTAACTGTCAAAGGAGCTGAAGCTGCATTCTGTCTCGCTTCGAACAGGTAAAAGTACATATGTTGAGTTGGACTCACGTCCACATAACCGGCAAAACTTTTCACGTTGTTGTTAGTCTCGCATATGCCGTTAGGGACTTGCTTGAATCTAACGGTGACACCTCCTTTCCCCTCCACAGCCTTAAGATCCTGTGGTTGAGCGACGAACTGTCCAGATATGAGGGATGGAAGCAAGACAGTCAAACAAAACAAAGACGCCCGCTTCATAGTGATGATCATTGTCATGGTGTTGAAGGATCGAATTGCTGGACGTATCTGCGAGCGAGAGGACAACTAAACTTGAAATAGCCAGTGAGATTGCCCAAAATTTAGAACAGTTATAGTAGAAAGGGCTTACCTTAACATTTATATGTTGCTATTATATAGCAGTGGATAAACGGTTGGATTCTCCGGCGGCAATAGTCTTTCTCAGTAATGACAAAAAAACTTTCTCAGTAATCACAAAAGATTGCATGTTGCCGGGGAATTTGTGGACAGGGTGTGGTGGGTGAGCCAGAACGAAAACGGAGACTTGTTGTCAAACGCAGAGCGTCAGGGCTGGCTGAAACGCCCAGGGGGTCCTACGGCAGCTTACAATGGCCTGCGCCAATTCACAAAATTTCACAATGGCACAATGGATGTATTTAAATTGTGTATATGACATGGTAAATCTTCGAGTCGACGAGGTCAGGTTTTCAAAAACAAGCCTGCCAAACTTTTAAGCGATTGATTCTATATATTGGGAAAGCCGCATCGAATGTCTAAATCAACAAATCAAACACATGATATATCCATCTCAGCCGACTGCCCCATTGAAAAAGATCTTAGCGTGCGCTGTCTGCGCTTGGACAGCAAAACAAAACAATACCAATAGTTGGACTCAGGGATGTTCCTGACCAGAGATACTGAGTGTCTCTAAGCTTCAACCTTTTTTTTTTGTTTGAGAAAGTTCCGTAACACTCTCTGGCCAGGAAGGTTGGAGTGCCCAAAGTCTACTCACAGAGTGCTGTTGCACCTCCGAGCCAAGGGATTAGAGTCTCCTGGTAGTGGCCCTCAAGTTACTGACTCTCTATATCTGAACATACAGAGAAATTAGTCCAGTCAGCAGAGTGGTTATGTCCGTGTCTGCCAATCTAGTATGTCTTCGTCTCTGATCCTAAATGACCGTCTATGGTGATCCGTGCTGCATACAACTGCGAATGAGTGAAACTTCTATTGCATTAAAAAGATGGAAAAAAAAGAGCACCAAGTGTCTGCTTGGCCTATCCCATCAGAGTCCAGTTGGCTACAGGTACATAGCCCCCGATTTACACCCACTCTTTTCCCGTAGTATCAGGAATACACAACCGTAGGCTATCAGGCCTTATGTTTCCCAGGCTGTATTGATGTAACTCTGATAATGCATGTACCTGCGTTAAAGCTAGATTGTGTAAGTACCTATCAGTCAGAATTATTTGGTTGGCTAGAAAAAGTCTTGGCTAGCCTCTGAGTGGCTAAGTTTCCTCACGAGGATGTACCTGTTGCCAACTGGACCTCGGTAGGATACTAACGATAGCACATTTAGGTGCCTTCTGCGTGAGCTAGCCCTTGCAAGCTTAAGCTCAACCTTCATCAATACTAGGATAGATACATATCCAAGTATGCAGCACGTGGATCCTTACTCTTCGAGGCGTAAATAGAAAAAATCGGCTATTGAATTAAATTTGTCGCAAGGTTGTGTTGAAGTCTTACGGCCCGCTAGGCATCAGAAAGTCAAAGACAGCACTACTCTACCCCGGCGGCTGGTTGTCATCATGCCCAGCATGAAATGAACAAGTACTTAGTCAATACCCAATACTTCCAGGGCTCAGCCTTCTAATTTAGTGCCGGGAAAGTATTCATTAACTGAATTGGATGCTCAAAGCAATTATTGACCGCATAAACACAGTTGGAGAACAACCGACTGGGTAAAAGAATCTGGATCTAGAAATAAAACTAAAACAAGGCGATTATTCTGTGCTTGTAAACATCCATGGATGTTTAAATCTATGTCGGGGGAAAAAAAAAGAAAACATGCTCTCTCCCATTTCGCCTGATGCTATAGTTTTCCACGACTTCAAACCTCATGCCCTGGCCGGCGTAGTTATCTATAATGATTTTATCCAATGCAAATTGTATTAGAGAAGCATAATTTCTAGAGTTTGCCTGTTCTACCTTAGTTGCAAAGGAGCCATGTTAAAAAGTACCAAGTAGATCAGAAACATTGTTTCATTTGGGATTTATTACAAATGATCGCTCAGACGATCACCCCTAACAATTATCAAAGACCATTGGCGACCCTTTATTGACGTAAATTTAAACCAAATAACAGACGAATTATCAGTCAAAACACTGTTAATGCTTTGAGAGGCCGGTTAGTCAGCTCAACCGACCCAACTTATATATTACATTGAGTGCAGACAGCCTGCATACTTTTTTTCGTAGGAGTGCATCTTATACATGTTTAATAACATCATGTGGCACTGAATTTGATTTGCTATATGTGAATCTATAGATACTTCAGCAACCTCTTTCATAAGAAGTGATCAGTCCTATGTTTGAAGGGAGACCTCTCTAGTTATACCAGTTTGCTGCTTAAGAGAACTGTGAAGATTTGGCGTCATGGCGAAGTCAGCCACTTCTTTGTCGCCGCTATATCCTCAAGAAACGATCGCAGCACAATAAAAACAATGAACAAGAACAGCCTGAAATGCTAATTATGGTGCTAATGGAAATGTCGTAAAGTCAGTTTTTAAACTAATAATAAATGTCCGTTCTTCTAGAAACTTCTGAATGAGATTCTTTCATAGGTTCCTAAGCATGAAATGAAGTTATGAAAGTTTTCGGGAAATTTTCTTAAGGATTTGAACGTTATGATTTAGTTGACTAGTATCGGAATCTGTGGGTGAAGCTTGAGCTCACAATGAAACTTCCAGCGCAACCCTTATTTCATGTTTCCGAGCTCTGTCTACGAGGCTTTGATTTCATGTGCTAATTTATTCCGCTGCGTTTTCTGAGGATCCTAGATGTCCAGGCAGATAACAGATGGGAGTTCGCAATTGTGGCGTGCCTGAAGTCTGACTCCAATTGTACAGGCACGCAAATTGTTCAGAGCTTGCGTACGTGGCGGCTGAAGCGTCATGTCATGTTTGCATGAAATAATAATTTGCATTGTTTTCTCTTAGATACTTCTGGTGTTATCGAAGGAATTTAACCCTTATGGCCTACGGCTTTCTGATAGCAGATCTGCACGATGGCAGACTTCTTCCTGTTTAGCTAGCTTGCCAGCGGGTGTTTATGGGCCAAACGTAACTCAGGCTACGACGTAATCTCCATCAAGACACAGGGGTTCTGAAACTATCTTTCAAATTGACTAGCGGCTTGCAATAGATTTTGCGACTCTATTCATCTATTATTTATCACATCCTAGGAGTACAGAGGGCTAAGAATCTGAGATGAACGATTTATGTTTTGCTACGAGTAGGAATCCTTTTATCCACTACATATGCATTGACGTCAATTCAATGCCAAAATCTACAGGCCATCATTGGAAGGGAGCAGAGGGGGTTGAAAAAAACAAAAAGGTAACAAGACACCTATGACGGAGTTTGTAAAGTGGCAGGGTCAGAACAGTGATATCAACTTGGCGTTCACAGCAAATAACCAATTGCGCTAACCACGACGGGAAGACAATTCGTCTAGAACTCACTCATAAGACATATTCCATTCATATCCTACGAATTAGAGAAGCAGCAATCGGGGCGTGCAGCAAGATTTTCTATTCAGTTTGGCTTGGCCGACGCATTCATTGTTGGTTGTGATATCTCGGCTAAAGAAGCCCATCATGGGGGCTGGTGATCCGGAGGTGAGCCGGAACTACTGAACATGTTTATCGGCAGCGCTAGCGGAAGCAATCGCGGGAGAAGCTCTCTTCTGGGATCGAATCACCGCGATACCCCCACAGCATTTTTTCTACTGTCAAATCAGGAATGAGCATTGCTCACGTGCGCTGTACTGGCAATGTAACCTTGCCTACATCGGCACGATTTGTCCGCGCAATTCGACTGAACGTAAACAAGAAGATTACAGCACGTGGCCGGCAATGACCGGCCCGGTAGCTACTCAGTAGAGAATATATAACAAGATCGTAGCAAGCCATGGCTGGATTTAGGAATATACGGCGTCGCATTAGCCTCCACCTTACGTATCTCAAAAGATTGGGCTGAAGATGGCTGTTTCCAAGCTCGGTCTCGTTTGCCTTGCTGCAGGCCTGGTGAATGCGAACTCCAGGTTTCTCGCTCCCGTCCAGGACATCAATCTTCCTGCTAGCGAGAGTGCGGAACATCCGCTTGAGCACGTCGGCGCCAATGGTCCTTGGTTTGCAGGTATGTGGTTTGGTCTTCCTTAGGCAAAGTCAAACTACAAATAAATTCATTTTGAGAGCTAACTAAATAAATTTTAGGACCTAATGTGCATGGCATCTCATCAGATATCCCAGAGAATTGCTTCGTCGACCAGGCCGCATATGTTCTCCGGCATGGGTCTCGTTACCCCGATCCCGGTGCCTACAATGGCTGGGTCTCGATGCAGGAACGAGTCAGTCAACCATTTCTTTGCTGTGGGCTGGTCAAAAAGCTTACAAGCACTGCTTTTTAGTTTCAAGCGGGCAACTATACTGCATCTGGCAGCCTCAGCTTCCTGCCTAAATGGCGAACCGCATTGACGAACCCTTCGGCTCAAATATCTAACTTGAGCCCAACTGGATACAAGGAAGCCCATGATCTCGGCTACACTTTGCGAACAAGGTATCTGCCATAGGTCCGTTACTAGATGAGGGGCGTTTCTAACACAGCCAGATACCCCGACCTTTACAATGAGGGCGAAGAATTTATGGTCTGGGCCAATAACTACTCTCGTGTTCTCCAAACCGCCAAGCTCTTTGTTCGTGGATTCCTTGGAACCAACGCGACGTTGTTTGGAGATGTGGTTTCAGTTACATCCCGCGGGTTTCCTGGTGGTATTGGCGACTCTCTAGCTCCTTCAGACATGTGCCCGACATTCAAAGACACAGAAGGTGGCGACTATGTTTCTGAATGGAACAGCATCTACATCCCTCCCATTCTCGAACGCCTCCAAGCATTGATTCAAGGAAATCTCACTCTTACGCAGAACGACATCTCTCAGATCCCATATCTGTGTGGCTACGAGAGTCAGATTACCGGACGCCTCTCGCCATGGTGTGATATCTTTTCCGATGAAGAATTCCTGCAGTACGAATACTTTCAGGATCTCCGCTACTACTACGGCGTCGGCCCAGGAACCAATGTTCCGTCAACCATGATGACACCGTACTTGAATGCGCTGATGGGTTTGTTTGGCGAGGGCCCTTCTGTAACCGGTCAACGTGCAGATGGAAGTTCCTTCAAGCTCCCCAAACTCATCATGTCTTTCCTTAACGACGGTCAACTTAACCAGCTCGTAACAGCATCCGGAGTTTTCGATGAGCAAAGTCCCCTTTCAAGTACCGAAAAGGACGATGACCGTCTGTTTGTGAGCTCCCGCTACACTACCATGCGCGGAACCATTGCTTTTGAGCGTCTCAACTGCGTTGTACCTGTCAACGGCACGTCTGGTAACTCAACTCGGCCGTCGCCCCCCACCTGTGGCACAATCAAACGCAGTAACACGACACTGCCCGCCCCTTCATCAAACGGATCCCAGAACGCGACATTTGTGCGCATCCGACTTAATGACGCCGTTTATCCTGTCCCCTCTTGCAAAAATGGACCTGGGTCGTCCTGCTTGTTGGATGACTACAGAAAGTACGTAGCCACCAAACTTGAAGCTCAGGGTGACTGGATCACAAACTGCAACGTCACTACTGCAGGGGCACCAACTAAAGTCAAGGGAGCAAGTTTTTACACTGATTTGAGTAGCCCGTGGTTAAGCCATGTTGCACCATGATCTTTCAAAGACATTTTAATCTAGAATAAGTGGCTCGACATTACGAAACAATGTCGAGGCTACTTTTGTAACTTATAATACATTGTCACTTAACGTGAGGCATATCCTAACTTGGTACAAGCATTCACGTCACACTTGTCTTTATCAATTTCAAGTGAGAATCGAACAATGAATGCATGGCACCATATATCCCCGCGCACCTTATCGTCCTACGTAGACTACTAATAAGTCTGCTCCTCCAGTCAACCCTTCATGTGAGCCGCCTCTTTCCTGCAATACGTGAAAGAAGATATTGTACGTCCTATACAGTCCGATTTTTTGCCCTAAATCGGCACTTTCACAAAAGCAAACTTCTGCTTTCGTCAATGCAACCCATACCTCATTTGTTCGATGAAAATTGAAAGTATTTGAAAGACGTTTAGTCACTTTCAGGGTATATATGCTTGGCTCGGTGTACTTTTGAATAGAGTTTATCACTTGAGCACGGATGCCGCCTGCAGGAAACTAACTGTTCGAGTCAGTTCACTTTCATGATCTACCAGCCCTGCCAGTCAAAAGATGTGAAAGATACCAGGAGAGGCAGCCGAGGATTCGATTCTTTTAGGCAATTCCTAACGTACTTTGACCTCTCGGCCTGGAATTATCTCTTATGGTCATGATTCCTATCACGGTATGACTTGCTTTGCCTTTGTGTTTTGTTAATACCAGGGCTTTTCAGCTGAAAGGCTTTACGCCAGTTAAGTATGAATATCAACAAATATACCAGAGGATCAAGACGAAGCTGTTAACACCGAAGCATGTTTCCTAGAAGGAATTTCTAATTGTAATTTGTGCGTATTTTCCTAATCCCAACAAACGAATTTGCGACATACCTGATGCTGATCTCACGTGGCATTCGTCGCAAGTTGACAGAGCATGAGTATACCAATTAGGAACGGCACGGTAGATCACAACGTCATTCCGAGTTTTCTGGGAAGCTAGCTCATACGTCATGAAGAGTTGCTCTGGCTTACTATCATGAAGAACTCTGCCTCAAGCAACATGTTTTCATAGTCCAAACAATTTGTCGTCGGCGTAAGTATTTCTCTGCGACCGGCTGTCAACCCTCCGTCAGTGGGCTGATCAGATGTTACTGAATCCATACTGCTCTACAAAATTGCTTGCTATCGTTGCTTGCAGGCTCTTCTCTCAGTAGTCGATGTGCTTACTTCATAGCAGAAAGACATTGTGTACGAGTCACGGAAGTGGTGGCAGGAGGAGAATTAAAATGCGCGCAACCTTAACCCGCATTTAAGAGGCTTTGGCCGTTACGGGGTCAAGGCTAGACTTCCCTAAGTGATAGCGGGGATTCGCTGTTGAAAGCACGTGGAGGATGAGGTGGAAACATGTTTTTGCGACGAGGTAGTCAATCGGAGTACTACGGGGTCGTGGTTTTAACTTCGTAGACGAGACCGTGTACTCTTAAAGCATGTTTTTCGCTGTTCGAAACACTAGAGATATGATGCAAGTTGTGGTATCTGACTTTAGGTTCTGTACATAACCTCTACACCACCATGTTCCAGACGGAAAGGGACATGCACGCATATTCAAGCATGTTCCTGGTGAGTGTGTAGCCAGAAGCTGGCACCCTCCTTCAAAGCCCGATTGCAAAAGCCGGTCAGCAAATGACGCTCTGGTGTTCAGGATGCAATGTTTGCAGAATAGGCCAAAGTTGAGCTAGCAGAAGCAAGATCAAAATTTTCTCCAGGGACTCCGTGTGATTGATACGTCCTGCGAATAGCTTAAACCTGGCCCACTCATCCATTCCTTAACACATGAAGGATGCTTCTTACTTACCATGAGCAAATGACTAGTTCGCAAGGCCCTGAGGAACTCTGTTAATGACTGGCAATAGTTTAATTCTGCCCGCTCGGTGTCAATGCCCCCGACCTGCAGCTCTTGAAAATCAGACCATCCCCCATTTTAGTTTTAGACAGTCCTCGAGGCGCTGTTTGGATTGACACGCCGTCACAACTTCGCCTCCTCGTTCGTCATTCTCTCCATGGTTTGCCACGTGCACGGCGGCATCATGGACTAAAGCTCGCCGTAAACTGTCATCAGTCCGAACGCGATGGACAGCCAGGAATCCGAGAGTACAACTCACTCCATTGTTACTACTCCATGTCAATTAAACAGTAGGCTCACGATTGATACGTTCGCGGGCACACCGCAATGGCGGACAACTTAGTGGGCACACTTATAGGTGCTACGGTGGCTATGATATGCGTCACTACTCTCGCCGTCTCTGCACGTATAGGATTCAGGTTGAGCTTAAGAGCTTATGGCGTTGACGATGGTAAGTAAGTGGCAGGGTGAATTTTGTTATGGAACTACTGACAAAACGGAATAGCTCTTGTCACAGCCAGCTGGGTAGGTCAACCCTTATCGCCCTATTCTTTGGCTGTGTTACGATGAAGAGAGAACCTGACTAGTTTCTTCTCAGGTATTCACCATAGCCATGTGTAGTCAAGTCCTTGCTTGTGAGTAGTACAATTTCTGCATTGTTTCGATCGTGATGGCGTGGTTAACACATATTCAGCGACCAATGCTGGGTTTGGCCGACATCATAACGAGATCAGTCCATCAAAGATTGAGCTCATTCAAAAGGTAACTCAAACATGCCGATACAGACCGTCCAGAGACTCTAGTTGACTCTAGAACAGCTGGCTATTACGACGTCGTCAACTTACAGTTACGGCCTTGCGCTAGCCAAAATGTCTTTTGCAGTTCTATACATCCGAATGTTACCGGACCGACGACTCATCATCATCAATAAAGTCATCATAGTCTTTCTATGCTGCCAGGCCATTGAAGAGAGTCTAATTCCCATTTTTCAATGCCAACCTATCGCCAAAGCCTGGGCACCAGGTATGGCAGGGCAGTGCCTTGACCTCCCTGTGTTGTGGTGGGTGGGAGTAAGTTGAATCCCATGGTGATCAGCGGCAAGAAATTCTCTCTTCGGACGAGGGCTGACTTCTGGTATTATCAGTTTGCTTTCAATCTCTGCACCGACTTAATCCTCTTTATACAGCCTGTCCCAACCTTGTGGAAGTTACAACTCCCTTTGATCAAAAGATTGGGGCTCATTGCGATGCTATCGTTGGGGATTTTGTGAGAAACTTCCTCGTAGTACTCCATACAATCGCTAATGCTTTCCCAAAGGGTTTGTGCGATATCCATCATACGAATGCATTCTGTTACCAAGATGGGCCTGGACAGTACTCGTGTGCCAACCTTTACCTCCACAATACCCGTGCCACGGATGCTAACCTTAAAACAGATGACCTTGCTATCCCAATAATATGGTCTGAAGCGGAAGTCAGCACCCTAATAGTGTGCTCCTGCGTGCCATCTCTACGTAAAGTGGTTCAGAAGATCCCATGCCTTAATCGAGCATTTGAGATGTCCGAAACCGACGTTCCATCGCCAGTAATACAGACAATTGGCCAGGTCAGAAATAACGGTCAAAACTTGAATGAAAACAGCAACGGGAAAGGAGGTTTTGGTCAAGAGTCGGAGTTAACAGGGACGACTCTGACATACCCAATGAGTGTGTTGAGCCAACCAACAAGAAGCTACTTTGTAGCTAATGAAGATACGGGTGAAATACGCAGAGCTCCCCCACAGACTACCATCTGCTTAGGAACCCACCCTGCAACTGAACAAGACCCGGAAGCACATGCCGGCCTTGCCCAGTCACCATCGCACCCACACCTTCCACCAGATTCTTGTAAATAACGGTTGCAAGGCAAAGCTAATAGTGTACATAAACCACCTAGATAATTGAAATGCTTCTCCGGAGTGTGTTATAAAGACTTTGCTTGGCCTTGGCCTTGGCCTTGGATGGCCCGATTTGAAAGACTATGTGGGCCGTTATTTCTTCATAAGGCTGTCCATAGCGGCCTCTCGTGGCCTCAACATCTTCAACAAACGAGACCTATCAGAAAGACCATTGGCTGCTACTTAAGATCGCACACAAGGGCATCGTGGCTTCTAGAATACTCTAGCGTTGCGGTACTTTATTTCGACAGATGAACGAGTTTTGCCGGTTCCCTGTCATGCTGATTGATTGATGCCTTATCTCGGATAAAGAGGGCTGGAATCTGTCGACAGTTCAGATTTGAAAAAACACGAGGGTTATGGCACTTAGGCTCAATAGAATAGATGTGGATAAGTTGAAGCTTATTTTTGAATGTCTTGGGGCCTCGTTCGATGTGTTAGCCGATGGCTTCGCAACTAGCCAAGACGGCTCAGAGCCAAAAGCAATTAAATACGGTAGCACACCGAATTAAACGCTGTCCGCCGGCCCTGTAAGTTCGGGGGTGGAGCGAAGGCGCCGGATGTGTGCCGGAGGGATAATCGGACTCACCGGGTGGGTGTGTCGGCTCATGAAGTCGATGACGTATGGGACAAAGATGGTCAACACAAGTGTGCAAAACCGGCCATCAATTGAGTACTAGACGAAGTACTACGAAAAATGAGTGTGCAAGATGTCCGAGCGCGCCATTCTTCTTGTCACGCAACTGCTGACGCATACCATGAAATGTAAACGTCATTCCAAAGTAGACCCGGAACCTATAAACACGGCTATCCGGGCGTAGTTCACCATACCACCCAGCCTCAAACTACCAACCGATACACGGCAAAAGATACTCTGAATCCATAATATCGTCGTAAAAATGGGTATATCGCTCTCTACTGCCAGATGGCTTGCGCCTCTGTCATTCGTCGTCGACTTCGCTGCCCAGAATTATGGCATGCTTAGCACACCTAACATGAAGGACATCCACGACTCTAACCTGTCCTTCTTCTCCCCGCAGCCCTTCTTCATTGGTGGTTTCTTCTTTCCTCAGCAGCTATTCCAGCTCGCCTGGCTGTGGCGCCTGTACAAGGCGGACCCCAAGAAGGACCAGATGAGCGCTGACGTTTCGACCATGGTCGATTTTGTGCCCTTTTATGCCCTCGGCAACTTTTGCATTGCCAGTATGTATACCTGGGCTGCCTGGGAGATGCGTGAAACTAATGAGCTCTGCCAGCTTGGATGCTGTTTTGGAACAATTCAGACCTCAAGACGTCCAATATTTTCGTGGTCATCAATACTATCGCGCAGCTTTACTACATTTCCAGCCGCCTTCCGAAAATGAATACCAAATCCATCGACTCTGTGCTAACTCACATTGTCGCCAAGACCTTTGCAGGAATCGGTGTGCTGGACCTCCTTCACAACGGTTCAGTCGCCTACTTTGTTGGACAACAGCCGTCTACGGCGGTGAAGGTACTCACAGGCGTGGGTTTCGGGCTTCTGGCGACAGTGAGTGACTGGATATTTGGTGGATGTCTCGTGTACGACTTGGTTGCGTTGAGCGTGGGTCAGTCTGCGTATGGCAATGCCGGCTGGAGTAGACTGCTGGGTATTTATGCCGGTGGCACCGCAGCCATAGTCGGGGCCAAGAATCTCCTCAGGTAAGTAGTTATGTCAAACCAGATGCGATGGAAACAAGCTGACAAAGGTGACGTCCAGGCCTCCATATGTCAGCCAAACAGATGGCTATCACTCAATCTAGGTCGTTCGGTTGGGGCCCGACTTTGTAACAAATTGACAGAGAAATTTGTCAAGAAAAAACACATTGTGTGCTGATCAAGACTTTGTGTGAGATTTGTAAAAGCCTGTATGATATTTATAGCAGCACTTCTACTGCACAGTCTGTTGAATGACTGTTTATTGATCTTTAGTTAATCAATGTCTTCGTAAAGTACGCAGTCTGGTCTATATACGTTCCCTAATGCACAACTGCAGGCTCTCTATGTGGTATCATTCATCATAACCTAGATATATCTGGTATCCCTAACGCCGTCACCAAATCTATACACCCGCTTCTACTTCGTCGGTGCCCAATTGCTGAGCCACTCCCTCGCTTTATCCAAGTTCCCAGACGCCGCCTCGCACGCTGCAATGCACCACTCAAAGTCCCAGACACCTTCGCCAGCCAGCATCTCCGCCAATTTCCTACGTTGCTGAGAGCCCTCGTCCACACAAAAATGCATCGGCTCTTTCAGATCAGGTATGCTTTGCACGAGAGGTTTAACAAGCGGGAGAGCCGCCTGCGCACTGGCACCCTTTGCCTCGAGCCCAAGGTTGGACCGTCCCGAGCGACACCACTCGTTCTTACACCATTTCTTGCCACAGCCCGTCATCAACTGACTCAGATACCGACGTTCAATCCGACGCCGAAGCGCTTTGCCCTCTGGGTCGTGCATACTGACATACAAAGGCCCAAAACACAAAGAGCACAGTCCGAGATCGTTGCCAGGACCTTGCCCCATTGCCGTGCCTGCACCGACAGCGCCTGCGGATCCAACTCCGTGAAGAGTTCGCCCGCAGTTCGAGTTTCGGCAGATGTCAGGCTTAGGCCGAGAAACCTTGTCAAGCTCGTGGTGCTTCATATGTGCTGCCATATCACGCATGCGAACAATCTTTCCGCAGAGATGGCAGTCCGTTGTTCTGGCGCCGTCAGCCAGCTCATGGGCAGTAAGGCCAGAAAGAATGACCTCGGCTGATGGGTTCAAAGGGTCTCCCTCCTGCGGTACCTCAAGATGACAGAATTGACAAAGGATCAGCTTCCCTGGACACACACTTGTACGGTGAAGTGCCAATTCTACCAAGGATGGAGCGGTGAAATCGCAAGCTGGGCACTGGCGTTCGGAGTGTCGAATATCGTCATGCTTAGCTCTACTCGAAGGCGTATTGCCAAAGGCGTCATCATGTTCGCAGTGCCAGTGTGCTTCCCATTCTTGCGATCCCTTCTTGAAAACTTGATTGCACTTGGGACAGCTGATATTATTCCGCATACAAAAGTTTTGATGCAACATCATTGTCCGCTTGGGGATCCATTGAAGGCAGTTTTTGCATTGCTCGTCGTCGGGCGATCTGGAGTCTGTGTTTTTCGGGCCAGAAGATTTATCCTGAGAGTCTGTCTCCAAAACGGCCTTTACTCTTAAAGAGAAATGAACTGGTGTCCCAGATGTACCGGTTGATGGGTATCCATGTACTGAAACAAGAATCTGCTCTGCATTCTCAAGTTCGACATTGGTTGGCTGGATAGTGATGAATTTTGTTCCGTCCACAGGCCCGTCAAAGTTTCCAAAGACGTGTTCGGAGTCGCGTGGAAAGGCGCGTTGTCTGGTTGACTTGGGACTGATGAATAAATCCACCGAGTCTTCTGCCGTCAAGCCTGTCAGCTCGACCATCAAAGGCCGAGTCCGATCCCAAGATGCGAGCTCATAGTCAACGTATTCGCCCGGCAGAACCTGTCCTTCAACAGACTTCCACACATCAATCTCGCCACCTTTTGAGCTGCCATCGGCTGTGCCAGGCTGTGCCTTGGCCATAATCTGGCGCATTGTCTCGCGAGCTTGCTCCTCATTTAACGCCTCGATATCAACCTCCAAATCTGTATCAACCACACAAACTCCATCGCCTTCTGGTAGGAACTTGTCAACCAAGAATTTGAACTGCTCGCCTTTCACGCCTCGGACTGACAAAACGGTGTCTCTGGTAAGGGTGGTGTAGCTCTCGCGCAGCTGTCTTTCGAGAAGTGATTTCCAGTCATCAGGATCGTATCCGGCTTCGAGGGGTCTTAGACGGACGTAGGTGCCTTTGGGCAGCTGCTTAGCGTGTACCATCACCCTCGGCTGAGCGTCATAAGCCATGTCGGCTGTTAAGTCAATGGGCTCGTCGCCTGTGCCCTCGTTACCAAAGTCAGATGGCAGTAATCCCAACGCTTCCATCAAGTACGGGCCTAAAGCGATCTCGCCTTCCTCTGCGGAAAACTCCCGGATGCCAGCATACACAACGTTGCCATTTTGTTGGTTGACAAGGCGAAACATCAAGGGATTCGGTAACTGCTGAGACGTATCTCCATAGGCTCCTTGTTGCTGACGATCATATGGATTGAAAGGGTCGTAAGAGGTGAAGGTCGAATTCGAGTGCACAGTTGGTCTCGGGGAGGCTGCGAGCAGCTGTTCGAGGGCTGATTGAGGCAGAAGGATCTTGTCGCCACGGAGATCTTTGGAGGCAGATTTTGAAGGAGGCAACACCGCAAAGGGTGCTGACCATTTTAAGTCAGGTTGCTCGGAGTCCTCCATGCTTGTTGTTGGAGCCAGCGGTTCGTTGTTTCGTCGGTTTGAGGAGAAGATTTTGTTACTTTTCGAGTCGTGATTCGTGTTCAGGTGGGGTGGAGGGGCAAAAGGCGAGGAAACAGAATGATAACTAAATGATTAGTGGTCTTCGACATGACAGGAAGGAAATGACATTTCAAAGAATGAAAACAACAATGATGAGTATAGTCGCGCGACCAGTCCCGAGGCTGAGTTATCCGAAGAACACCATAGGCAAATGCGCAAGATGAATCAGCAGCGATGATGGGATTCTTCGAGATTCCACAGGCGGCAATTGGGGCATTCGCATTTACGCCTGGAAATTGCCGAATGCTAGGCGAAAAGGCATCAGCCTCATTACGTCAGAATCAGCCACACAAGGGTCTTTCCCATTTGGGTGAGCTGACGCCACATGATGGGGTTCTTGCCTCACCGCCTTACGCTTACGGAGAGTCAACTTCCGGCTCCGGTCCGACATTGAACCGGCCGCCGAGCCGGCGGGCACAGGAGTGGAGATTGTATTGGCGCCACATTGAAATGCTATAGGCCAATCAAATTGGTACGATAGGGACACTATCATTCTATCACGGTGTACTTATTAGTAGTATTATTGTCCAAAATGCAATCAAATCACTAATCCAGTCATAGCACCACATCCTAGGGAATCTCCGACAGCTCCTGTGCGCACGAACGTATGAGCTCGCCGACAAAAATAAAGTCAAACGGGTTAAATGGTACTCTGTCTGGTTAAATAATGCTGAACTACGATGGACGGTCGCCAAGAAGCTTCATGTCCTACTTCTACCCTGCGTCCTCCACCATGGTCCAAACAGAAGCATCAAAGACCGAAACAAAAACGGTCAAAAATACCGATTCACCCGACTCCGGACTATAACTCCGTGACCCCCGGAGCAGGGCTAGTTGGCGGATCAGCGCGCCGAAACACTGCCCAAAATAGGCATGGCGAACCCCCTTCAGACGGTTTACCCTTCCCAGATGAGTGCCCCCTACAAGGTGTTGATGCTAGGTGACAGATATATGTCGTGCAGGGTGTGTTGCTGTGCTGCAGTGTCTGACACTGTGACACTCTGCTGAGCGGCAGAGAGGGTGAGTGAGCACCCCGTTGGTGTAGCACCAGGATGAGCGTAAGTGGTATGAAATGCTAAGCTGGCTGGCCTGGTGTAGCCGCTTCAGCGAATAAAGTGAAATTGTGCTCGTACATCGAGTCCAGAACCGACAATGGAACATCCCACGGTGGCGTGTCGCCTCCTTAGTTAGGTGTGGTGTGGCCGACGGGGTGGAATATGGGGTGAGACTGCCAGAGTGGCAGCCCACGCAGCTCAGCGGAGCGGAAGCTCTCCTCAGGTGTGAGGAGGGAAGCTGGGAATAGAAGGACCTGAGAAATGTCACCGCAACGTCGAGGTTGGGAGCTCCGGCACAGCTACCTGTAAACCTACGAAGTGCGGATACCCAGCAGCAATCAGCACTTGCATGACATGGGGGTTACATTTGGCTTCCCGCAGCAGTTGTTTCAATTCGGCCAGCAACACCGAACAGCGAGCGGGGCGGACATGCTCAACGGGGCTAAACAACAGTCTGATCAATGAGGGCAGGTTTAAGCGGTTGGAGCGGCTAATTTCAACTTGTAACATTTTCCAACATGCCCAGCTCTTCACGCTCATTGGAGCTTGGATCCCTTTTTTTCCTTTTTGCGCGGGATGTGTAGTTGATGGGCGGGATGAGATGAGAGCTCTATTATGCTCCAAGTCGACTGGCTCGCTAGTTGAGCTCGCTAGTTGAGATGGGTGCCCAGTCAAACCAGGGAGACCTGTGCGGTTCTCTGAGCGTATCTTTTAGCCGTACGAATGCCGTGCAATTACAGAGACCCTCTGGGGGTTGTATGGGGGGGTCTTATTCGCACATGCATGAATATCTGGGCTCACCTCCAGATCCGCAGATGCCAGATGCTCACTTTTTGATGAGAAGGGCAGCCGAACCTGATGCAGCCATGTCTCGCCTCACCTCATCTCAACACCGCAGCTCACTACTTCTATCCTCCCCCCTTTTTTTCTCTCTCTTTGAATGGATGGCTCATTGGGGCCTCAACATCCCATCCCTCCCATGTCGTCGTCTAGATTGTCACATCACATTTCGGTGCATTCCGTATTTTTGTTCTCCCTCACTTGCCGCCATATTTCCAGAATAGACGCATGAATCTGGGCAGAGACAGCACCGACAATAAGGTACCAGCGTAGCGGACCTCCTGTTACTTTGCATCTGCCAAGACCGCACCAGACGGCGGGTTGAAGCTCTTCCGTTTCAACCGCACTATCCCTTCTCCTCTGCTTCCGTGGACTCCATCCACTGGACACGGCCGATCCTGCTTTCAGGGTCCGACCGAACCGGGCTGACCCCAGACTACTCCCACGCAACCACATTCTACCGACAACACCTGCCCTGCCGTGGAAGCGAGAGTGAGTAGCATTCGTGGGGGGGAGGGGGTGGGTGTGATTTTGCGCACAGCAGCTCTCAGTCGGATCTACCTACTCTACCTACACCACTGAGTCGCTGCTGCGCTTCAATTTGTTATGCTTTTTCAGACAAAGTGGAGGGTAGAGTAGCAAAGGATCTGGGGGTATGTTATGAGCGAGCCAGGGCAACTTGGACATCCATCCACTTAGAACTTGGACCGGTCTAGCCTGCCGGAGCACTAGCCCGCCCGTGCTGCATCTCTCGGCGCATCTTGTTGATGGTGCGGTCGACCCCAATATCCCAGGTCCCTTGCTCGCATGTACATCCCTTTACCGACCTTGCCTTGCTTGCGTGCCTCGCGGAGTACCTCTTCGCCGCAAAGCTACCTTCATAGCCCCAAAAAGATGAATGCACACTCCACGTTTCTTGTCATGTCTTGCCCCCAGACGCTAGCCTGTCGTCCACGCATCCTGTCCCTGGTCAAGTTTTGACGGCGCGAATATTTAGACCGTCATGTCGTCCTCGAGGAAGCGCCTCTTGAACTGATCTCCCATGTCACTTCAAAGCTGAGCTCTCCTAGTATTTCAGCCCCCATGTAAACTACACCGTCAACGTCATCGTCATATAAGCCGACCGAGTGATTGCGACAGCGCCAGCAACTTCGACGGCCATACATCTTCCTGTCGCTCGCCCCCTCCGCCTCCCAATTCCTTACTACAACACCATTCACAACACCTTACCCTCCAGTCTGATCGCCGCAAGCCCATCGTGGTTTCCGGCCGTCGCATAATAACTAGACTCAGCTCCCCCAATTCACCCCATTGCGCGCGTTCGCCGTAACATGCTCCAGGACGTCGACGACGCCTACACGCTTTACGAGAACCCGACCATAAATCTCCTCCACCTTCTTTACAATCCTCTTATTCTCGCTCACACCACTCCCCATCTCTCTGCCCATGATCGCTTGAACCTCGCATCCACAAGCCGAAGCTTCCGAGACCTTGTTACTCATACTCCAGGCGTGTTCAGGCATCTAGACCTCACACAGGTCCGAACTGCTCAGTTTGACGTTGATGGCATTGATCGTGGTGGCGAAGTATGGCGCAATGTTCAACTCGATGAGAATTTGACTGAAGACGAGTATGTCTTATCCCCCTGTTCCTATCTTCCTACCTGGCCATCCTTCCTTGTCCCCTTCTCTCGGTCGCATTACGGTCGCGCAGTGGGGACAGCGCCGGGAGGGGTGACTACAACGGCGGCGGTGCGAGAATCCAGAACTAACGCGACAAAACCCTCCCAACAGCTTCTACTCCGGTCCGTTGAGAGGCATCTTCTCCAACATCCGCCGCCGAAACATTCTCCAAGATGTGCAGACGCTGATCCTTGACGGTCTCTCCGTCACCGCCGAGCTCTGCCACGAGATCATCCTAGACCCTGCCTACAGCGTGCGCATTCTCTCCGTCCGAGGCGCAAAGAACCTCAACGAGCGCAAGCTCTGCGGCTCTCTTCAGTATGCCTGCCGGCCCTCGCGGCCAGAGGGCATGCCGCGACTGAAGGGGCTCTACGTCTTTGGCGCGAGAGACAGCCCACTGCTGCCGCTGACGACATCGGACGCATCGACCGCTGCTGCGGTGTCCCATGCTGCGCAGATCAGCGCAGGGTGGAACGCCAAGTCGCAGCAGGCGTTGAGCTCTTCCCTGCGCAGCGAGGGAGACGAATGGTACCAGAAAAAGGGCCGCATCATCACTCGACCGCTGGTCGAGGAGTGGGCCAATACACTGGTCGATTGCCACGGCATCATCGCCTTCGATGCCGTGCCGTGCACCGGCCCTCATCACATCAATTCCCCGGCCTACGGCAAGGTCAAGATTCCGGCCTCTGCGCGACACTGGGCCGTGGCGACCGTAGCACTGGGCGGCTGCGCCGGTTGCGGTGCTGCTCCTGAGGGCATGGCTGTTCATAAGGATACCCCCGCCGCCCAACGCCCGCTTTTGTCGCCGCCGCCCGTCCTGACGTCCTCGGTGAAGGCCGCGACCACGCCGCAGCCCGCAGCCGATGCGAACCCGTCCTTTGCCGCGCGATGCCTCGACTGCCTTCGCGAGCGCTACTGCGCTGGCTGTAACAAGTGGTGGTGTGAAGAGTGCTACCAGACACCCAGCGCTGCGATCGAGCTGGCCGAGACCGACGTGGTCATTGTCGACGCCGAGGGCGGCGCCTGGGTCCAGCACCAGGAGCAACAGAGCCAGCCCAAGATCAAGGTACGAAACGGCACCTGCTTCCCGAAATGCATCGCAAGCGAGGTCATCGATGCGCAAAGGGTGTTACTAGGCTAGGCCCGACGTCGTTTTTCCCGCCGTCTGGCGTAGCCTGCTCCAAAGTGTATGCCACAATGCTGTCTATGTTCCTCTTATGTAATGGTTTAAAACCATGAAGTCTTTCGATGCTCTGCATGTTGAATTTGTTTGGTATGGAGATGCTAACTAAGATGTACACAGCCTCGTATCACCAAGAGCTGTTGGGAGTGCGGAAGCAATGTAAGTCGAAAAAGACCAGGCCATGAACGCCGAGAGACCTGAGCTGATAACGAGGACCAGTGTAACGATTGCATTGAACGCACCCAGAGGCTCTGCAGAGGCTGCTGTGGCGGCTACTGCTTGGTTCACAATGAGGGTTCGACTTCGACCTTTGTAAGTTCTCAACTCCGTTTACTCTCGTTTGTGGCCCTGCTGACCATTTTCCCAGTGTGATTGTACTATTTCCAAGCTCCGCGGGTTGCTGCATAGATTGCTGACGTTTCACGTAGGGTGCTCAAGCCGAGGACGTTTCTTGCGACACCTTTAGGAGCTTCTGCTCCTAGAAGAACAAGCAAGCTCCTCTGTCTTTTTCGGTTGTAGTTTTCGCGACAGGGAGATCACGTCGCTCACGACCAACATCCCGACAAGGACTTGCTTCGAACTTCCTCCCAAGTGGACTCTTTCCACACCGACTCCCCACTCTGCGAAGTCACTGGAATGTGACACAATCCTCTCAGCTCCTTTTTTTCTTGATCTTCAAAGTACACGACGTGACCTTTTGCCACGGGTTCAGATTTGGCTCGGTTTCCCCTCCGAGTAGTGTTTGCAGAGTGCGCGGGTTCTCATCAGCGAGCCCTTGTGCCTTTCTTATGAGATACCCTTGATGCAAAGCGTTTAAGGCGTTCAGATGCCAAAGCTAGCGCTGTAATAGACTATCTCTATTTTATTCTTTTTACACGCTCTGACAATTATGTCACGTTTCTCTTCTTTGTGACCCGTTGCTTGACTGGCCGAGTGTCCGCTGAGTTGATTGGCATCAAGGGAGATGTGAGTTGGGAACACATGACCAGAAGGTGTCTTGGTAATTTAGCCCGAACTGAACGAAATCTCTTCAATGTTGTAAACACAATCATATGGACAGGCGATTCTTTTAGGACGTTAATGTGTGCAACCTCCCATAGCCAAGGTCTTCGCCACTCGGTGTTAACGTGAATGGCAGCATCACGCGGCCTTTGGATTCATGCCTCTGCTGACTGCAACTAGAAGGGTTCGGTGAGAATTGGAAATGATGTGTCTTGTGAACAGGATGTGAATCGTCAGCTCGGGGGCGCCGCTAACGCAGTGTTTCTTGATTTACCAAATCACGCAGTAGGAAACACCGGCTCTTCCAAGCTCCCGTCCCGGAGAGCAGGACCAGCTCTCCTTGAACACCAGACCTGTCCTGCCACAATGAACGTTTTGATTCCCAGCGTCCTATCTCTAGGTTGCACAAGCCACATAGATTTGTACAACAACTCGCGCATGATTACGGGGAGATGTGATCTCCTAATCTGTGACATCTCTCAACTCGACATTGCCCAGTGAAACTTCTCCGGGGACAATCGTGCGGTGACACATGACGAGCATACACATTCTAAACCGTCTACGTGACCCGAACCACGGTGTCAAATTTGGGTCAGCTCGGGCCGACGACTTACGCTATCAAATTTAGGACCTCGGGCTACATCAAATCCTGACAAGCATGTCACTCAAAGCCACTTACGTCTGTCACAGGGCGGGTGCGGGTCGTAGCAGTTGTGGCAGTTCCGTCGCACAAGGGACGAAGGGTTCGAAGATCCCCTAGGGAACTCCGATCCTTGGACATCTTGGTCCAACAATGTGCAACTCACTGCCGCTCGTATAAGTGAAGTAAGGCTGCCAAGTCATGGAAAAATCAGAAATGGGTCGACGGGGATGGGAATCCTGAACAAAAGCTTGTCCTGCAGAACCCGAGAAACGAGCTTTGAGATGCCCAAAGTTCTGCGCACCATCTGGAAATAACTCCAATCACTTGATTCGATATAACCCAAGCCAGCGTTAGCTTGTTGTACGCACTGAGATATGTCCCTCAGCGATTTCCTCCTTGTCAACCTCGCACAACCACGATTGCGGTTCCAACTGCAAGTAAGCATTCTTGCCCAGCATAGAGTTTCGCTGATAAAAGAACCCTTGTCCTGGTTCGCAAGAGCAAGAAAAGTCTTGACGGAAACCCATGATCAAGTTGAACCCTGCTGGTCGCCTTCACCTTGTTCACCTCGTCCAGCATGATTGCAGTGTTCATATCGCCAATAGGCTTATTTTATCTATTCTTGTGTCTATCTGTCACAACAACTGGCGCCACTGACGAAGCCCTGTATCCGGATCTCGTCAGATCGCTCAAAACCAGTCCAACGGAGCTTGATAAGCTCAACATCCTCCCGGAAGACAAGGATTGGATCTTTGATTACTTTACCCACGAATACCATACCAACAACCCCGGTGGGGTGGTCAACGCCAATGCTGCGACATTTCCAGCTACCATCGGTAACGGCATGACGATGGCTTGGATCAGTCTGGGTCCCTGCGCCATGCTGCCGCCGCACTACCATGCTCGTGCTTCCAACTACGTCGTATCAATCGAAGGCACTACCGAGACATACATGACGCTGGAGAATGGTGCTCGCGTCGTCAAGACAACCCTGCCACAGGGGATGATGACCTTATTCCCGCAAGGAAGCCTACATACGATGGCAAACACTGGTGAGTATCTGTATCTGCCCAACCGTGAGGGATCTCTGCTGATCATCCTAAGGCTGCGGGAACGCGACCCTGATTTCGGCGCTGAGTTCCGAAGACGCCGGCACACATAATGTCGCCAATGGCCTTTTCAATCTTCCATCTAGCGTTGTCGCAGCAGCGTTTGGGGGTAGTCCACTCTCTGCCAAGTTTGCCCGCCTCAAACGTGATATCCCGGGGGTCGGAACCGGTGCCTCAGTCGGTTCGGCGGAGTGCATAAAACGATGTGAAGATGGGAGCCCCAAGTAGGTCAACCACAGTATGGCCGTCACCCTCAAATCCTCATCACTGAGAGTCTTTGCGCTGACAATCCCATTCAGCCAGTACTCTTCTCATTCGGCTGGACCTCCTTCTCGGCCTTTCAACATGGGAGAGAGTCTTCAGCATCAGAAGTCTTTCTGGGAATTGGTATTGGGATGGTGGCGCGTTTGTGTTTGAAAGGCTGCATGTCTGTTGCAGTTGCATGGCCGGCTGGTTTTAACCTGTAGAAACTCTGCAATGCATTTGGAGCATACAGAGTGCCGGGCTCACACGTAGACTTGCCTCTGAGGCACAGGTTTATGTTGTGGTAATCTATAGTCCGGTATTGGCGTGGTAGTAATTCAGTCGCCGGTGCTTCCTGTGGCAAACTTGCGCGCGACCCAGGCGCCGCCGTACTCTTCGTACTCTTGTTTAGTGGCAGAATATTTCAAAATGTCAGCGTGTTTGGCCAGATTTGCGCCACCACGCCATGTACTCGTGATTGGATCAACCGGATGTGCAACCCTGACAATGCAAGCATCGGGGACCTTCTTGACAAGTTCCTTCTCAAGACGCTGGATGAACCCAGGGAACAAGGCGTTGCCACCGACAACTACTATGTTAGCCAGCAGTCCTGGCCATAGGCCAATTGGCAGCTCGGACAGCGACTGCATGATGACATCGGCCAGACCAGGTTGACGCAGCCCTATGTCGGAAGGTTGGAAAAGCAGTTCAGGCACAGAGAAACGTTCGTTCCGCAGGGTCAGAATGTCCTCATCGTTGTCCGCGGCACGTGCCGCTATTTTCTTCGACTTTGTATGCATGGCTGGGTCATAGTCTCTGACAATGCCATTTGTACGCGTGTGGAAGTCAGGCAAGACATAGTCCTTGGCGATGCCAGCTCCGGTCAAGTACGGTTCTCTCTTCTCGCCCCGTGTTCCCTTCCATGTCTTCTCAAGATCGCCGTTGAAATCCAGCGAGACGTAGCTGGCTTGCTCTTTAATCTCATTTACAATGTACGTATCGTTCCTCATGTCGTAGTAGCGGAGCGATAGCAGGCGAGTTAGGTGGTTTGTCAAGAGCTTTCCGCCAACATCGAGTCTGCGGACAGCTGAATGCAGGGGCCGACCATTGAGGAGAGGCATAACAATGGTGTTGGAATAGCCAGAATCGATTATAAGCACGACTTCGGCCGGCAGCTGGGGAACCGTGTTCGGGTCTCGAGGTGTCTGGAGAATGCCTTGGACATCATGGTATGCATTAAATGCAGCTCCTAGAAAGACATTACCAGTCAGTCGACAGAATGACGGCACTGAAGACAAGAAATTACCCACCTATGCCTCGGTAGTAGCTTGCAAACTGATATTCTTCAAAAACAATTTGGTCGCAATTCGACTGTAAGGTAGGGAGCGAGTTGGGCTGCTCTGCAAGAAGAAGCCTGGTCTCAGACGGATCGCATTTTTGTGGTGCTTTATCGTCGAAGAATTCGTGATCCCAAATCTCCTTCTGTGCCTCCCAATTGACTATGAAGCCCTTTTCGACGGGGCGGCGGAACTGTATCTCTCCAAAGTCGCGGCACTTGTCAAGATCCGACCCTACATAAATCTTTCTTGCTCGATCGCGGGCGACGCAATTGGGGATGATTCGAGGCTCCTCGGTGAGCTCGTCGGACACAAAGCCAGCCTTGATGGTGTATGCGCCATTATCGAGTACGAGGGTCTTGGACGGAGGCGCTGGGCCTGAAGACTTATTCTTGCGGCCGCCGGCCATTGGGAGGGATGATGTAGTCGCAAGCTGATGGTGGTGGTGTTGAGAATTAAGAATTGCGCTCGGCTTGTGACGGAAGCTTTGGTCCCCTAAAGCTCGAAAGTCTGGTGCTAAGTTTCCATTGGCTTGTTCATTTATGCGGGGCCTATGGCTCCTTGTGGGTCGAAGCCGGGCGTATTGTCACCGAAGCGGTAGCTACTACAGCAACTCACCTACTGTACTGGGTAGGGACTTACTGTACCTAGCGTCAATATCCGCCTCTGTACATTCATCGCTTACTTTCACCATGTACGGCTGTCTTAAGTAGCAGAACGCCTGAGCAGTGGGGTTTTATGAAAAACTAAAAGCCTTTCTTCGACGGCCCCTACATCTTGCGATATGCTGGGATGCTTCTGCCCCTCAAGAGCCTGCGAACGTTCATGGCAAGAATAAGACGTTCTTATTTTACGAGACCAAGGTTCACGCCAAATGGCCCATCACGAAAGCTTCCAAGTTGCTTGACATAAGGTATTTGCATAATTTCAGTACTCAAGCATTTTGAGTTTTTCATCTTTCGGCCAGCTGTTCGTTGGCCATTTAAATTACTTAACGTGGACATCGACGAAGCCAATGCTTTCATGAAGCTTTCCAAGCAACCAGATTCCTCAGAACACGATCCAGGAATGGCCCTAGTTTCTAAGCATATGCGAACGCCTTTCAAAAGTCAGGTCTGCTCAGAAAACTTTCCACCAGCAGAAATCGGCATCGATGCCGTTACTTCGGAACCTAATTTGGCGGATACTACGTAAAACGGGTTGGAAAATGAGAAAAGTGACGACCTAGAACTACAAAATGCATCTTACAATGGAGTCACGACGGCGATTAGATCAACACCAATAACGTATCGAGAGAGAAAATCCGAATCTCTGAAGTTATTTGTCCAACTCAACTCCGCCTCGGGGTCCTCATCTCTGAAGTCAATAGCCCATGTCCAATGCACGCCTAGTATTCACAATGATGGCAAATTGAATGCCACAAATAGCGGCTTTCCCACGGCCCAGTGATCAAGCAAGCAAATCGTATGGCGGTTAATATGGCTCGGTGTGTCCGTATCATTTGCGTGCATGTAAGCACATTAAATATGCCAGTGATAGGAGGTGTATTTCTTAGAACAGCTAACCCAGGTCTATGTTTTGACTACCAAGTTGACATCTCTGTGCAGCACGCCGTAGCCCCTTCCAGTTGGACCTGGTAAAGTCTCAACTCCATGGTTTTATCGGTTTGTTAACACGTATTAGATGGTGCGTACAAATCCAGATAACTGATTAAAAATAATGCCATAAACATTGAGACCAAATCCCGTGGGTGACCGACGCGCCAGAGCAATCTTAACTGCATGTCAGGGCAGGTTTAAGAGTGAGATGCACAGAATTTACATGACCCGAGGATTTGAAATGTATCCCAGCTACATTAACATCATTTGAGATAGATTCAAGGTCTAGAACCGTTAATTGCGTGTGCTCCTCGAGATCACATGGCATGTTGGTGCAATAACTCTATTGTTCGTAAGAGTGGCTTGAACTAGCGTGGTCCAACATTCTGGTCCTTGGGCACGCGTGTAACGATCAGAACAGCGATCTGCAGCAGTGGCTTAGACGTCCAATCGTATTCCTCGTATCTCGCGTTCTTCTCATCCGCAACATATAAGCTAGCATTTACTACGTTGGCATGGATCAGATCGATCTTTGAGACATTCAACTTTGCACTGGGAAAACGTCAGCGGCTCTAAGAGATGATATGGAAATTCAGCTATAAAATAGCACACGTAAACCCCAATACCCAATTCATTCTGTTACTTCTTAATCATAGAAAAATCAACAAGATGAAAGCAGTTCAACTTTTGATGCTCGCCCATTTCACACTGGCAACACTTGACTGTAAGCCAGAAGGCCCTGTGGTCCCGCGACCTTCGGACCTGGCCAACTCCGATGCCTTCAAAAAAGGCGTATCATCCATTGAAAAAGTTCTTCAGAAAGCCCTTGCGGGAGAAATCACCGCAGGCTGGGCCACGGATAATACATCCTTCTCCCTTGCCGTCGTCTCCGTCGACCAATCCTCGCCGGAAACCCCGCTGTGGGAATACCACCACCTGGCAAAGAAGAACGTCAACGGAACCAAAGAACTGACACGAGACTCTCAGTATCTCATCGGATCGGTTTCTAAAGTCTTTTCAGATCTAATCCTGTTGAAAAGCGGGCTCAACCTCGATGATCCTGTCACGAAATACATTTCACAGCTGAACGATCCTTCATCCTTGATCTCCTGGGGAAACGTTTCCTTACGTGCTCTAGGTTCTCAGCTGTCAGGGACCCCTGCGAACTGTAAGTGAGTTTGGCAAACATCTCGTTATTTTTGCTAATGAAACTCTCAGTCGGCTTTTCAGAATACCACTTTCTCAAGCATTACCTTGAGACATTCGGACTACCGTCGTTGGACGATGACGCTTTCGCTTCATGCGGAGTGACGGGTCTCAACAAAGCTTGTACTCGAGATGAACTCCTCAAGGGCATGCTAAAAACACAACCAATAACCGCACCGATGGAACGGCCAGCGTATTCCAACTTGGCCTTCACCTTGCTCATCTTCGCCGTCGAGCAAGTAACAGGGAAGGACTACACCAAGCTCGTCCTCGAACTCATAACTGAGCCTCTTGGATTACGCAATACATCACCAAGCCCAGGGGATACACAAAAAGCAGTGATCCCCCCAGTGGATAACAGCTGGGGCAGCGACTATGGGCTCAACGCGCCGTAAGTGTCCTACTTTCACTCTACTAGTTTGCCTTATTAACGAATCTTCAGCGGTGGCGGTCTCGTCTCGTCACTCTCTGATCTCTCAGCGTTGGCACACGGCATCCTGTCTCGCACTATACTCTCACCGACAGAAACGCGCGAGTGGCTTAAACCGCATTCCTTCGTGGGATCACCGTACTCTTTTGCCGGTTTCCCATGGGAAATCTACCGCCCGCCTGCTCTCGTCCCGGAGCACCCCCATCAAGTGACGATATACGCCAAGTCCGGTGGTGCCTACGGATACCGCAGCCAGTTCGCCATCCTCGACGAATACGGTATCGCAGTGATCCTTTTATCAGCTGGCGATATGGCTGCCGTCCCGTACATCTACGACGCACTGTTGTCGACGTTTGTCCCGGCCGTCGATGCCATCGCGCGGGAGCAAGCAGACAGTCTCACCGGTACCTTTACAAGTGGAACAAAGACCGATGGAAAGGGAGCGTGCGTGGACGCAACAATCGTCCAAGATGCAGACTCCCTTCTATTGTCTGGATTATCCCGCAACGGTTCCGACATTCTCTCCGCAATCACCAAAATCTGGACCCTGACCGTCGGCAAGCACCTCACCCCCATCAATTCCACCTTCAGGCTCTTCCCCACTGAAGACGCAAGGAAAGATACGTTGGACGGAAAGACCATCCTGCGCGAGTCGTGGCGTCTGTGGTTCAGCCCCGTGTACGGCGATGCGTCCGACTTGCCGGGCAAAGGGCTCGGGTCACATGATTGCACGTCTTGGACATTGAACGACTGGATATACTACGGTTCGGAACCAATTGACCGGTTCGTTTTCGTCAGGGATGCAGAGAATGGCGAGGTTCTGGGGCTGGAGGTACCTTTCCTCCGTTCTGGGCTTTTGGGCAGGGTCGGACCACGCCGTTCCGACGAGAGTGTCGGCTGTTGATTATTGCCGGGGGGCGCGTTGAATGATATTTAACCTACTTAGTCACTGAGAATACCCGGCCACGTCTGTTGTCACGGGCTATGGATATAGCAGCGGTGGTAGCGTACCATGGAGAAGAGCATTAGCTGCTCACTCGCAGTTAATCATATTTTGAAAAATTCGACAAAATGATATCGTTTTGGAAATTCTACTGTCTAGCCTCAAGAACTCGTAAACTAGATCTATGACTTGTAGAGCATAAACAATTCTCCCTCTTGAGTGTTGTCGCTAGCAACGAACAACCTCGAAAAGGAGCGGTCCCAGATGATACCAGAAGGCCTGAAGCACGTCGAAGCCGTACACGACGCCACGTTCGTGCTCCAAAAGATGTCGCTGTAGCCCGTCTTGGAGTCTGGCGGCGCGACGGGGTCATACTGGCCGTTGGCAAGCTTCGTGAAAGGCACGACGGAGACCTTGAAGCCCGTCGCTGGCGACCTGTTCCATGAGCCGTGGAGCGTGACGTACAGGTTCGTAAAGTCCTTGTCGAAGATGGACCCGATGGGCGCGCTGTGTGCCTGGAAAGACAGACGAGGCGCGATAGAGCGCTCGGTGCAAGTGTCGTCGTTGAAAGTGTTGTTGGGGGCCACGACGAACTGGGCGCCGACGCTGAATGCCTTGTCGGTGATGACCGAGGGCTCCCAGACAGTGTAGCAGGTTGGGTAGCCGTACCAATCTTCGTTTGGCTTAGACGGATCGCCCACTGCATCGTTATTAGTTCAATTCAAATCTTCCTGCCATGGAATCAGGAGGCGGGGGAACGTACGGAAGTTCAGTTCTTCTGCAGGGTTGTCATTGTGAATGTCGTAACTTCTGCCGTTGACCGTCCGAGCGAAATTATCACCGCTATTCTCGACGCCCCAAATCCTAATAATCAAGGTCAGTGGTCGGAACAAAAGAAGAGCAAAAGATGCCAGGACATACATGTTATTCCCGTCCGCAGAGAGAGCAACCTCGTTACGCAAGCCCCAACCAAGGAACCATCCTTGGGAGGCGTACGCCCAACCGCCAGAGGGCACGTTCCGCATATCAAACACCTTGACCACGGCACGACCAACAGCCTTGTTAAGCGACTCGTAATCAAAGTTGTCGTACGAGCCCTGCTGAATGACGAGCAGATGCGGCGTGGCCGGCGGGATGACGAGCGCCCTCGTCGGATGGCCGCCTTGCTGCATGTTCCTCACGACGACTGTCTGTCCGCTGACGGACTGTGTCTGGGCATTGTACGCGTACGACCAGGCCGTGGTCATGGAACTGACGTACAGCGTCTTCCCGTCCGGCGTGAAGCCGATGCCGTGGTTGAGCGTGGGGTTGTCAATCAGCATCTTGGACGAAGAGATGCAGCCGTTGCTTCCAAAAGTGTGGATGGTGACACCCTTGCCTGATTGCACCACGAGCAGGTTTCCATTCGAGTCTACTGCCACGCCGCGGGGAGCAGAGAGAGAACCCGCGAGTTTCACGGCTTTCCACCCGGCGGCGGTCTGGAACCCAAACCTGAAAGGGCTTACACCGGAACACGAGCTGGGCAAGGGGAGTACGGGATTGTTGGATGCGGAGGCCGACGTGGAAACCGACGCTGAGGTAGAACGCGAGGCCGAGGCAGTTGCAGTCACGCTGCTCGATGGGAATCCGGTCCTGGTGACTGTCGTCTGTAGGGTGGTGGTGCTACGGACCGTCGCGGTCGAGGTTGCGGTCAAAACAGTCGTGAGGGTCGTGGTGCTTGAGGGTGGTTCGCTACCACCACCGTCACCCGCGGCCCAGACCTCAAAGTCGGCGGCCTTGGCTGGCTCGAAGTTGTGGTTCCAGTGTCCGACGCGCTCGTGTATGCCAAAGGTCGTTTCATTGGACGAAGGATCGTCGACCGGAACCCCCGAGTACGCAAAGGCTAGATAGTTCTCTCCGTCAGGGTTGAGAGCGGTTGGGTCGTTTCCAAAGGGGGCGAAGTAGGTGCAACCCTTGCACAGAGCCGTGACGGCGAAGTGTGTAGAATTAACAACGGTCCCTGGAAGGACGGTGTACTCTGCTCCATCGTATGGCGGAGGGGTGAAGTAGCCGCTGCCTCAAAGTCAGTACCAATATCTTCCTGTTGAGAGTTGAGATACTTACAAGGCTATGCGTGAAGAGACCGTCACCTGCTCTCCGTTCACCCATACAATCGTGAGGGGGTTGTAGGTCATGGAACCTCCCCATGCCAGACCGGCCCAACCCACTGAAATGGGAGCGGTGATCTGGACGATGGCATCGTAGGAGCTGCCAGATGTAGCCCCTTCAGGGATGGCGAAACCATAAGTGATGCCTCCTTCATTGGTGTGAGAAGCAAAGCATCGGCCCAGGCTGTCGCAGTAAGTGGACTGCTCCTCCTGTGCGACAGCTACAAGGATGTGTTAGTAAGGCGAGAAGCCGGAAGAGTCCTTTGCTTTTTTGCTTACAAAAGCCGACGAGGGCAACGGAGCCCAGTGCAGCAGCAGATAGCCAACGCATGGTGTCGGTCAAGATTTCCGCAGGCGACAAAGACTCGACGTTGCACGTACGACAACACAGTTGGGGGAGACAGGCTCTTTAAAGACATCAAAACTCATAGCCTGCTCGACGCATTGAGCAAGCACCGGGAAGGCTGCTCCATGGGATGCCTCTCTGGTAATGACACAATAGGAGGTGCTACAGTATCGAAATGGCAGGTAGGTATGGGCCCATGTAGGCGAGATGCAATAGCAGGTCGAAGATATCACAGGTCTCGGCAGGTCTTCTTGGCGACAGCCATACAATCGGCAGAAGTCCCGAGGGGGGGGGGGGGCGCAACGAATTACAAGACGACGAGAGACGATCGTAGCACAGGCGAAGGTGAAGGAGGGACGTCAATATGAAGATCCAGGCGCCAACAGGCCGCCAAGGCGGAATAATGTGTCTAACATATTGCTTAGGCACTGAGGCAATACTGAAAACGTGGGCGAAAACGGCTGCTTGTTTTAGTGGTGTAGTGGGAAAATGACCGGAAGGGAAACGAGTTGGACGATGACGACTTTTGGCTGTGATGGACGATCACTCGAAACGGGACCGGGGATAAACAAGCGAACCGAAGCGGAAGTAAAGGGCATCCCAAGACGGGGTAGGATGTGACGTTGTCGCATGTAAAGAGGGTCATGAACTGCCCGAACAGGACGGTATAAGATGTTGCTCGGGGGAAGCAATATAGTGAGAAGAGAGATGAAGTGATATCTTTGAGCCGAAATGATAGGACACGAGCAAAATGCATCTTGTTGATTGGAAGGCTAAATAGGGCAGGAGGGAAAGGTGAACCAGGTACACATTGCGGAGACGGTGGGACTGGGAAACCACCGGAAGACGTGCAGAATGCCGGACCAAGGCGCCGAATGGGGTTGGCGTACGGGCCAAGACTGTCAAGGAGGTAGGAGGAGGTGATGGGTAACGGAGCAGAGTAGCATCGGGGATGGGATGATTGGGAATTGCAAATGGCTTACCAGGTGAATAACCAACAGGGGGAGGCAGGAGGAGTTTATGCGACAAGCCGAGCACATGGCTGGAGGATTAGGCTAATAGTCGACCAATACGGTAGATTGGATTAGAAAGGGATGCAGTCTAGGGTTGTAAATGAATAGATTGGATGCTGGAGCCTCGTTGGTTACGGTTAACTGCTGGATGATACACCAATGAAGGGAGTCGAAATTTGGGACGAGTTTCTCTAATTCTGACGCTCTCTTCATTAGAAGATGGCCTAAATCCGAAAACATGGCTCAGACTCGTGTAAGATCGACATGGGCGTTGCTGGCTGAACGGAGTTGGAAGGGATCGATGAGAGGTCAATGTTGAGCACGTCAAAGGCGTAAGTAAACAGTTAAAAAACGCCTTTATCGTCATCTTCCAGCTACACCACTAACCAAGGACACGGGATATTTGGAGATGGATGCCATGCGTTGTGTTCTTCGTATTATTATTTGGGTCTGCTACATTTCATTGCATTGTCCACTGTTGAACCGTGACTTATCACCGTGGCTTATCGATACGCTTCAAGATAAGATACGATAAGATAAGTCTAACCGTAAGTCTAACCGTGCCGCCTTACATAAGCTGATCATCAAGAATGAGGCGGAAGAACAAGAAATCCAGCTTGGCTTTTGACCAGTGAGGGGGAGAATCAAGCCAACATTGTTTCGTCATTCTCTCAAGTTACATCGTACGCCGTACAGAAACACCACTTCTTGACAACTAAAATCATGGCATAACGTCGCCATACCATCTACATCACGCCCAAACCTCAACCAACCCCTCCACGCTCTCTCACCGCCATGGTTCCAAGCGGCGCCAGTACGGGAGCTTCATGCCGATGATCCAAGGATTCCCTTGGAATACCCAGTTTATAAAAGTCCCTCATCTACCCCGAGTCATGGTAACACCGTTCGGGTCCCCGTTCCCCAGACTTTGGCTTTCTCGCGATGCCCCCTCATCACGAACCTCGATTTCAGCCTATTTAGTAGGAATAGTCTGGGAAAAGAGGAAAACCAAAGCCAATCCGACCGATGCGGTCGACCTTCACAGTTGAAGTAGGCGACAGATGACAAAGCCAACCGAACAAGGTAAACCACGGCGTCTCGGGTACCCGGAACTAAAATCTCCTACTCGTACAAGCCGTCTGGTGTCTGCTAAGTTGCAGTAGTATTTTACCCCCCGCGCGGATCGAGTACATCAGCTGCACCAGAAACCAAAAGCTTAAAAAGAAAAAAAGGGAAAAAAAGAAAGGATAAAAAAGGATAAAAAAAGATACCACACTATTGTCCCTCCCCCACCCTTCCGGCGGGGCAAATCCCATTTGGAGGGGAATTCTTCGGGGCCACGCGGGGGACCCTGAATTATCATTGACGTGCTCGACCTTTTCTTTGCGCTACCGTCGTCCGTAGTTGAATTTCCCACCCCCCTTTGACGATAACTTACAATCACAGCACATTTTTTTTTTTCCATTCTCCAGGCCATTCTAACAGTCAGACTACGGGACGTTGATCCCTTCATTTACTCCTCACAAACTCCCAACCACATCTCGCCGCAAGAAAATACAAGACACTCCCAACAAAAGAAATAAAGACAATCATGGCCACCCCGCGCAAACCACAACCACCCCTCTCCGCCGTCCTCCCGCCTCTGGTCCTCGGCACCGCGACATTCAACTACCAGTACGTCTCGGACCCTTCGCGCATGCCCTCGGTCGACATCGTCTCCCGCGCCCTCTCCCTCGGCGTAAACGCCTTCGACACATCCCCCTACTACGGCCCCTCCGAGTCCATCCTCGGCGACGCCCTGCGCTCCCTCTCCCCTCCCCGCGAATCCTACTTCCTCGTCACCAAGGCAGGCCGCATCGGCCCCTCCGAGTTCGACTACTCCCCCGCCTGGATCCGCTCCTCCGTCCTCCGCAGCCTCGACCGCCTCAACACCCCCTACCTCGACCTCGTCTACACCCACGACGCAGAGTTCGTCTCGCCCGACGACGTCGTCGCCGCCGTCCGCGAGCTGCGCCGCCTGCGCGACGAGGAGGGCCTCATCCGCTACGTCGGAATCTGCGGATACCCCGTCCCCGTCCTCTGCGACCTCGCCGAGAAGATCCTCCGCGACACCGGCGAGCCCGTCGACGCCGTGCAGTCCTTTTCGCACTTTTGCGTGCAAAACGACTCCCTCGCCTCCGACGCCGTCCTCGCCCGCTTCAAGAACGCCGGCGTCAACATCCTCACCAACGCGAGCATGCTGAGCATGGGTCTCTTGACCACCCGCGGCGTCGACGACGGGCCCATGTCGTCCTGGCACCCGGCCCCGGGTCCCCTTCGTAAGGTGTGCAAGAGCCTCGCCGCATACGCAGAGGCCGCGGGCGAGAAGATGGAGGACGTCGCCCTGTACTGGGCCATGGCGAACTGGGCCCGCGTCGGCAGCCCATTCGGCACGGAGCTGCTGCCGCCCACGTTCACGGGCCCCGCGAGGGTCGGCGTCAGCGTCATGGGCGTCACGTCTGTTACAGAGCTTGAGGAGACCTGGGCAGCCTTCCAGAGCGTCCTGCGAGAGTTGTCCGGCACCACCACTGAAGCCGACAAGACGGAGTACCAGGGCTCCGTGGTAAGTCGTCACGAGAAGATCCAGCGTCTGGTGACGGAGCAAATGCGGCCGGCGCTGGGAGAGTGGCGGAACTACAGCTGGGCCAGCCCCGGCGAGGATTTCGTGAACCAGCCGACCCAGGCCTCCGCTGCTGCTGAAACTAATGTCGCCTCCATTGCTGCCGAGCCGCGCTTGTGAGTAGTGAAGGGGACTTTTTAAGTTGATGCCGAGTTTACAAGTCTTCCTTCGGACTGTTCCAACACACGTAATATCAAAGAAAAAAAAAAGCCAAAAAAAATGACTTTTAGCACGCAAGTTTGAGGCGTTGGCTTAGATACATAGAATTTGTAGCAGCTGGGACATTAACAATCCTCGCTGCATGTCTTACGTAGGGGTAGAGTACAAAGACCTAGCCATTCACATGGCCATATAAAAAAAAATAGAAAAAAGAACCACGTCTAATCCGCCCCTTCCCCTTTCAATAAAAGCCACGCTGAACGCCCCAAGTTCTCAGATTCCCAACCTCCCCGGAGTGTATGCAAAAGCCTTCCGTCGCTCCTTCACCATAGAGATGTCACCGTCGAACAGCCCATATCGTATCCTCTGCGGTTTCATACTCGTTCCTCTCATTGCGTAATCTCGGATGACCTCTCTACCACGTTATCGTGGCCCAGTCTCTTCGTCTCACTGTCCTCGTCTGCCGCAGGAGCTGGAGTGACCGGGGTGATTGTAACCTCGGGAGTTGCTGCCTCGCTTGCAGGAGAAGCGTTCTCCTTGCTAACTGCGTCCGTAGGCTCCTCGGGGATTGTGGGCGGTGGCTTCAATGTGCCCACATTTGTCTGAACTGGTTGCTCGACCTGAGCATCTTCAATCTGCTCAGCCTCGGGTTCGTCTTCAACCTCGGCCTTTTTCTTCGACGCCGCGCCTTGTTGTCCATTGCCAGATTCTTCACCGCCCTCGGTCTGGTTTGCCTCGCCGTTCTCGATATCAACTCCTACCATCTCTGCCAAACTTCTAAAGTTAAACATCGGCTCCGTGTTGTCACGGTCACCCTCCTCACTTCGGCCGCCAACACTCAGTTCACTTGCCCGGGGGTCAAGATACGCCTGGTTGGTGTAACTTCCGTTGTGGCTATCAGCAAGAGACGATGAAATCGACGACGCGTTGCTCATCTGCCTAAGATGGGAAGGGCCGCGGCTGGGTGCCGGAATAGGCAGCGAAGGGGTAGAAGAGGTGCTTTGAAAACTGCTCTCGGATGACTGCGTCTCAACGGCCGGGCGCTCGACGGCCTTGCCCTTGACGTTGGAAGCCGAACTGGGAGCAGAAGTGGGGCCCGGTGTGCTTGATGCCGCGACAGGAGACGCCTCGGCGCTGGCGCTCGCGGGAGTTGACTGAGCTCCCTGCACTGTCGCTTCGACTCGGAGGTTGCTGGTTGTGCTATTTCCCCGACGTCGTCCAAGGCCGAGCGACAGGCTACTTCCGCTAGCAGAGCTCTGTCCAGGGCCATAGACACTCTGCCGATCCTGCTTCTTAAGGGCCTTCCGTTCCTCCTTCTCCCTCTTCTTAGCCTCCTTCCGCTCCGCCTTCTCCTGTTTGCGTTTCCGCTCCTCCTCGGCAGCAAGGGAAAGGCGAACGGCCTCCATAAACATCATGTCCTCCAACTCTTCCATTCTGCTTCGTCTGTTATTAAGTGGCCCACGGCCAGAGGACCCTCGCGGTCCTGGCTCGGGCCCGGTTGGGCTGGCTTCAGTTTCAGGGTTGCGGTTGGGGCTCTCTTCCACCTGTACGGCAGGGGGCCCGGAAGGAGTGTGGGTGCCAGTGTTGCGTCGGCTGAAGCGTCCAGGTCTTGTAAAGGCAAAGCCGCGTTGCTGCTCGTTGTTGCCCATAAGGAAAGCAGCAGTATGCAGGGCAGTTGCTGCGGCGGCCCGGCGAGCTTGGTGCGCTCGTTGTGCCGCCAATTTCGTTGACCAATCAGGGCGTACGCGATCGGTGGTGATGACGTTCGGGGCGTTGGCGGACAAGCTCTGGGCTCTACGCCTACCAGGGGTCGGCGAGGTGGGAGAGAGTGTGGAGTTCAAGGAGCTTTGCGACGACATGGCAGTTCCCTGCGACGGATATGAGCTCGTGATGGCGTAAGACAGACCACGGCGGAAAGGAGGAGGATCATAGGTAACGCCGAATTCGGTCTGCTGGCAGTAAGGGCACGTCGCAGGTTCGGAAATCAACATCTCTGGAGATTCCTCCGGGTTCGGCTGCTCGTTGGGTTCTCCGTGGTGCTCGGGGTAATGGGGGTCCGCACGCTTGATCTGGACGAAGCATTCACTGCAGATGGGCTGGTCGCAACAACGAGTGCGGTTGAGATAGGGTGGGTAAGTCAGGAAGCAAATGGGGCACTCGGTGGCATCCTTGTAGAGGAAGACCTCTAGAGGCTGTCCATTGACGAAAGGATCGTTAGGGAGCTTTATTTCGCGAGGAGCAGCCTCGCCTGGCGAGTTGTTCCGAGCGCCTCCGCTCAGAGCTGCTGCGAGGGCCTTGGCTCGTGGCTTGAAGGGAGAACTGCTTCGTTGCTGCTGAGCAGCGTTGGGTGAAGAAATACCGGAGCCAGGCCCTGAACCGCTGCGGTCGGAACCTACGGACAGAGATCGAGGGCCGATAGGGACGGTTAAATTGGTAAGATTCTGCGAAGACTCGGCGGGTGAAACGGGACTGTTCGCCGAAGGAATGAACTCGGGGGGAGGCTGTTCGTCAGCCGCGGGGATGGGGAGACCTCGCCCGGCGCAGATTAGCTGATACTCGGTCCAGTTGTCGGAGTAGTCGTTAAGGCCCCGCCAGAAGGGTGCAAGACGGCGCTCAATCTACAAGTCACATGCGTCAGTAAACGTTTTCGACGTCAATTTCCCGGAGAGGTCGTTTTACCTGCAACTGACGGACCATGGGCTTGCTAAAATCCTCGGTACCAGTGTAGGTTCCAAGAGTTACGAGGTAGCCGCCGTCAACATGTTCTTCATTCATACTCCGCTCCCGTTCCTTTTCTCTGGCAACGCGCTCCCTTTCCAAGCGGCGAGCCTCGCGCTCTTGTCTTGTCTCCCTTCGCTCGTATGGAGCATCCTCTCTGGCGCTAGTGCTTGAAGATCCGGCAGCTCCGAGGCCGAGCAGATTGAGATCTGCCCTACTGAAGCGGCTTTGCCTCCTCGAGCTGGGGCGGTCGCTGTGTGCATCGCGGGGACCGGAGGTATTGAGATAGGCTGACTGGGTTTGACGATAGTCAGTCCCCGGATCGGACGGTCGGGACTCTTTGGTGTTTGAATTTCCCATGGCGTCTGCTGATGACGTGGAACGTCGAAATGGCGCACAGTTTTGCGAGATTTGGGCGTTGTCGGGTTGGGTTGAAATAGTAAGCAGGGCCTAGCTAGCTCGGTGTCCGAAAGGCAGAGCAGTTTTCAATAACGAACGGACACAGACGAGTCAGTTGAAAGGCCGTATTTACCAACTGCACCAAAAATGTAGACACTTAGGTTTGGTCGACTCGGTCGGTCGGACAAGAGGCGATGTTTGTCGTGTCGTGGGGTCGGGTCGAATAGCAAGCCGAGATTGAGAATAAGCTGGGGATTACCGCCGCAGTCGTGGATTTGGGGTTGGCGAGTCGATAAAGTCCAGTCAACAATGCATCCTTCAGATGATGGTGAAAGAGAAAGAGAGCATTGTCGGACAGATGTTAAAGTGGCAGGTCGGTGATGCGGCTCGTTGGAAATGGGTATTGGGAAGTCTGGATTTGCCTATTGTGGAGATGCTGGCGGGCGCAGGTGGGAAGAATGTTGGTGTTGTTGTTGTTGTTGTTGGGAGGAGGAGGAGGATTGATGATGATGATGGCAGGTACTAAGTTGGCAGTGCAGCAGATGACAGGCCAGGGGTTTGTAGTAAGCGGACGTTGTGTTTGGGTCGCTGGGTGTGTTTTGGTATGGGAACGGGGCCTGGGGATTTGGATTGGCACCGGTCGGGCGTGCCGGGTCGGGGAAGCTTGTGACGACGTGGTTGTCGTACGTGCGTGGCTGGGCGCTGGGCGGCCAAACTTTGAGACGAGCTCCACGGGCAGCACAGGGTACAGCGTGGGGAGAGAGAGTGAAAGGATTATCTGCCCAGAGTGAGGCACCGGGGAGGCAGTTAACTGAGTTTACAGGTGACCAGAGAGAGAGAGAGGCTGGCGGAGGATGAGGAAAATAGAGGGGAAGATACGGATAGAGAGAATCGGGGATAGTGATAACGAGGGTGGAAGAGGGTGAGAGAGCTACGAGAAAGATGCTGGTCGAGGGTCGTACGGAAGACCGGGGTGGGGGAGAGGGGAGCGGTTATCGGTACAGGGCGGCGCTGTGGATGAGCGAAGACAATGAGCAGAAGAAGCTAGCGTCACAGTGCTGGGCTATAGCGATGAATATCTGCGATGATGTTGTGGCCAAGTCCATGTGACGTCTGCAAAAGCAGCATCGGATATGACATAGGCAAATGCTAGTAAACCGGAGAATTAAGATAAAATAAGAAACAGGAAAAACCCAATGTGGAATTTAAAAAGGGGAGAACAAAAAAAGGATTAGGGGATGAAATGGGAAAGAAAGGAGGAGTCAAAGCATGCAACAGAAAGCAGGAATGATTTCAAGAATCAAGGCAGGAAGGGTCCAAGAGAATAGGATAGGACATCCACATCTCCTTCCCACACTACACTACACAGCAAAGGTACGAAGTACCCTTAGCTACGTAGTACATAGTCAAGTTACCACTATGCCGTGCTGAACCTGCCTGTTGGGCAACGTCGGAGCGATAAGGTAGTGTAAGGCAGGAAAGAGTGCGGCCTCAAAGTACCTTGCTTCAAGCGTACCAGAGCCCGATGTATTTTTCTGCTGGATTTAGTGGATTGCAGGGCTGGTGTAGTGGATGGGGGTACCTTGGCAGAAGGCTGGCTACATGGGACTTGGTGGATGCGGAAAGAATGGGGATGTGGCCGCCGGCGATGCTTGATGGGGAACAAGACAAGACAGGACAGCCCAGTCTCGACCGAAATCGCTTGGAGGACCGGCCCGGGTTTAGCTGGGCGCTGGATCTCTGGATGGGAATTCTTTTATCCCTCTCTGCCTCTCTGGCCGTATGTGGTTGCGACAAGGAATACCAAATGGGCGAGAAAATGGATAAGCTGCATATGGGAGGAAAAGAAAATAAGACCAAAAAAAAAAAAAAAAAATTAGGATGTATCTCCGACTGGCAACTGCAGCAGCCAACCCAGATTGACAGGCCGTACCTGCGCTCGCCTAGCGGATTGGCGGAAGCGCACCTTCTCTACTTCACTCAAGGTCTCCGGGCCTGGACTGACTGGACTGGCGAAGCAGGTACGTACTGCTATGTACATAGTAGACAAGCAACAAGCACCATACCATACCAAGAGGGAAGGGGGGCAAGAGGCTGGCGTGGAAGGTGGGCCTGGCGGGACCCCTCCTTCCCCAAGATGCTCACCGTGTGCGGAGGTATCATTCTATGCATTTCCCCGCGCAGGGGTACATAATCCCTCAGTACGAAAGGCCCAGAGACTTACGGACGACCGTCAATGCCTCCCGTCATGCCGTGGTCAATGCTTCTCCCCCCCCCTCCTCACTGCTCCATTCTTCGGGCTTTCCTCCCGTCTCCTTTATTCCACTGGAGGTAAGAGACAGTAAGTTGATGTGTGAGGCAATACCTGCTTTCAATGCACATCATTTTGCCTACCGCACCCGATTAAAGGATACCATACTATTGTAGATTTGCCTGGCATAAAAATCCATTACTCGTGAAGTCCAACCTTAGGCATACCTATACTTTGTTTAGCCTACGATGGCGTTGATTGGCAGGCTTTGTTTGGGTAGCACGAGGGCACTACACGGGAACCTCATCCCGCAGTTCCCCTCCCCGATCTTATGGGGAGCCAGTCAAAAAGAAAGAAAAAAAGAAGAAAAAAAGTACCTCCCCAATCGCCAACTCAGTCCAGGCCAGGCCGTTCAAGATGGAGTCAAACAGTATGAACGCTGAAAATCCTGCTTCCGGCCTACCCGCACCAACCGCCGAGGTACACAACAACGAGTGCCCAACATTGACTGAACCATCACAAGCAAAAAAAGAAGAAAAACAATCTCTTCAACTGCTCTAATTCCTCCCCAAATGTCTCAGTGACACATCAATGTCCCCCCCTATTTCTTTCTCTCTCACTCTCTCTCTCTCTCACCCCCCTCGTGCTCAGTGCCCACATTGCCCCCACGATATATCGTCCCCTTTCACCAACCTACGTAGTAGAAGCACGTTCTCCTGTCTCATCTCACCCTCCATGACCCCTTGCCGCCCAATGCTTCTCTCAAATCTCACGGCCTTCATCCATGAATTACCGGTATTTGCTTCATGCACATCCTTCGTCAACCAGTATATATCCTGCAAAGCTATGATGCCGAACGGGCTTGAGCGTCTACTGCGGCCAAGGTTCCAGAATTGAATCCACCGCCTTTTGATCGGCGCTCATCCACGTGTCAACCACTGCGGCCAAGCACCCATCTTGGCGGCCTCGCCTCTCGATCCCACCCCCCAGCCAGCGTGCAACACCACTTCATCTCACTCATCCGAGTCCTGTCACCATGTCCTATCACTTCAACCTGTGCTGCCACGACCTATGTAGTAACCACTCAACCAATCCAGTCCCTCAACCATCCAGATCAACTTCATCCCGAACAGACGCTTTACATACATTAGCCTGCATTTTATGGCCCCGTCCCATTCAGCCATACTTTGTAACTACAACTACATCTGCACTAATCTCACCGGCCCTTCCGTGATGCCTGAGCTAATATCTAACATACCATTTCCAAAACGCTCATCAGCCCAAAAAAACAAGTTATAGCTCCATCGTCGGCCTCTTTTTTTAAGGGGGGCCTCATGCCTTCAGCCACGCACACCTCCACACTCTGTCAAGCCCTAGCCGCCTGTCGACTTATCTCTGTAACCACCGCCATGACTCTGTCGCGTGATGTTCTGAGACACTCATCCCACCACGACCACGGCGGTGAACATCAAAACGCCATCTGCACCCCACATTCGCCTTACAAAGTCCTCCAGCGGCCCACCGATAACCGCGACCCTTTCGTAGTGTCGTTACATTGGTAGAAAGACGGGCCAGCCCTAAATTATTCTCTGTTTTGACCGCTTCTTAATGAAGGCATTTCACGTCTTTTATTCGAACACCGGTCAACTTCCGTAGTTTGTTCCGCACTACGATTCGCGTCACGAGAGCTCACTATGTTGCCTTGTAAATTTTGTTGGCCGAAGCAAAAGCTCTACTTGATATCTCGCTTATAGCCATGTGGGTATCATGTCGAGGCCAAGATGTGTTGGTTGTATCCTGGGAACGCCACGTTTAAAGTGCCACTTTGCATACCAAACCAAGATTATCTGTTGCTTTAAGTGAAGTTAGGCCTTTTTTTGTCAACTCTGGTTATCATGCTTGAACTTTTCAAAAGCCGCGGAAGTAGATTACCGTGTTCGAAGCCCTTTAACCAAAACATTTGCCAACCCCATTCACATCTGATACCAATACCATCCGTACCACTAGGCATACTCTATCAGTTTTGAAATGTTGATGATTTGATTTTTTAATTGAAAAAGGTGGAACATAAGATGTTCAACTCACCTAGCATGGGCGGCTTCTGCCAGTTTCATGTTCGGTTTCCAGACATACAGAAAGCTAATTACCTACCTTGGTTAGTATAGTGAGCTGGACAAGGGTTTAACAAATCAATAATATAACGGACACAATTGTAATTCGTTATTCATAGATGGTTCTGCCTATTTTGTGACCCTCTTTTACGTTTCCAAGCAACCCCTAATCTAGTAACAAAGCAACATGTAGCAGCTGCGACTCTACTCATAACCGGGACCTGGCCTTGTCAAGCGAGATCTAGACTGGCCAGCCTCCATCTCCATACCCGAATCTAGCCCCGAGGCACGCACAAAGACCCCGTCCCGAACCACGAAGCGTGGAGTCCCGCTCTGAGAATCCAGGTTAAAAAGGGACGCAAGTCCAGCTTTGGGACGTCGCTCAACTTTGTTACGTGCAATATCACGCTCGACTTCGTCGTCGGTCGCCATCGCCGATTCCCGCAGCAAGCTGCTAAGCTCTGGGCTCTTTGATATCTGAGCAACCGTGTGCCACGCGTTCTCGGGAAAGCTAAACTGCGTCGGACGGAAGAGGACAGCAGCCGCCGTAAACGCGACAAGGAAGACAAGAAGGGTGCTCATCAAGATTGCGTAGCCCCGGAAACGCCACGGGATCAGTGTCGGCTGATACATGACAAACCCAGCCGTATCGGCTCCAGGGGCGTCCAGATTGGGCGAATAGATACTCATAAAATCGTAGTAAACGGCACGGGTACGCGTGAAGTCCACAACTTGCAACGCGCGTGCAGGAGACCCAGTATCAGCAATGGTATCTTCAAACAGCCTCGTATATATGACCTCTGCGGTCCCGGCGTCCGTCCACTCCTGCGACGTGCAGTCAGGGCAAAAGACAATAGACTTGGGAGACGTCCGTTTGAAGTCTCTCAAGCGGCCATAGAACCACACCCAAGCCGGGCTTCCGTCATACTTCTGCCAATGGACACCTTCACGAGCCTCGGCCGTGCTTGCTTCGAGGCTGTCACGGCTTATGGTCAGAATCTGGCGGTCGCCGTGGGATAAGTGCGAGGCATCTTTGACAGCGCCAAGCTGCAAGCGAACGTCGCTGGTATTGTATACCTCATCGGCCACGTTCCATTTATAAGTTTGTTCTGTTCGGTTGCTGGAGCTGGAGGCAGAGACGTTGAGATATTGTATAGAATCCTTTGAACTGAAAATGCAGCATTAGAGATTTAGGACAATGAATTGGAAAGTTTGAGGGCCATCTTTCTCCCAACTTACACCAAAAACGATGCGCACATGGTCATTTGAAAACTGATGTCGGCTTCCTTCGCGTAATAGCCATCATTGGAATCTGGATTGCTGATATGTAGACTCTTCCGCGTCCACGGACCAGATGTCGTGGTATTAAGTTCCGTAGCCGTTGCGTTCCGGGTTACTGACGACCACTGGATTTTTCCTGCATCCCAGAGGAGACGCACAGCGGTAGTTCTACTGTTGTTGTACAGAGACCACTCAAAGTTTGTCCACTCGAGGTAACGCTCTCCACAGATCTGCCAGGTATAGTCATTTCCCAGGCCAGTTATGGGGCAGCTGAAGTTGAAATTCATGTCGTCTGACCAGTCTAGACCTGCCTTGGCTGCGGCCACAGTCCTGTCCAGTCTTACGGAGCCGCAGAGACTGGCAGAGATGTTGTATCCCTCAGTCTTGCACACGCTGAGGTTGGTTAACTCTGGCCGCATACAAATAACCCGCGAATCCATCACCCTCGCCATACCCTGAAACTCGAGCAGCGACTCCCTTACTTCTTGCGATGCCACCGGAAGAAATGCTCTCACAGATGGACCTGTGTCATCAAGACCCTCTCCTTCCGCCGGGGGCTCGTTAAACTCGGCGAATGTCTCCGCAAATCGTGGTCTTTGATACCAGTAATTATATGCATAGCCCGCCACGGCCTCTGCAAGCCCCTCCCTCGAGTGGTCTCGCCTCATCAAGGTATAAGCATTCAGCTCAGGACGAGTGAATGAAACGACCCGGCGTTCTTCAAAGTCAGAAACGAGAAGCGAAGAGCTGAATTGCGCTGCGATAGTCGTCACAGCGAGCAACATAATCACCAATCGAACCACCCCGTCGAACGATGAGCCTCTAAGAGCCAGGGAGACGAGGGAGAGAGGTCCGTCGCTAGAAAAGCGCGCGACAGAGGTTTGGGCAACGGCGTGAAGGCGTACTCCCCGCCGTTCGACAGCGACTGAAGCAATCATGGCCGTGGCGAGACCAGCGAGGACGCCGACCGCAGTTCTGATGACTACGCCGGCTAGTGTGACGCTGAGTTGTAGTCGGTTCGGCGTAAGCACCCACTCTCGCCAGCGGGCATCATGATGAGGAGCCCACCAGAGCCAAGAGATAAATCCAACAGCCCCTGCGAGGCAGAGCAGCGAAGCAACCAAGTTGAGTTTGATCAACCAGCTCAGGCGATTTGGCCGAGATCCGTCTTCTCTGACGCCTCGAGGCTCATGGCGCCACTTGCCAGGTTCGTTACTCTCAACCCCTAGACTGGTCACCAGGTGGCTCTTATTGGACTCAATCGGAGGCTGGTCGGAGGTTTCGCGATTGACAGGCTGGTACATGGCCGGATGCGGTCTCAAAGTTTTCAGCCCGTGAGTCAATTATCAGACAGGCAACCGAGGGGCTTGCTTCTGAATAGCTTCCAAGGGCTCGAGCAGTTGCGGTGCTCTTCACTGCAGATGCGCCGGAGAGCAAACTCCAAACACGGCAGAAATGAGGTTATGAAATCGAATTGTCGAGTCTGAACGATGCCCCGCCAGCCATTTTCACGCATGTCAGCACCCAAACAATCGCTAGGCTGCTGCGCCTGCAGGGGGGGTTGTGAAGGAGCGCGGCAACGATCCATACATGTCGCGTGTCAACCATTCAGAGGTCTTGAACAACACACCCAAAACCCCAGTCCTGTAGGGTCTTGGCAAACATGGCGCCAACAGGGCTAGCCAAAATCATTGGCGAAAAGGCTTTTCGGTGATCAAGACGATGGCCTGCAGGCCTTTGCCTTGTTGTAAATCGCGTCATTGTAATTTACCAATTATGTGTGTCTTGCCTGGCATCTTCGATCATAATACTATGCTGAATTTTATGTTTACTTGATCGAGGCCACATCAAACCTATCTCGAAATAGTTGGCAATATCCTGTGTCAGTGCCATCGACATGGGGTTTCGGGATGCTGGCCCTCTCAAGCCAGAAAATTCGCTTGCATGGGCTGGAGCGCCAAGATTTCGAGCTGTGATGAACTGCTTGTAATCTGTGTTTGTGGTGTTTAATTAATTCACTAATAACCGCACAAAATGGTCTTCATTGCGCTGTTGACTTGGATTCCGGGTCTGACTATGGTAGTACCTCAGCCCAAATGGAGTTCGTTGAGTAGTTGCCATGCATCGTAGGAACTAGCGACCTCTCTAACATAGGAATAGCCTCAAGACTGATAAATTCAAGTTATCTGATATTTCTCCAGCTTGCTTCAATATGAATATTACAAGCCAACTTCTTACATGATACTGTGCCCTGCAGAGCGATTAAGCTGGTGCAAACGCCTGTGCAATTTCTGAATCCGAAGTCTCCACTCCAAAAAGCCAGCCGAAACCCTTCATAGTGTCCGCAATGTACTTTTGAGCTAGTGGGAAAGTTGGCAACACGTCTGCAAATCCATGCGGAACTCCTTGGTACGTATCAATTTTGGTCGGTACGCCATTATCCCCCAGCACCTTCTCATAAATGATGCCGTCGTCACGAAGAGGATCCTGCCCACAAACCTGAAGGTATACAGGTGAAAGACCTTTGTGGGCATTCCTGTCGTTGAATGGGGAGAAGTCGGTCGAGGAGACATCAGGTTGGTAGAATGCTTTGACGACGTCCAAAGTCTCTTGGTCGACAACTAGAGCCTTGGCGTTTTGGTCCCGAGAGAGCCACACGTCGGCGTACTTCTCTGGTAGAATTTCGGGTTCCAATAGCCACGGAATACTTAACCAAACACCAACCAAATTAGGTGCTCTCTTAGCAGAAATCCACTTTTGAGCCGTGACCGCAGATAAGTTGGCCCCAGCCGAAACTCCACCAATGATGAACTTAGCCTTGTTGTAAGAACCGAGGGCTGCTGCACTCGAGTTGTCGGCGGAAAATATCCACTCCAGAGAATCCCATACATCGTTCGGGGCAGTCGGGAACTTGAACTCCGGGGCGAGTCTATAGGTGATGCATAGAACGGTAGTCCCAAAGAGCCTCGCTACCGCTCGAGCGTAGTGGCTGACATGCGTGGGATGGCCAACTGTGAACCCTCCTCCATGAATGATAACCACGGTCGCTCTGTCACTCACTGGCGACGCAGGCTTGAAAAGCCTAGCTGAGTTCTCGTGGCCGTCTCTCATGGGAATCTTGAAGTCCAGTTCGTAATCGGTATTTTCGGTCCCTGGCAGCGGTTGACGTGAAGGCTCAGCATGATTGATTATGGAAAGACGAATTGAATTCAGCATTGCGAAGACATTTTCATCTTTGAGAAGCTTCAAGAATTCATCAGTACTTGGAACAAGTGGGAAACCCGAGGAATTTGCTTAATTGCCTACCTCCGTAAATTGCGGGCTGCTTCAATGTTAACAGGGAGACGGGAACAGCGAGTGTTTAATGCAACGTACTTGGCTTGTCCCAATTGTAGGACTTCTTCAGTATTATATGACGCCATGGGCGAGTAGGTTGATCAGTATCCTAGAAGAGTATTGTAAGTTGTTGTAGTGTGAGATGAAAGCTATGGGAGGGAAAGTACTTTATACTAATTCTCAAAGTTGAAGTTCTCTGAAATAATGATCACAAAACAACAAGCAGACCGACTACCAACCGAGGGTTAAATCGGCTTTATTGACTTGATTCAGTAAGTTTTTGCGCTGGGTGTTTCTACCCGTAAGTAACTTCCGTCTCCGAACCCACATTCACCCTGCCAGTCGGGCGAAACCCACAATCACCACGTTAATGTCCGATGGGTTTTTCAACGTCACTTCTTTGCCCTTCAATCACACCCACTAAATTGCAGTCAAAATCTCGACATAAAGCTTGAGTTGAATTCATGCTTCGGAGTCTCACCGAATCCGCTGGATTTTAAGGGCAGTTAAATCGGTGTTGTGCATACTGGTAGGGCTTACTATCAAGCAAGGATTATAAAGTGTAGTTTACATGCGAGCATAAACAAGCTATAAAATACATTCTTAAACGACGGTGACAATTTAATCCCCTAGCTTTGGCCAATTTTGGTGTAGGAACTCTTAGCCTAGACTTGAAAACCTGGTTACGCGGAATCCCTCTTGACTCTCTTGGCTGGCCGCATTTCGGCTGAATACATCTTGAAGAATGAGTCTGGCTCAGTTGGATGATCTCCAGTAACATCATGGAAGGCGGTAGTGGCAATGTAGTTTGTCTTTCCTTCTCGAACAAGGCTGTAGTACTCAAGCAGATATTGTTGCTCTGAAGGATCAATGTCGGCCTGGGCCTTGATCACCTTCTTTGCTTCCGCTCTAAAAGTAATACAGATCAGTAAATTGAGAAGAAGAATGACCCAAAAAGTTAGGAATACTTACTCGGAGATATTTTCAAACTCCATCTGCGATCCAATCGCTTTGCTAGCTGCCTCTGCAAGTTCCTTTCCGGCGCAGAGCTGGGGCCCTAAGGTTGGATTAACACACCAAAATCGAGAAACATCAGGATAAAGGGCTGGTACCGGTTACAATCATCATCTGACCACGGTGCTTGTCATCGAAACCGTGCTTTCCCTTTCCTGTCAACACGTGTGCCGCAACCTGAGCAACATCCTGTATTCATGTAAGTAAAAAAACAAATGAGTGACCAAAAGACATTGTTTGCGTCTTACACCAAGAGCCACAGGGGCAAATTTGTGATTTTCGCCAATAGGCAGGGGCAGGACACCCTCTTCTTTAGCCTGGGGAGCGTAAAGAAGCAAATTCTCAGCATAGAATCCAGCACTACTCTGGTTAACGACAATTCCCCTACAAGTAGAATGCCACCTTACCGAATCACACAAGGCGAGTGTCCCGTCGAAACATTGGGGTCTCCCTTTGCTGACAGTACTAGGGTCTCGAGCTCGATAAACTCTCGTAAGCGCGGTTGTTTCTGAGGATCCGCATAGTCGCATCCCACAGAACTGATCAACAAAACGTTCGGGATGTTGGCCTTCTTGGCGGCATTCACTAGTTCCACAGTAATGTCATATTTATCCTGGTGTGCAGGAGGGACCAGGCAGATAGTATCGCACTCGGTGTCCTTTAGTGCTTTGACCATGGCACGCTCCCTTCCAGGCACATGGGGAACAATCTTTGCCCCAAGGGTTCGAAGCTCTTGGGCGCGCTGTGACTGAGGTTGAAGGGCAAGACCGACCACCGAGTCAACCTTACGGGAGAACTCTCGGTGCTTGAGTATAAGCTCCGCAATCAAAAAACCTGTCTGGCCATCGACAGCCGTGATGCAAAGCTTGCGCGACATGGTGCTTGTATGGAGTGAAGACGAAGAGCAATGAGGTGACTAGCTTATGGATCACCTTTTTTTGTGCTCAAGCAGTCGAAAATTTGGGGGACACTCCCTGATATAGCTTTATTTTCGATGTTAGGTTGGGTACGCTAAGACTCATTGCTTCGTCATTCTGCCGGTTGATCTATTCCTCCCGCCCTGCATTCAATTTACTGGGTTTACGTCAAAGGCAAGCCACCTAGACCTATCCCTGCCCTTGCTCAATGACGAGAATATAGCATCATGCATAACCGACAAAAAACAAACTGAATTAAAAAATTGTGCGAATGGCAGAAAGCTAGGTTATGTTTCTCTCATTATAAAAGTTGTTTTAGCCTATAAATAGAATATATATCGAAACAGGTGCTGCTGGGCTTACGGATACTCACAAACAACAAAATACCCAAGCCACACAAATCATCACTACTGCTGGCGACACATGGTAGGGGGCGTTTGCTATTTTGCGACCACAGGCCCAGAAATAAAGGCAATGGTATCGTTCGATAGCAGAAGTATTCGCAGACCTAAACAGAAGATACAAATAAAAAAGCTCAAGAATCAGCTTTATGATTATTGAATTTCTAAAATGAGTAAATGTGTGTGATAATAATGATGGTGATACTATATCCTATTGAAGCCTTATGGGCTTTAGGTACATCCTCATGAGGGGGAATAGCTACTTAAAGACTAGCTAAGACTCCATGAAACTAACAGAATCGTCTGATTTCAAGGTCATTAATTTATCTTTAGTTTCTAATTGTAATATACATACTAGTAATTATTAGAGTTCTAAGTTATGACTCCATACTATTAGCACCCTGACCTTATATTCTTTTGTTGTTCTTACAAACCTTGTAGTTATAAATTTAATAACAACTTACTTAATATCCCCCTTTTAGATAGTTATATATAAGATAAGTAAAAGACTTTTATGTTACGAAGGTAGCTGAGGATCAACTCCTCAAATGGTGAAATTATTACCTCAGGTAGCTAAGGGAACCGATGGGCTTATGTACTGTTCTGTTATTACTATTTGATCACGACAACTTGATTTTCATCTCAGACCTAGGTTCCGTTAGTGGAACTCATTTGTACATGGCTAAGGTTCTTATGCATAAGACAAGCTCGTCAAAACCGTATTTGAGTTTAAACGAGGAAGTGAACGATAAAGAAACAGAATATAGCATTCCAGTAATTATGGACAGGATACTCTGGAAATTCAAAGCACATCGACCAGTCTTCCGTAGCATCTATACACCGCCGCACACGTTGATGAGAGTATTGAATTCGTCATGATTGCACTCCAGGTATCGAGATAAGCAGTTACGACACTTCAAGCAGCGTGTGTGTACTGTATAGTGGGCATTTGCACAGGCAACCCTTCAGCGTACCTATTGTTTATTCGCAAAAGGGTTTAAGAACCATCTACTCAACTGCGCTGTTGCCCATCACACCTAACCTTCTGGAAACAAATGAAGAACACAAAACTTCAAACTGAAGATCCGTTGTTAAACCTTATATCAACCAGTGTACTTCGAAGACACATAGGGTTAAGAGTAACAGGAAGACCCAGCGTATAATAGTAGTCCTTCTCACAAAACCATTCCAAAGCACAAAGCTAACAATTCACGACTCTGGAGATAGTATCGACTATAACAAGAAGATGAGTATTCTACGGCTGATTATGTTGAGCACGGCCGTGGTTTAAATGTGGTGAACAGCAGTAAGTTTAACTTGATCACCCGACCGAATTCTCTGGGTCAACTTAACCGTCTGCTCCTCGTGACTATTGCCGGCCAAAATCATTTCAACTAAATTGATATTTCCGGATCTAAAGTTGTTCTCAATGTCGGTGACAGTAGCGATTACGCCCTCAGCTTCGCGGTTGTAAATGGTGATGATCCACTCATTCACATCCTCTCGAATGATATGAAATTGGACATTATTCACGACTGCGGTCACGCTCAGACCAAGCTGTCGCGGAAGTCGGAGGATGGATTCGCGACGCCTAAATGTTGAACTGGTCAGAAGGAACAAAAGCAGACGACGTAGAGGTAGACCCACTCAATATCACCGTGTTCGATCGACTCTCCACCCACTGCTTCAGCACGAACAGCTATGCCGCTGACATCGCCATTAGTAGGGGCAGCAAGGGCCGTGCCCAAGAACAAAGTTGTGAAAATGCTAGACAGCTTTACTAACGAACGGTCAGCCGTGATGCCAGTCTTGGAAGGAGGGGAATGCGTACTTTTCCCAAGTGCGTTACAAAGCGAGAGTGTGTAAAGAGCGATTTGTGATGAGAATAACGGTAAGTAAGGACCGGTGGCTTGTGGTGAAGCGACATTGACACTTGGGCAGGGGAACGCCCAATTAAATAAGTAAAGGAGACACGATAGTAGCGACGCGACGGCTCTTCTCGCGGAGTTGATGAACAGACTAGTGACCGGGCCTCAACGGAGCTGTCCGGCCTGATATCTGATGAAAGTCTATTAAAACACCCACGGTCGTGCATCTCCGTGTCCGGAGCTAGCCATTGAGTATCGAAATGAGTGTATGTAGTCATGCGTATGGCTATTTGAAATTGTAAATGTGAGCAAAAGTATTTAGAAACCAAATAAAGAAGGACATAGTTAATTAATTCATCTATTTGACATTATGGAAATAGTAACATCTAGTAGACGTGTTCCTCTGCTCCATTGGCGTAGATTGGATCGGGTTTCTCGGGTTGGTGGAGTTTACAGTTTGGACTATCGAGAGCCCCAAGTACCCGTTAGTTCGCCATCGTGCCAATCTCTACCTAAAATAAGCAGCATTTAAACTCTGTGCGGAATAGCAGTTTTAGCATGGCTGTATGACCAGTATGACTCGGCTATGAGGTTCTCAATCATGATGTTAGGATATCCTGGACAAAGGATATCCTTCGGGTGTTTTACATCTGTCCACGTAAGGTACAGACAGTTGCCAGTTCACCCACGTAGTTTAGAACTTGGAAGAATGATTACAGAACCAACAGAATACTTTGATCATCCCATAAGCTGCAACGTGTAGTGCGCAAAGGCTCAAAGCCCATTTAACACTCTGGATGTGGGTGGCAGGCCTCGCCGGCCCGTCACGTGGGCTGACGGCCGCCACCACTGGTCTTAGCCAGCCTCCACAGCCCTCTAGCCAGTTAGTTAGTTCTTCCAACCAACAACACCACTTTTCCCATTCTGAGCGTTCTATGCCGGTTCTCGCCTATAGGTTATAAGCCTAGCGTTATTCTTTCGGAATAACGTCGTTTTACCTATTTTTACTTATTATTCTATTCGTCTATTAATTTTCTATTAATTTACGAATTTTTACGATTTTATTCGCTTTATTTACCTTTTTATGCGATTTTCTCGCTTTCTTTCCTCTTTGCTAACGAATTTTACTTTCTAACGCGATATTGGCTGCCTAGCATATACGAATATCACGTAGCACGCGACCGACTATTATAACCTACTAGTTTTTATAAATACTACGGAATTCTATTATAATAATAGACCTTTTAGTTATAACTATACTTTTACTTCGATTTCCTCGTTCTTACGAGAATTTAACTATTTTAGCTTCGGTTTTTCAAACTAGCCTATTAGTTTCTCATATCTTCTATAAGTATTTATTCTTCCCTTCGATTTACTATATTTCTATAGTTAGATCTTATAATTCTACTTATTTCTTATATTCTTATATAAGATTCTCCTTCCTATATAATATTTATACTTCTTTAATACTATTTACTTATTAATACTTTCCCTTTCTAATAGTATATATAGGTAGTAGCGAAAGTAAGCTATCTAACGTATAGACACGCTTCTAAAGCTATAGCCTCGGAGAAACGCTTATAATCAAGGTGCGACTATAAGTCTATCCCGTACTATTATAATACCCTTACTTTTAAGATGTCTTAAAACGACTTTAAGACCGTCTTTACGCTTCTTCCTTACTTAAAAGGTAAATCTAACTAGAATATATAGCATATGCTTATTATAGCGACCTTGCGAGGATACGACTTCGAGATATTCCTCGAGACTAACGTCCCTCGCCTTGCTAACCCTATCGCTATAGAGGAATAGAGAAAGAACCGTAACGTTACGTATAGTCTCCTTATAAACGCTAGCGAATCGGTTCTTAATAGACTTTATATAGCAGGTTAGGTTAACGATAGAAACCCTTACGAATTATAGCAGGCGCTTAAGAAGTATATTCCGAGAATCTTATAAGACGCTATAGCTACCTTTGTTAACAAGTTTGCTAAGACTACTACTAACGATTATAAGACTTTTTACGATGCTTTTAATCGCTATTACTACCTTAGAAAGCATATTAAGACTATTTACGGTCGTCTACTAGACTCCTTCCTTACTATTTTCCTCCTTAACTTCTTTAAAAACCGACTTCCCGATATATATAAGCATTTTATATCGAAAGGCGCTACCTATCCTACGTAGAATAAGGTAGCTAATACGATTTATATACTTACTTAAGACGAGGATTAAAAGCATAGTTATGCTACTATTCGTAATATACCTAGAGGCAAGTCTGCTAGCAGTAGGGGTCTTGCCTTTCTAGCCGTTACTACTACCGTTACCTCTACTATTACTGCCTCTAAGGAAAAGAAGAAGTGCGACTATTATAACTGTGATTACGAGACTACGAAGTACTATGTCGCCTACCTTAATCTTATCCCTCTATACTATATTAACCGGGATAAGTTAATTAAAAAAGTAAGAAAGTATATATATAGCGATCGCTACCGCTAGGATTAGCCTACTTCTATTAATAATACCTACTAGACTATTATTAAAGCGTTACCTACTATCTTAGGTTAGTCTGCCCTTGCCTCTATCGCTAGCCTAGTAGTTTTTACTACTGCCTGCGATAACCTTATTACCTAAGACGATATCGTTCTCGATTCTAGTTATACTATTTTAACTTTTAATAACTTACGATATTTCGTTAAGTACGTTAAAAAGAGCGATTTAATACCTTCTACTTCTACTTCCGGCGCCTTAGTCTAGTTACTTAGCATAGGTACCGTCTTCTTCTAGACCTAAGACCTTACTAACCCTAACGTTATTTACGATTAGATACTTTATAACGTTAAGTATAACCTTTCTAGCCTAGCTAACTTACTAAGCCTTAGAAAACTTCGTCGTAATTACGTAGAATATAATTAGCAGACCTTAAGCCTTATATACGTAACATAGCATACTTCCCTTGCTAAAGTTTATTAGGTTTCTAACGTCTACGTCGTTAAGACTTATAATACTAGAAATTACGTGCTTCGAGATATTGCTATCAGCCTCGCCGCCTTCTAGGCTACCTAGCGACCGTCTCTTAAACTAATATACCGCCGGCTAGTTTACGCCTACCTATTACGTATTATAAAGGCTTGCCGCCGTATTAGCATTCGGTTTATAACGTCGGAAATTAACGCTTTCTTCTATAAGTCTTGCTATCTTAGTAAATCTACTAAACGGATTAGTCAAGACTAACTACTTCTACTTATAAGTATTAGCAATGAAATTTACCTTGATCTCGTTAGTATTCTTCCCTTATTAATAAAAGGGAACCGTTAGGTTTTATACCTTATAGATAAGTATAGTAGTTACTACTAGGTTGTTTTTCTACCTAACTATAAGTTTGCTACTATCTTAGTAGCTATTAAGAAATAGGATACTAAATTCTATAGTCTTACTAGCCTTAAGCCTAAGGTTTAGGTTTCTAATAATACTCCCGAGCTAATCAAGGTTTTTAACAACCCCTACTTCGAAGGTACTTACTATAATACGACTATTGCCTATACGCCTTCTATAAACGGTATTATTAAGCATGCTAGTCGTACTATCGTCGAAAGCGCCTAGATATAGCTAATTAATATATCCCTTCTAGAGGAACTATAGGATTATAGTATCGATTTAGTAACTTAGATTCTTAACCTCTTGCCTATACCTTCTAAAAGTAACTTAAGCCTTTACGAGATTATAGCGAGAGAGCTAAACTTAGCTGCTAAACGTAAGGCTCCCTATATTAAACATCTCCGAACGTTTAGCTATGCTGCCTACGTATATAAGAAGGGCCCTCGACGCCTTATACGCTTTGCTAAGATAGAACTATAAGTAATTAAGGGATTCCTTATTAGTTACGGTTCTCTTCGTAGTTATATTTACTATATTTACTTACTTAATCGAAAGGAGGTTATTCGCTATAGAGATATTCGATTTCGTAAGGAACCGTATAAGATAGTATTGCTTCTAACTACTAGCATACCTAATATTAATAAAATTAAATATAATACTATGTTTATTAAACTAGATATTATTATCTAGTATACTATCCGTTAGAAGCTTATTAAAGGTAAAAAACCTATAACTAGTAATCCTAAGCTAGATAAAACTATCGTTAAAAAAGCGATAATACCTACTAATATATATCTTATATCTCTACTATTAGAAAGTGTTGGAACGGTAGGTAGGAATCTCGTAGATAGTACGATATCCTTATAACAGGGTATTAGAGTAAGGGAACTTGTACTTATGAAGTAGGGCTTTAATAGTAAAGAATGTATAGGCTTATATTGAAGCTGAGTTGGTTGAGGAACTAATAGCTAGCTAAGGGAGAGAATTAGGCTAGTTATATAGTAGTATAACGTCGCCTATAATAGCTAATATAGGAAGCTATAAGCTAGGTTTAGTATACGTAAGTATATACGTCAACTAGCTTATAAAGCAGCTTATAAATCAGACTAGAATCTTCTTTAACTAAATAGACTTTTAGATAAGGTTAAAGAGAGTATTCCATAGGGATCTGAATGTCATATGTTTAAACTAGCAAGCAGCCATTCTGTCACAGTTCTATGAACAGTCATCAGGGGCACGTGATATCTCACGTGCTGGCCGTACCCGTATAAGAGACGCCCTCGACAGCATCATCGTCAGTAGACCAACTCAATAGAAGACCAACTGCTTATACCTACGTTTATCAATTCATCGTTGTTTATTGCCTTGTGACCGTTTGTTTGACTTCTGCACTATTCTATTTACATCTCTGTTCTTATCACGGTTCCGACCTCTGCCTGTTGTAGCCACGTGCTAGCAGGAAGAACTGTGACAAGTGGTAGCACAACTTAATCTCGATCAATTTTTTCTCTCGATTCAACCGCGATACATCGCGGAGAATCTCGAGGGAAACACCCTACGAGCCTACTCGCTCAAAATCACAACCCATACCTCGACGTAGCCAACGTAGACTTACACGATGAGTTACGCAAATAACCCGAGGTTAAACAACGGTCATCGCGAGACAGCGAGACGTCTCCTA